GGGGGGGTTCTTCTATTCATTTGTGTTCATGAAAATTATGCAAAGTAAAAAAAGAGCTTTGTCAGACAAAGGTAAAGCTCATCTCGGGATTAATTCACGCTCTCCCAGTGGAGGAACGAGCTGGTTGCAAGTTGTAAAAGTCGACACAGCATGTCCCTTCAAATTTAGCAGGTATGCAATGAATACGCTAAACTCAACTGCAGCCACAATTGCTTATAATTAGATTGAAAGCGCAAAGTGATATTTGTGAAATTAATGCAGCCGCTGCGCTGTGCAGTTAAGGTGAGGAAAGGTCAACTAAAACGTTAGTAGTGTTTTCTCAAGAATATCGTAGCTCTGGATTTTCATTAACCATTTTTTTTATTTACCTTTAGTAGCAATGACCTCCAAAAATTATTTTTCAAAGGTTCAGAAAAAAAAACCCGCCAGAGTGTTCGTTTTAGGGAACCGTTTTCGGGTATCTTTTTAAGTAAAATTTAACTTTTTGTGGAATTAACGTAAAATCGTCTGTAAAAAAAATGACAACTATTTTAAGTGTTTTTCAACATTCTTCTAAACATTTTTAATGTTGAAAAACTACAATTTTAAGAGTTTTTTTTAAGCACTTTTTCACCTAAATTTTACCTACCTCTCGTAAATTTGCCTCATGAGGTACCTACCCCAAAAGAATTTTCTAAAACGAACATTCCAACAGTTAAAAGAGGTAATTGTCTTTTTTTTTAAAATTAACGAGTTCTTCAGTAGGTAGTGTTTGAGTACCTAGTCGCAACCATCCCTCAATATTCTGGGAGAGGACAGTATCGCATGGAAATTTCGGAATTGTGGTAAAATATCAACTATAGACCCCTAGGCACGATATGGCACACCTTCCAGAATTTTGAAAGCATTTCCAAATTTTTTTTAAAAAAATCGTAAAAATTTCGGAAATGCTTTTAAAATTTTGGAACGTGTCAGGGCCGGATTTACCTTCTTGCCGCCCACGCACAGTGGGACGAAATGGGTAAAACCTCGGACATGGAGTGTTCTCATGTTTTGCATATAAAGATGGGATGGAATGTGTTCCTAAAAGGATCCATATTACATGAATCTAGTGTTGGTTTAGCATACAGGCAATTTTAATGTCAAAAATGGATTCTACGCTCAAAATACCAGGATTTTGTACCAAGTTTCAACACGAAATGCCGATAACGAGTAAAATTTATCTTTGAGCAACTTATCTTTTTATGTTTCCGCCGGAAGTTTGAAATCCTCCAAAAATCGTGCGTTTGCGTTAACATATCAAGGAAAGTAAGGTCTGAAATAAATTCTACGATAAAAATACCACTAGCTTGTAAAGTTTCAACACGAAATGCCCACAGAAACGAGTAAAATTTATTTTTGAGTAACTTATCTTTTCACGTTTCTACTGAAAGTTAGAAAGAACCTCCAAAATTATGTATTTCCGTCAATAAATAAAGTAAAGTAAGGTCAAAAATGAATTCTACGATCGAAATACCAAAAATGCCCAAGTTTCATCACGAAGTGCCCATTGGAACGAGCAGTGGAATAGTCGAAACAAGTTGGGGAGCAAGGCGATGACCGGGCATTCCTATGCTTCGCTCCATACCGCGTGCCACGGGCCGCCTGTATTTTGCCGCCCCCTTCTCATTCGTTTTGAAACATCAATAAAAACCATCAAATGAACGTACCAGCGGAGGAGGGGTGCATAAGACGCGTTTACTCGTGTTGGACACATTTTTTTGCGAAAGCCCCGTCAACACTACTAGCAAAAGTTGACGGAACTTTGTGCGAAAGTTAAGTTTCTTAATCCTATCTCTGTGTGGACAAGGCCTTCCATTCATAATAAATGAACGAAAAAAATATGAAAGAACAAACATAAATGTGGATTAATGTTTTTAACTTCCGCATGACCGCATGACCGCATGATCGCATGACCGCATCGCGTTTGGCGCAATGCGTAAAGTATTCCGACAGTCTTTTAGGCGCTGTGAGTTTCACGCCTGCCGCTGCTGAACGCACTGTGTTTGGCGTAATGCGTGAAGTATTCATGCATTCTTGTAGGCACTATCCGTTTCACGCTGACCGCAATGACCGCACTGTGTTTGATGCAATGCGTGAAGTATTCGTGCAGTCTTGTAGGCGCTAAAATGTGTTACATGCCGATCGCCGCGCCGAGGGCTTCGCTCCTTTTCATCTCAAGTCCTCCTCATCATTTCTCTTTAAGTCGCGCCGTTCCGGGCCAAATTACGTGTTTTAACTATTTGGTTTCTCTCTTAACTTGAATAATTAAAGGTGCTGTCTCTTGTATCTCTGAAAGACGACAAAATTAGAAATTATTATACTCTTAGGAAATGAGAGATTTTGTCGCCTTCTCTCGTTTGTAATTTTTTTTCTAAATGCGATTTTTTTTTATGCCTATACCTACATTGAAAAAAATTGCAAAATTTGCCGCCCCCTATATTTGCCGGCGTGGGCCGCGGCCCATGTGGCCACCCTCTTAATCCGGCCCTGAAAAGTGTGTCATTTTGTGCTTAAGGGTCTATAGTTGATATTTTACCGCGTTTCCGATATTTTCACGCAATACGCCGGCGACCGACAGACGGCCGCAACGGAAAAGTGCGGCTTTTTGCCCCCACTTCCCGTACATATTTTGAAAATAAGTCGGAAATAACCTGAGTTAAAAAAAAAAAAAAATTCGTGAAAAAATCGCAAGTAAGGGGTGAAAATATTGTCGAAAAAAGAACTGGTAGTTTTCTATTTTTCTTTTAAAAAAATGCCACGTAGCAAAAAATAATACAGGTTGCAATAAATTACGCAGTTACATATGAACGTTGTGACCTCCAAAAAACGTATCTCGGTTTGCGACTGCAGACTTCCTGTCATACCTATGTTTTGGTTGAATAGAAAACCACTCAACGTCAATGACTAAAAACTTCCGTGATTTTTCTTCTCTATGCGAAGAAATAAATTCTATGAAAACTTCAATGAATGATGTTGATTTGTTTTCTTTCAAAAAAATGAAATGGGAGCGAAGATTTCAAAACAAGGCAAACGGAGGTACGTGGTTTGGGAGTTCCACTGTGTTGATATGGTCAAATCATTGCATTTGTATCGGAGTGTAGTGTATGTTGTCTATTCATTAATTGAAGGCGCTTCGTTTATAGAAATTTATTGCGACAAAATTGAAGAAATGATTTGCAATTTTTTTTGCATTGCATATTGCCTACCTCTCTCGCATATGGAGCCCATTTTATCGAGCGTTCAAAATCGACAATTAGTGATTGTGAACATATTGCCATTGCACATACGATAAAAAAATTACAACTTTATTGGATCGATTTGCAAAATTATTTCAATATTTTCGTTGCGCCGTGCTACTTAGATAGTACCTGGGCCTGTATTTCTTTTCTTTTTTTTTCATTTTACGACAAGTTTTTTTTTTTTTTTTTTTTTTTTCAGTACAGTAGACCCCCGGTTAGGTATATCCGCGATCGGAGCATCTGGCGTCGTTTGGTGCACTGATATTTTGTTAAGTATCTTTAATAAAAAAAGGTAAAAGAGGTGATCAAACGAATAATGACATTCAAAGTTTCTTCATGAAATTATCATTTTCAAAGTGATACGAAACTTTGTCGATTCAAGGTTCGTAAGTTCGGAATATCCGCGGTACCTCCTCGGACTCAATTACTCGAGGGCGCGATTCAGCAATTTAGCAACACCGGATTTCCTCCATCTAAGCCTATGCTAAATAATCTATTCTTGTTAGAGTACCTGGCCCTTCCAAGAATCGATACATTACCATAGGTTTAAATGTTGCCAATTCGCTGGATCCGTCAATGCAATTACCGCTGATAGCCGGGGGTTCTGCAGTATTTTTTATAAAAATTTTACGTTGTGTGCTTCCAGGGTACCTTTTGTTATAGAAAAAAGGTACATATAAATGGGCATTATAGGCGTACCAATCGGCAATCATGGTGCTCCACATCTCAAACTTGGCGCCTGAATTCTCATTAAGAATGAATGCGTTTGAGTCTCCAAAATACGACACTCTTGCGCTTCGCAAATGTGGACGGAACGAGAAATTTTTTGTGAGGAGAGGAGGGTTCTGAGGGGCGCGGACAGACATTCCACCGAAGGGGATCTGGAGTACTTCCTCAGCTTCAAAGGGGGGGGGGGGGGGGAGAGTTCAGGGGCCTTTCCGGGAAAAATTTGAAAAATGTAGGTAGTCGTTTCAACAGCGATTTTGAGCTTTTTTCATAGTTGAATAAAAGTTTATTGAAAAAAAAAATTTCAAATTCGAAAGGGAGGCGAAATTCGGGGGACTTTTCCGGGACAATTTTTAAAAAATTATGTCGTTTCAAGAGCAATTTTGAGCTTTTTTCTTTGTTAAAAGTTTATTGAAACAAAATTTCAAATGTTAGTAAAAGAGGGAGAAAGTTCGTGGGACTTTTCCGGGGATTGAAAAATCAAGTTGTTTCAATAGCAATTTTGGGTTTTTTCCCGAAATAAAGTTTATGGAAACGAAGTTTCAAATACAATAGAGGGAGGGGGAGTTCGGGAGGCTTTCCTGGAAAAATTTAGAAGATTAAAGTCAGTTCAACAGCAATTCTCGCTTTTTTTCTAGTTAAGTGTTTATTGAAGTACAATTTCAAATGTGAAAGACTCATGACTCACAAAATCCTCACATTTTCTCGAGGGAAACTATAGATTCTTAGGTGGTGGAAGGGGGGGGGAGGCTTCCCCTCAGTTGTGACCATGCCCACAAATACGACCCTCTTCAAACTGCCGTTAAAATTCGGCGAAAGCACATCTAACGTCCATACTATTTTCACCCTCGCGTTTGCGCACGGCTGACTTTCAGAGCGAAACCACTTATCGCAGTGATTACTCTCCGACCGATCGTAAATTCGTCGCGAATTCGGGGATCGCGATGTTCGGGGTCGTAAAAAAGAGCGAGGCGCGCGGGTGGCGAATTTTTTTTCTGAATTTTGAATATAATTTATTGAGTCATAATTCGCTCGGATAATGATGGACTTCCTGCAGGAGTTCGGTAAGTGACCTTACCATAAAAAAGATAAGAGGAGCACTAGCGGTGCCGGGTTATGCTGGTGGCCATCATAGTTTACTTTATACATGCCCGGGTTTTTGCTGTCCTCACAGACCGCATCGAGCAGTTGCTCGAGTCTAAGTCATCATGCGCTCGGATTTAGTTTTACCGTAAGTTCTGCTTTTATTTTGTTCCGTACTTACTGTTTTCTATCCTTCGTAATCGCACTTCCTTTTTTTTTAAAAAAAAATCCTATCCTAAATATTCCTTCACGGCGACAAAAACCAATTCTTCTAGTCTAAGTCACCATGCGCTCGGATTTAGTTTTACCGTAAGTTCTCCTTATATTTTGTTCCGTACTTACTATTTTCTATCCCTCATAATCGCATTTATTTTGTGACTCCTTTTTTTTTTTTAAAAAAAAAAATCCTATCCTAAATGACCCTCCACCCCTTTCCCTCTAAAATTTGCCACCCCTGAAATTTTTCACCCAAAAATGCAAGTGCCTTGATTGCCCCCCTCCCCCCCCCTCCCTCCTCGCATATTCGGCATGAATTGATTTTTTTCTTTTTTCTTGTTTTTTTGGTGTAATGCGTTAGGTACTTACTTTACAAGGTGCTTCGCATGGCTCCTCAGCTTTCCTTCTTTTCTTATTTTTCAACGTAAAATCATAACATTAAGTAATTCAAACTCTTCTGTGCGCTTCAATCACTCGCATTCCAATATTTTTCTGATTATAATGGAAAGGAATCCCCTCTTCCAATGAACCAAATCTTTCGTAACTCTGCGTCCTGATATAGTTTCTCTGTTCTTTCGCCGTCTTTCGTGGGGATCAACATTTTGCATTCCATTCGGATGTCAGAGGGGGTGTATACAGTCAAATAGACGACTTCTCAGTGAATCACTCCCTTACTTTGCGTCAACTGATTCTCTTCGACTGTAAACCATCCACGATTTGGAAGTCTCCGACGTTTTTGTTAATCCGTGGAAGGCTGAATCTCATTTCGTGATAAATCGACTGACTCAAATTTTTCTCCCTCATACTGCGATTCTTCCTTCAACGATTTCCATCTGTTTACCATTATTCGCGGAAAGTTGATACTCACACCTTTGCTGTTAAAATCGGCTAGGTATAACTATTTATCTTCGATTCTAGAGCATTCGCGATTTAGGATTTCCTCGGTTTTTGATAAAACGCGGACAACTGAAACTCTATATTGTGACAGAAATCAAAAGATTCGAATTTTTCTGGCTGCATTTAGCAATTCCGAGCTTTCCACGGTCTTCCTCTATTTTCTAAAAGTCGCGGATAACTGAAGCACCTCCAAAATTAAACTCGACGAGGTGTGACAACTAATTATTCTTTAATGCCGGACCATACGCGATTTTTAATTTCCGCGGTTTTCTCGTCATCCACGGTTTTCATTATCCGCGGTTTTTGTTGTCCGCGGTTGTTGTTATCCGCGGTTGTTGTTGTCCGCGGTTGTTGTTATCCGTGGTTGTTGTTATCCGCGGTTTTTTGTATTCGCTGTTTTTGTTAATTCGCGGATAACTGAGGCTCTTTAACTTTATTGTGATGGAAAGCAACTGATTTGAATACTTATCGACGGTGGGCCTGCAAAAATGCGTAACTCGGTTGCGGCGTTTTGAAATCATCGCTACTATTTTATTTGATAAAAAAAGACCGAGCCAACATCATAGCTTGAAGTTTTCATAGAATATTCTTTATAGCATGAAGAAAAATCACCAACATTTTTAAAAGAATGACGTTCAGTAGTTTTCCATGCACAAAATAGAGTTTGTTAGGAAATCTGCAGCACAGCAAACCGATTTCTGCAGTTTCACCTTCGATATTCCATTTGCATTATCCACAGACTTCCTGTTTCCCAAAAGTCGCGGATAACTAAAACACCACTGGGATTAAAATCGACGCGATGTGACAACTGATTTTACTTTCATTCCGAGCCATCCGCGATTTTTTATCATCCTTGATTTTGTATTATCCGCGATTTTTTACTATCCGCGATTGTTCATTATCCGTGATTGTTCATTATCCGCGATTTCTGTTAATTCGCTGACAACTGAAACACTAAAATTGCTAGAAATACTATGACTTGAATGTTCCCTCCGTATTCCGCGATTCTGACATATCCATGGTTATCGAAAATCCATGAATATTCTTCTATTCCTCATTTGAAAGCACTCTTTCAGGGGGAAAAAAACGTGCTAAGGATCGGTGATCTAAGTGACTACCAAAGTTTCATACGACCTCATATCACCAATTCGTACGATGTGGTGAAAAAAGTAAAAATGAGATAACTATACCAAGGCTCGGGAAGGCCCTTTTGGCATTATCCTGTACAGAGAACTCCCAAAATTTCCAAATTTTTAACCTTTGACAGCAATTTCAAAGTGCGAGAACGAATAGCGATGGATTCGTGAGAGCTGTTGCCAATCTTGATAAAAATTTGCTTTAAAAGCGCATTTGATACAATACGAAAAGCAAATTATAGGCTGAAAATTAGACCCATAATGTTTTTAAGACTATTAGAAAGCGTTACACTTTAAAAAATGAAAATCTATACTTTTTAACCCGCAATTTGGTTTTTTCGCTACCTACACTGAACTATTCGAGTTCTTTCCTTCCCTCCTTTTGCCTGACTGCATCACACATTACTCCAAGGCCAAGGAGGTGGTAATCAAAAGCCGAGTGACAGAACCTCGAGAGCAGAGATGAAAAGTGACACTTCACGTTTTGAATTTTTATAAAATTTAAAAAGGTTCGAATAAAATTCTCAAAATTTGAAATGCATCAATTTTTTTCGGAATTATTAATTAAACCTTCGGAAGTTTAGAAGCGTTTCAGATGGTCTTCCTGTTGATACTCCAGTATTATGTTACCATTGCTATCCTGTTGAGGTGGTAAAGGGAGTTTAGAGAGAAAAACCCGCGAACCTAACCTTTAAACCTAACGAAAACATTCGCAACGCGTGAACGTTTTAGACTTGGGGTGAAATATGTCAAAATCAAAAATCACCGTTTCTAGGCGTTTCTTGGCCTCCTAAATGCATCCCTAAAAGTTTCAAAAAAATTCGTGGAAATTCATAAAATTTCACGCGGAAAAATTCAATGAAATTTTCCGTCTCTCCAAAAGTTTAGATGTCTCCACGTGTCGCCATAGGAGTGGAGGGTGTCTCCTTGACTCAAAATACGATTATTGGTGTCAGGGTTGATGAAGGACTTTTAAGGGTTCCCTTCGTCTATCGTTACGGCTTTGAGTGTAGAAAAACAACGCAGTAGGTCAGGGGGCTGCAAGTTCATGGGCCCCCATGTTTTCCAATGTCGGTGCAATTTTGCCTCGAAGCTTTTCAATGTCGATGGTGTGATTTCGTCGCGCGGTATGCGTTTATAAGGTCGAGGACTGGGGCGGACTAAGCTTGAAGGCAGCATCCTCGAGACACATTCAACATCAGTACATTCAAAGTCAATGTTTTCAGCGTATCACAAGCTTTCATTAACACGCGAACATGAAATACCTAATCATTGCCGTCCCTCTGATTCGAAAACTTATGTAATTGAGAAGCGACAATGCTCATCAGACCGTGATCAGCTACTTTTTCCAGTCTATCGCTTATAACAGAGGAAAAAGTCCTTAATTCTTTTCATCTCTCGTGAAATTCTTGGAGATACTTACGTGCTTTTTAGATCTAGGAACACATAAATAATGATTAAATAGACTCCTAGTTCTTCGGCGCGTCAGGGGGGGGGGGGGGGGCATTCGTCCGAAAAAAGGAGGGAAAAAAGGGAAGAAAGAAAGAATAAGCAAAGAGCTAGCTGAGAAAGAATAATGAAAAACGCTCTTATTTGGTAATTATTCATGACGAAATTGACTCAAACTGCAAATGGGATGCGTTAAATTTCCAAAAATTTCTAGGAGAAGCCTCCCGGACCCTCTTGCCCCCCCCCCCCCCCCCCCCCCCCCCCCCCCCCCCCCCCCNTTATGTTTTTGCGGATGTTTGCAGCTTGTTCAATCCGAAAAATTTCTCAAGGGATGCATTATGGTGTGAGTTCTTGTACGATTCAGCTCTCAGGGTGACAGCGAAATGATACAAACGGTCCATCCAGAATTGGCTGTTTAGAGACTTAAACGACTGGGTAGAAACGTAGAGATCCTATTGATTAAACATGTATACAAACAATGTTCTTTTGAAATGAGGTAAGAATCCTGGATGGTGGATTTTTAGCGCTGAATCCGCCATCAGTTTTCTCTCATCACGTGAAGATTCCCTGGTAAAAATGTTCCATGCGAAATTTGCATGGAAATCAGCCGCATGTAAAATTGGGACGGAAAAATTTCCATGCGCATATGGCATGGAAACCAACTTCATGGAAATCAGCCGCATGGAAAATGTTAAGCAGGGTGGTTGGGGAAAAAGAGGCACCCCTAAGGATTATTTAAGGAAATAATTTTCGAAATTGTGAAAAATTAAATTAATTGAACTATTGGGAGTCCATGCAAGCGTTATCGTAAGTTAGAATTTTTTGGCCTGCATCGGGGTTTGAACCTGGGACCTACCTAACACCAGCCGAAGACCCTACCGATTGATCCATTCCGAGCGATGAGAACGGGAGCCGAAAAACCAGGATTTAACTTCGATTAGAACGGATAACTAGAATATTTAGAATACCGGTACATTTGTTCGTTTTTAAAAATATATTTTATTTTTGCTTAATTTTATTTTAACTTTACTTTATTAGTTGTTTACTTTATTTTATTTTTAACTCTTTTTTTAAACTTTACTTTCTTTATTTTCTTTGACTTTATTTTTTTACTTTATTTTTTTTAAAACAAATTTTTACTTTAATTTATTTTTTCTTTATATGATCATTTCTTCACTTACTCTTTTTTTCTTTAATTTTATTTTTTATCATTTATTTTAAGGTTTTACTTATTTTTTTATTTAATTTAATATTATTTTCCTTTGTTCACTTTTTTTATTATTTAATTTAATATTATTTTCCTTTATTCACTTTTTGCTGCATTTATGCACGCCCACAAAAGACCAACGAGGAAATGTCAACGATTTTTTGGGAGCTACTAATGCAACCCGCAACAATCGTCCGTGAATTCTTTAAAAAACTACGTTTGACTCATCTTTTTATTTCTCCTTTTTTTTTCTAACTAAAATTAAGATTTTACCGTATAATGTTATACTGAGCTCAGTGTAGACGTTTCTAAAAATTATTGTGGTTAACGAAATTTTATTTTATGAAGTTTCATAAAATCTTGCATACCTGGTTTGACCCATCGTGATTAGTACCGAGTGTTCCTGTTTTTTCCACAATGCATTAATAACAATGACTTCGTTAGCAAGCTGCTCAAATAATGGTGGTAACGATTCCATGCTCATTATGGCAAAAGTAAAATGTCCACGCATGTTGCATTGAAATCATAAGATTTCCATTCAGACTGCATGGAAATGATGAAGTTTCCCTCCCGCGTGGAAATCACTTGAGTTCTGCGGCGCATGGAAATCAGATCATTTCCATGCAACTTGCATGGAAATGATTTGACTTCCATGCGACTTTCATGGAAACCAATTGATTTCCATGCGTCTTGCATGGAAATCAGGTGATTTCCATGCAAATTCGCATGGAACATTTTTACCAGGGTTTCCCAAAACATCGAAATTCTCCCGGAAAAACGGGATTTCTGCAGAAAATTAAATTTCGTAACACCTGGTGCATGGTAGAAAAACCCCTAATTGATAGGGAGAAACTGATGATGACATATTTTTCTTCAGCCATGAAAGCTCATTTAAATTTGTAGTGTAGAACTCTAGCATGTACTTTATGTCCAAAAAATGACATTTACAGGGGTTTATCAGGTCGGGAAGGAGAGGGGGGGGGGCTCAAACTCTCCGAACCACTTTCCTGGATAAGATTTCATTGAAGAACATACTCTATCTTTCACAAATTTGACCTTGATTCAATTTATGTAATTTTGAAGGAGCCAACCCGAAAAGAGAATTTTGCAGATCGCAAAAGACTCAAACGCAGGGGTAGAAAAAGAGGCGCATCCACTAATTTCCTTTATCGACTTTCTCGGTAAAAATAATGACACACATATTGCCTCTAGGTGAGTAGGAGCTGTCAACGAGGTGCGCTTTAAAGTCGTAACCACTCCGACGATGCCAAATTTTCGCGGCTTTTCTCCTGTTCATTAAAGTTTGAACTCCATCATTCCCAGTCCGGCTTAACTCTCTCTACATTCCGGTAACGCTGTGATCGGCTTTAAGTAGTGCAACGCGCGTCGCGCGCTATCCTTCTTCACTCGTTGATAACTCTGCAAACTTCAAAGTGCAAACTCAAGTGACAGTAAATTGCAGTTTAATTGTTACGCACTTACGCGCGCGCGGCCAATATAATTTTCATTCGACGACTGACCGTCATAGTCTCGAACCAATGTTTGAGCACTTTTTGTGCATCTGAATGTGCCTTGGAGGGGCAACTTAGGGGCCGTCCCTAAATTACGTAACGCACTTTTTCGGCATTTTTGAACCCCCTCCTTCTTGTAACGCTTTTGTGACGCTGGTTCCTATCCTTTAACACGTAAAAACAAAATGGCGTTACGCTCTCTTCGACTCCCCCCCCCTCCCCCATAGAGCGTTAGGTACGTATTTTAGGGACGGCCCACAGTGGATCGAGTCAATCGTCGAGGTTGGACATGGATGTGTTTACTAAAACTGCAAATTTTAATGTTAAATTCGTCACATTTTAAATTTTAAGGGGTGCTTCTGCGAGAAAATTTTACGAGGAAACCGATGGAACCATTCTTAAAATCTCAAAGTTTTGACGTTCCGGAGTTATAAGCTTTTAAAGTTTCCAAATTTTGTCGGACCTCTCCCACTGACTCGATCCACTGTGCGACCTGTTGAGCCGCACAGTCCCCCAGAGAAAAGTTAACAGGGAAAAATCGAGGAGTACAGGGCCTTATTATAGCTTGGAACACCGCCACAGGGAAAAATTGTGCTGCTCTCTTGACTTTCCGTGTGTAGTGTACCTTCATTGAAACAACCCGCATGATGGGAACGCCGCCCGTTAACACCCGGTGTTACACGATGAAGCCCCAGCGATTTCTGATAAAGTTTGCTGGCGGGAGCTGAGATCCATAGCGACGTAATAAGTCCGCGCGTGTCTCTTCAAAGATGCGGAGCTCAAATTATATTCCATTTTTTATCGAAAATTGTGACCGTCGTCCAGAGGAATAGGAATCTTTAGTCCATGGACCACACATTTTCAGGAGAGCGGTTTTTGAGAATATGATTTTGAGATTGCGACGGAAGACTCTAGTGACCTTAAGAATGTGTTGTAAACGGTCTAGTTAATTTTTCTGCCCACTCGCACGCCGCACAGTGAATCGAGTCAATCGGAGAGGTCGGTCATGAAATTTTTAACAAAGACGGCAAATTTTGATGTTTCATTCGCGTTGCATTTTAAATTTCAAGGGGTGCTTCTGAAAGAAAATTTCACGAGAAAACCAATTGAACCACTTTCAACACCTCTAAGTTTTTTATGAGCGGAGTTATAAGCTTGTAAAGTTTCCAAATGTTGTCCGACCTCTCCCATTAACTTCGATCCACTGTGTGCCGCGTACCTACTTGACGTGAATATTGCATCATCGACTGGCAATCAAGTACCCCGGGTACATCAGATTAGAATTTCAAAACGCCCCCCCCCCCAGCCGCTAAACTACATTTTTAAAACTGCGAACTTCAAACCGTTCATAACTTCACTTTTTTGACATCTTTGGGCCTCTTCTCGTCACAACCCTGGTAAAAATTGGCGATAGGAGCTGCGTTTCAAAATACCATAGGAGTTCTTATAGCCGACTAAAGAAGGCTATTGAAAATCATATAGCTGGCTGTAGAAAGCGGAGCAAATCATATAGCCGAGCTATACGAAGCTATAAAAAAGTATACAGTCGTGGTATAGTTCCTATGCTGGGCTTTACACTTTATCGCCATCGGCTATAAAAGGCTGTAAGAAATTATGTAGAAATTCGTGTGCTTTGGAAATCATTAAGTTTGATACGGATCTACCTTAATATTTACAAAACACACATTATACTTTCCTTTAAACCATATTTTTTTCATCAATTAAAATAAGAATAATCCATACAGAGTGTGCAAACATTTCTAAATCATGAGTTGAATAACGCTGACTCCGCGAGATTAAATATTAGAGCCTAACACAAAGCGGAGCGGCGACGCACTGGCGCCTACAAACCTAACAGGGATACTTCACGCATTGCGGAATGCGTGAAGTATCCCTGTTAGGTTTGTAGGCGCCAATGCGCGTTTCGCGCTCTCTGTCCGCCCGCCGCGCCGCAGCGTCTGAGGCAACTATTTCTCACCAGAGGTATTGCACAGTATCATACGAAATTGAAGGCGCTCCAACATATTAAGAATGACAGGCATCCTTCAAAAGTACGGAGCTTTCCTCGCAAAATAAATCAAGATACTACGGCACAAAAAGAGAGCGGTAGTCCAAAAACTAACTAAGTCCTAGTATCCATATTTAGTAACGTTTAGCATTATCTTCTGGCTGTTGCTTAATCGCCATCGGCTATAAAAGGCTATAAGAAATTGTACAGCCGGCTACAGAAGCTATTGGAAATCTTACAGCCGGCTTTAGGTCTATAGTATTTTGGAACACACATTCTACTGCCAATTTTTACCAGGGAATATAGTCGTAGAACACTTCTTTATGCTTTACATCTATAACTTTTTTTAAAAAAGTTTTTTTTTATGCATGGCTACCCAATTTTCGACATTTGGGTGTCCAAAAATCAGTACTTTTACGGCACATTCCTAAGAAATTCAGTACCTCCTCAATAGAAAAATGCAGTACATTTTCAGTACCTCCGATTAACGAAATTCGAAAAATTTGAATTTCTCGCTCAAATTACGTTAAAAGTGACAAAAAATTCCGGACCTTCTTGCGGAATTTTCACACTTTTTCAGTAGGTACTTCCGGACCGCCCTTAAAACATCAGTACTTTTTCTGAACTTTCCGGAAATTCCGGACTTGTAGACACCCTGGACATGCAGCTAAAACTGAACTCTAAAAAAAAAAATTATTTTCACCGACAGTCTATGGTCTTTTTTGCAGGCTCTTTGTTTGTCTGGTGAGAATCGATTTGGTCGAACCGGAAAAATTCGTGATCCATTCCTCATCTCGACCCGAAGCCTCGAACAAAGAAACAAAATGCGGCTGCGAAAATGAAGCGCCAACGTTGCAGAGCGTCACGGGGGATGATTCTGCTTTCATGCAATACATGGAGAATATGCTGAGCAAACAGTGCGATCTCAAGGACGCCACTGCCTGCAACCGAGTTTACCAGGTGAGCGCAAAAAATCACGAATATTTGCGACTTTTTGATACCTACTTCACTCTTAAGCCTTTGACCTTCAAGAAGGGTCCACAATTAAATCACGTTACTTTACATCAATTCAAGGACGAAGATGAGTTACACTGAGAGGAAAACAACTTAAAAGCGAAGGAGCTAGGAAAACGAGTAAGCAAAACATGAAGTAACCCAAGCCCAGCGGGGTATAGCGAGAAATTCATGATTGGGATAGGGGTGGGAGGGGGGGTCACAGTCAAGAATATCTCACGGGAAGAGGAAGAGGGGTCCAAAGGTACCTATAAAATTCCTATAAATTACGAAAATGACTTTTTTTTGTGAAGATGTTTAAATCATGAGGGATCCAGACCTCCTGGACACTCCCCTCCCCCTCTCCCTCCCTTGGTTCCAAATGCTTCATTAATTCTTCATTAGGAGCATTTCCGCTGCCAATTAATAAATAGTAAAATTCAAGCACTTTTCAGCTCCTTCAAAAGAAAAAAAAAAGAACAATCTTAAGGCTTCGAATAAAAATTTTAGAATCAAGCACTTCTTAAACTCTTTCTCATGAGAATCATATCGAATCCGTCTAATTGGACTGCGTTAAGCAGAAAGGAACCAACCCACATTTTGGAAAAAATTGAGTTATGAGTGGTTTTGAACTCGACCACTGCTCTACTATCCATCGCCAAAAATTCAAAGTTTTTGTTGGAGCAAATTTTGCAGAAATTGAACTTGAAGTTTATCTTTTACATTGAGTCTTATGCAGGAGCCAAACTTTAAACCTCTTTTTCTCGGTTCGATCCCGATGTGCCTTGGTTCCTTTCTGTTTAACTCCGTCCAATTAACCGGACGAGGAAAAACGGAGAGTCCGGCGAGGAAAAGCTAATTAAACTGGTGATTAAAATAGTGTGATTAATTAAGGTAATTGAAGGTGATGTTGTGTTTAGGGGAATAACGAGGTGTATGACTTTATAGTGGTCGGAGCTGGGAGTGGCGGATCGGTGGCGGCGGCGAGGTTGAGCGAGAACCGCGAGTGGGACGTCGCCCTCCTGGAGGCGGGAGGCCCGGAGCCCCTGGGGGCCCAGGTCCCCAGCACCTACCACAACTACGAGGGCCACGCCGAGATCGACTGGAACTTCTCGATGGAGCCCCAGGAAGGCGCCTGCCTCGGCTGGCCCCAAGGCAGGTGCCACTTCGCTCGAGGTAAGGTGTGTGCGTGTGCGTGAATATCGTGTAGCTCCTGAAAGTAAAAAAGGGGACCAATCATAACCACCCCCCCCCCCAAAAAAGCACAGTAGAAAATAAAGTAATCCTAGTGTAGCGAGCTGGAAAGATGAAAATTAAATGGAAAACCTGGAAATTTTGAAGAAACTCAAGACTTCTATTTCAATAATTAACGAAGTAAAATTGGACTACATTTTGTAATAAATTAGGAACTCAAATTTCTGGCTCATCCGCTTTATTCTCATACCATAAGGAAACTAATAGTGCATACGTTAATTGTTTCTAAGCTGAGTCAAAGGTTGTAGTTCACATTTGCAAAATGTAGTCTAATTCATGTGGGAAAAAACACGGAAAAAATGAATCGTCGATCTTCTGTTAAGTAGGTAGGTATTGCGAAACTGAGACAAAACAAAACAGCGAAAAAAGAGGCGCCAACGAAATTTAATGCGATTGAACGACACTGGCCCTGGAGCGCTCAGCATCAGAGGCAGTGGCTTCATGCACCTACACGAAGACTCACGAGATAACTATTACCACTCCCACGTAGGTTTTTCTGCCTACCTTACTGAATGAAGGCGTTTCCTCGTCGAAGCGTAGCTATAGTTTCCGACCATTGAGATGCAATTTTCCTCTGTTTTCTCGTGAATACGCAACCTCTTTTTCGTCGTGGAGGGGACTCTACTGTTGATTTATTCCTTAAGGCGTTACGTCACAGAAATGTTGCTGTAAACTTGTTTCGACAAAGAATCTAGCTGTTTTTTTGTTTTGTTTTTTTATCGTGGGTAGAGGTTTAGAGGAAGTATTTTTTTCAAGGGGGAAAAAAGTTGCACACTTTCAGCCACATTGTAATACACAAGGTCAAAATTAAAAGTGCAATTTATGATTTTGATCCCATTTTTGAGGGGAGGACGGCGACAAAAGTTGTTAGGAGGCAAAGTTCAAGGAGAGACATCTCAAAGAGCCTCGACAAATTATTTTATCAAAATTGTCCTCAAAGAGAGTTTTCCAAAGCAGGGGAGGGTGTGATTTTCTTATCCACGAAACATCCCTTGCAAGAAAGTAGCTGCACGAGGAAACAGAGAACTAGGCGGAAGATCGTATCTAGCTCAATACCAGTAGACCCCCCGCCCTTGAGGGGTAACTGCGCTGATCGTTGAACTCGATAGACAAAGCTATAGACAAAGAAGACATAGGGAGTATGGAGCAATCCTATTGGTTGAAATGGGTGGTTCTTATAGACCAAGGGGGTAAAATGATGGACTTGGTAACTATGGTCTCTCGTTAGTCTATTGCCTACTTCATACGTCCATTGCAACCAGCCGCTTCCACTAATAGGATTCCTCCATCCCTGTTGTCTCATGTGTCTTTAGCTTTGTGTATCAATTTCAAAAATCAGCCCGCTGGACCCTTAATTGGACGGAGTTAAACAGAAAGGAACCAAGCCACATCGGGATCGAACCGAGAAAAAGAGGTTTAAAGTTTGGCTCATGCATAAGACTCAATGTAAAAGATAAACTTCAAGTTCAATTTCTGCAAAATTTGCTCCAACAAAAACTTTGAATTTTTGGCGATAGATAGTAGAGCAGTGGTTGAGTTCAAAACCACTCATAACTCAATTTTTTCCAAAATGTGGGTTGGTTCCTTTCTGCTTAACTCAGTCCAATTGCCACTCCCCTCTTCCGCATTTTTCCACATACGCTCACGCCTCTTGAACATCAACAGGTAAAGTGATGGGCGGGACAGGCGTTCTGCACGGGATGATGTACAGCCGCGGGAACTCCTGGGACTTCGACGAGTGGGAGCGACTGGGGAACAAGGGCTGGGCCTACGAGAACGTCATCGACTACTTCCTCCGGTCGGAGGACAACACGGACTACATGCCGACCTACGACTCCGAGGGCAACGTGTACCACAGCCGCGGAGGCCCGCTCACGATCCAGCGGTTCAACCACGCGCCGCCGCTGGCCAAGAAGATCATCGAGGCTGCCGGGGAGCTCGGCGAACCCACCTACAATGTCATCACCGATGGGCTTCACAGGGGCTTCACCCTCGCCCAGGCCACGACGAGGAACGGCACGAGGCTCAGCGCCTCCAAAGCCTTCCTCCAGCCGGCCATGGATCGCCCCAATCTGAAGATCTACCAACATGCTCAAGTAAGTTGCTTCAGAAAAGGTTAAAAAGGTGGGAGACCTTTGAACTCCCATCAAGATTTAAGTAGTCTGTAAGGTATGAGTGAGAGTGTGAATGGAGTGTGAATGAGGGTGAAAGGAAGAATGCAAAACNACTCGTTTCGGCCTCCATGAGCGAGAACCAATCAGAATTGGATTTTTTTTTAGGCCACTTTCAGCCCAACCAAAAGTGAGTTGTCTTAACTCTGGGTATAAAGGGACTCTAATAGGATTCCTCCATCCCTGTTGTCTCCTGTGTCTTTAGCTTTGTGTATCAATTTCAAAAATCAGCCCGCTGGACCCTTAATTGCCACTCCCCTCTTCCGCATTTTTCCACATACGCTCACGCCTCTTGAACATCAACAGGTAAAGTGATGGGCGGGACAGGCGTGCTGCACGGGATGATGTACAGCCGCGGGAACTCCTGGGACTACGACGAGTGGGAGCGACTGGGCAACAAGGGCTGGGCCTACGAGAACGTCATCGACTACTTCCTCCGGTCGGAGGACAACACGGACTACATGCCGACCTACGACTCCGAGGGCAACGTGTACCACAGCCGCGGAGGCCCTCTCACGATCCAGCGGTTCAACCACGCGCCGCCACTGGCCAAGAAGATCATCGAGGCTGCCGGGGAGCTCGGCGAACCCACCTACAATGTCATCACCGATGGGCTTCACAGGGGCTTCACCCTCGCCCAGGCCACGACCAGGAACGGCACGAGGCTCAGCGCCTCCAAAGCCTTCCTCCAGCCGGCCATGGATCGCCCCAACCTGAAGATCTACCAACATGCTCAAGTAAGTTGCTTCTGGCACGAGCATAGAGTACATAGAGTCGTAATGTAAATTGGAGAGCTGGCGCCATGTTCTGCTCGACGAATTCCGAGCCGAGTTCGGGTCCCTTTTTCGATACATTTTCGATCCAAAATGGCGGTGTGGAATACGTGGTAATTCCTATCTCCTTTGTTGTTGTTGTTGTTGTTGTCATCGGATGGCCGGGTACCCGTGTATTGTAAACAATCGATTATGTATCGAAAAAGTGACCCGGCTTTACACAGGAGTCTCGGAATTCGGGACATGGAAAATGCTTAAAAGTGGCGCCAGCTCTCCCAATTACATTACGACTCTATGTACTCTATGGGCACGAGAGGATGGAGTATTCTGAGGTGGGGTTTGTGGCTCCGCCATGGGGCTCTCCCATAGAGAAAAAAAAAAAGGTGTTTGCATCTTGAGGATTGTGTACCCTGTGACGTAGGTCGGAACTTCGGAACAACCTGGTCAGCAAAATCCGGAATTCGAAGTATGAAAAACGGACCATAACGTCCAATTTTTTTCTTAAATCAACTCATGATATAATTTCAAATACTTTATGTAGAATGCATTTTTTCCATAAGCTATACACCATTTCCAAGAGAATCGATGATAAAAGCCGCGGTACCGACCTACGTCATCAAAAAAATTCCAAGATGCCCGAAATGCAAACACGTCCTTTTTTTTCTCTATTGGGATCTCCCTTCCCTCCATAAATCGTCACCTTCCGGCCAAGGTATCGCAAGCGTAATGCGACGCGTCTAACTTTTAGCCTCCGTTTTAATTTTTTACAGAGAAATTTTCGGTTGAATCTGTTCGAAAATTCACTGAATTTTAATCGGCAGCACAAAGAAAATTCAGTGAAATTCTCAGACAGCTTCATATCGAAAAATTTCTCTGCGGAAAATTACAGTGGCGGCGAAAATTTTGAAACGTCGCATGGCGCTTGTGATACTTTGGCCGGAAGGTGACGTAGTGGACTTGGCCCTATGGAGAAAAAAAGACACCACGAAATAATTTCACTAAGAAAAATTTGTTTGCAAGTTTTTGTGTTTGCATAGTTCCAAAACCTCAGGATTGATACCAACTTCTCGACGCTGTTTCATTCCGACCTCTAAATTCCTCTCAAAACAGAACAACTAATCTGCAATACTATGGCATAAGTTGCTCGAGCAAAGTCAAGTTCACCACGTTTTCCAGCCCATCCATATTACCCTATGGGAGTATCTGATAAGCGGAGCTAATCTGTGATTGGTCAAAATTTTTCCCTCGTTTTTTTCGCTTGGCGGGAAAAACAGGGCGCTTAATTTGAATTTGCGCTCTTTCTATGAGAGCGCGGCACAACACACATTGACACGAAGTGTGCTGAACAGGAGCTACACCAAGTAGAGGAAAAGGCACGATTTTCGAAGATGTATACCAAAATTTTACGTTTACATACTGATAACCTTAAAATCCGAAAAAAAATTAAAAATTGAAATGACCTAATGGCAATTTTGAGCTTTTTTTCTCAGAATATTGATTGAATCACAATTTCCAAGATGACACGTCTTTATATCACAAAATTTCCATTTTTAGACAATTTTTAGACATTAGGTCACAAAATTTCACCTGTATCATCGCATCGGCGAGATCTAAGATTACCTGAGGTGCACAGACTCATATCACTTCTAGCTTATCTCTATGACTTGGCCTGCTCCAGAAAATGTTAGAAAATTTGTGGTATAAAGACGTGTCATCTTGGAAATTGTGATTCAATCAATGTTCTGGAAAAAAAGCTCAAAATTGCCATTAGGTCATTTCAATTTTTAATTTTTATCGGATTTTAAGGTTATCAGTATGTAAACGTAAAATTTTGGTATACATCTTCGAAAATCGTGCCTTTTCCTCTACTTGGTGTAGCTCCTGTTCAGCACACTTCGTGTCAATGTGTGTTGTGCCGCGCTCTCATAGAAAGAGCGCAAATTCAAATTAAGCGCCCTGTTTTTCCCGCCAAGCGAAAAAAACGAGGGAAAAATTTTGACCAATCACAGATTAGCTCCGCTTATCAGATACTCCCATAGGGTAATATGGATAGGCGGGAAAACGTGGTGAACTTGACTTTGCTCGAGCAACTTATGCCATAGTATCGCGGATTAGTTGTTCTGTTTTGAGAGGAATTTAGAGGTCGGAATGAAACAGCGTCGAGAAGTTGGTATCAATCCTGAGGTTTTGGAACTATGCAAACACAAAAACTTGCAAACAAATTTTTCTTAGTGAAATTATTTCGTGGTGTCTGAGTTAGGTTCATAAGGTCAGGAGGAGAGAAGGAGGATGAGCTTTAGTGTGAGTGATGACCATGAAGCAAACAAATACATTTTTATAGTATTCCATGAAGCCCTCTTTCTGGAGTTTATACCAGAAACTTCTAGTGATACTTGATTAACAGTGGCGTGGCGTGAATTGCGATGTATCGATTGTTATGCCATTTAAACCTATGGTAAAGAATCGATTATTAAGGTGTTCGCTGCGAACACTCTGTTTATCGATCCTTTTCCATAGGTTTAAATGGCATAACACTCGATTTATCGCAATTCACGCCACGCCACTGTTGATTAACAGAAAAAAAAAGAGAAAAAAAATACTGACATTGAATTCTCATTATCGTGGGTTTTTGATCATGACTTTAAATTTTTTACAGGTTACTAAAGTGCTTATAACACCGACCACTAAAACTGCGATAGGAGTTGAGTATATTCAAAATAACGAAAAACAGCGGATTTTTGCTCTGAGAGAAGTTATCATATGTGCTGGAGCTATTATGTCACCCCACATTTTGCTTCATTCTGGAGTAGGCCCTGCTGAGCAACTTAAAAAATTTGGTGAGTGGCGCACAAAATACCTACACAGTATTTTGTAAAGACTGAGGAAAAAACACTTCTTAGAATAGTGCATTTATGCAAAGTTGACAAGAGAAAGGAGATCAAGTGAAAAAAATGGAGGGATGTTTTCTCATACTATGGATTGGTGGGTATCCACCATTAAAACGAATTTCCTATCACTTCACAACCAAATTTTTTTCTATTCTTATTATAAACTAATAAGGGTTTTCAATGACTTGCTCAGGTGGTTTTTTTAAAGTGATTATATCTCTCACTCATCACAGAATAACCTACGTCAATAATTATATGAGGATGAAAGAATACATATTTTATGTTGGAACTAACGTTTAAAATATTGTACAATAACACTGTATAAATTCATATCTATTATCTTCTTTTAATTTGTCACCAGGAATTCCCATCATTCAACATTTGCCTGGAGTTGGAAAAACTTTGATGAACCACGTTTCTTTTTCCGTCCCAATCACAATGGATTACCCAGCTATGCGAGTTCTTGATGAAAGCACTTTGGATGATTTTTTAACAAACAGAAAAGGTCCATTAACGAGTACCGGACTGAGCCAGGTAGGTCTCTCACAATCACAATTTTCTTGATTCGTGAAGGATATGATTGAGGTATGATACCAAATCTCTAAGCAACAGATAAAGCAAAACGGCTTTTGCTGTTGAGAAAGGATTACCTAAATAACTCCTTCAGCAGAATATGTTCCGCTTTCACAAAAATCTTTCAAACACTCAAATACATCTATGATCAGTCAAAAAAAGTAAACACGGACTGACTGAAAACTTTGATATTTATACTTACATCTGAAACCTGGAAGAAAATTTTGAACATCTATCTGCATGGATCAAATTGTGCAATCAGAAGTAAATTCCAACAAAATCTCATTTTTGTTGAAATTAATAACTGTCCACACCATACACTACCTCTCATGATTCAATTTGGCAGGAAAGATCTATTTTCTCGTAGAAAAATATGACCATGAGACCAAGTTAAATAATTTTTACTGATTTATTTTTCTCTTTCTATTTGCTGCAGGTAGCCGGTTTCGCAAGACTTGATGAGCCTCTAGCTAAGCATAAAGGTCACTTTGTGCCAGACATTCAATTTTTTTCTTCAGGTTTTCAAGCTAATTATTCGCGGACAGGGAGAATCGGAGAAATTTATGGTCGCCATGAATTATACTCGTAAGTTCCAGAGTAGCTCCTATGCAACTTTCTCTGTAGGTATGAGTTTTACTGTTGAACATCAAAATATACAGCCCTGGTTGCACGGTAAACAAAATAATAGAAACTATGCGTTTGTGCAAGATTATTCATAAAACATGTGAGGAAATAGACTAACAGGAATAGGCTTCAAAGAAGGTTTTAGGCTTGGCAAATTGTTCAGATGTATACCGTTTCTAAAGAAATATATTTGGAGAAAAAATATTAAAAAGATTCTCTTACAGCAAAATGAGACATTGAGCTGTTCAAATAATTTCAGGAAAAGGATAAGTTTTTCTAGTCATTTTCAAAATCTTAAATTTTTTAATACAGGTGAAAGACCTCTGTTAGGTACATACACGCTTTCAGTTATTCTCCTCTAAGTTCAAATAGAATGTTGCCATGAAAATGGAAAACATTGTCGACTTCCTGTAGCATTGCAAAAAATACAGGTTTGTAGATCTCCTGTTAACTTGCAAATTCCACAGAAACCTGGAGAGCCTACCTACTTTTATGTAAATTTATGGGTAAAAAACTTTGAAGCTATTTCTCAGGATACCTTAGAATCTTGAGAAAAATAATTGTCTGCAACTTCGTTTTGTTGGTTCAAAAAATATAATTGAATTAATAAATAAAACAATCATGATTTTTCTCTCTACAATGAGACATCAGTTGTAGACTAACTAACTTTGAGCGAACCTTGGCGAAATTTCTAACACTCTGTCTAAAAGGATTGAACAGCAATCTGTTTGTTAAAATCATCATGTTGGCTGTTGGTTGAGTTATGATGAGTTGGTTTTTCTTCTTTTTTTTTCAGTATAACACCAACCTTGCTGCGCCCAAAGATATATGGAGAGATTCGTTTAAAAAGCAAATCACCCTTGGCACATCCTTTGATTATTGGAAACTATTTACAGGATCCAGATGATATGAGATTATTAGTAAAAGGAATTCGGTTAGTTTCAATGTGTTAGCTTTTCTAGTTTTCTGTCATGATTTACTATGTGTCCGAACTCATAAATGCATAGATTGTATCAAAGTACCCTGATATTCGTTCTCTTGAGAACTGAAAATATATTCTCATACTGAAAAAGAACAACATGTATACCTCAATTTTCACTGAGGATAAAAAAAAAAAAAAAAAAAAAAAATATTTGTTCATATTATATGATCCTCAATTGGTTTTGTCGAATAATCGTACTAGTTGTATTTTTTAAAGGTGATTCAAACCTGCACCTACATTTACTTATTTTGCTTGGAAAAATGCAAGTGAGAAAAAAAGTGGAAAAAGTCACTAAGTTTTGAAGGATCAGGTTCCTGGTGTTATCGTGCACCTTCCTTATTAACTCATTATTATTCATTCAGGTTTGTTGAGCGAATGGTGAACACAACATCTTTGAGGAGTACAGGGTCAAGGATAGTCCCCTATACAATAAAAGGATGTGAAAAGTATCCATTTGACTCGGATGGATTCTGGGAGTGTGCCATCAGACATGACACAAATTCTGAAAATCATTGGGTAGGGACGTGCAAGATGGGCCCAGAGAAAGACCGTAAGTTCTATTTAATTACTCCTGTGTCGTTATTTTAGGCTTGGATGAATGAATAAGTAACGCTTTTTTTTATGAATTTCATGAAGTTAATTAGATTCTCTCTAGAAAAAAAGGTATGTCTTTTAGAGGATATCTTGCAAAAAAAATTAAGGAGTTTGGCGTTGTCTTAATTTTGTTAGTTTTTGATATAATGTCCTATACGACCTCCTCAATAAGGTTTATGAATGATTTAAACAACTGAAACATTAAATTTCCAGCCTTAAATAAAGTTACTGATAAGAGTTATCTAATTCAACAGGTCTGGCAGTTGTCAACTCTCAATTACAAGTATACGGAGTTCCGAACTTGCGAGTTATGGATGCATCTATAATGCCTACAGTCCCGAGCGGGAACGTTAATGGGCCTATCATAATGATCGGAGAAAAAGGATCTCAAATGGTAAAGGATGCTTGGCTCATCAGTAAGCGCTCAAGAAAGAAAATCGATCTAGATAAAATGATGGAGGAAATGAAATCCAGTAAAACGTCTTCGTGATCTACAGAGAAATTTTTAAAGCTCGTCTATCTTGAGTTCAAGATTTTTTCCATTTGTAATATAACTCATCCAAGCTCTCTTACTGTTGTGGAAGACAACATTCTGAGAGTTGAGTTTCATGACAGCAATGTTCTAATACTTTTTTTTAACTGATCAGAAAAAGGAGACGAATTTCGACTGAACAAAAACAAATTCAACTTCAGTTTCCTACAATTTGAAAGCTTTAAGACCTGACCTAAAACATATCACATGTTTCCTTTTTCAAAACTTAACCGGAAAACGACTTACATGATGGGAATTTCGGAAATAAACTCCCGAACGACATATTAACATGGATATGTAACATAAATCAAATGGAAGTTAGGTCATACGAATGATGTCATTCGTTTTTTTGCCATATAACAAATGCTAAGTTTAAACCCTGATATCTTGTTGAAGAGTAGGTTACCAGACTTTCCTTTGTGTAATTCGTTTTCCTTGTGAAATTTTGAAGAGAAAACATGTTGAGTAGCACAATATATTATATTTTGTCTAAAGGCCTATTCTGCTGGCTGAACTTTAACATTCCGCAGAGATTGAGGCAAAAAGGCAACCTTTTTGAATAAAGTAAGCTTTCAAAAATTCCTCCTAATTGTTACCATGATTAAATTTATGACTAATTGAGGAAATTTGATTTTTTTAATTAACTTTTTTTCACCAAAAGAACTTGTAATTTGCCCTGTTTTTTTTGTTCCGTCTAAATGCGGTCGATTATGGAATTCTACTCTCCATAATCCATTTTCCTGATCATCAGATGGTGTTTATTTATGGTTGTTAGTGTAAATTTCCATCACACCTTATTTAAATGAAAAAAAAATCGTTATCGTTCCTTTCAGAGTTAGAGAGTAGGAGGTATTTTTAACTAGTTGCAGTCCCACAACTGTGCCAAGACTGAAGGGTAGAATTTTTAAAGAGCCTGTTTAGGTATATCACCAGCAAGAAAATAAAAGGAACCCAATACTCAACTTGCTGAGGGTTAAGGGGGTGGCTGCATTAGTTTAATTAATTATAGTCGATAACTTTTAGTGACTAATAATTTTTTACACCATGTAAGTACAAATAGAGTTATTTTTAAGTTGTAAGAGTTGATGATTATTTTAGGATGTGTATCAATCTGTTCCTGTTGTAAGCTTGAGATCTTTTAAAAACAGCAAAATCTATTGCAACATTCATGTATCTCCGCTTAGTGCTTAATGCTTAATGTTTGACTTCTGAAACAGCTGAACTTAACAAACAAAACCTGAAAATCAGTTCGATGTTTTTTTCTCTACCAAGAAGTGATTTGGTAGTGAATTATATTTAGCTTTTTAGTATTATTTTTATTTATTTTTGAACGTATTATCTAATTAACCATTGAGAGTCATTAGAATGTATTTGCAAAGAATTTGGGAGGTTTTGATTGTTTTGATCTTTGTTCAGGAATGTTAGTGTCACAAAAAATTTAATGAGATCGCAAATAATTTTTACTTTGTTTATTAATGACCATTTTAAAATTATTCAGTTACCTAGAAATAACACAGTACATAACTTAATAAGAGATAAAAATTCCTTCCTTATTCTAAACACAAAATGTAAAAATGAAACAACATTCATAAACCGATGAAAAATGGATTCATTCTTAAGAATGAAAACAGCTGACTTGAAGAGTTTAAAATTTAAACTAAAAGAGATGCGACTGAATACTGCTAATTCAGTTAGACCCTTGTGTATGTAGCAGGTTGATCTCATGATTCCGTGGCTGAGCTAGATCTGACCGTGCAAATCAAATTTAATACTTATGTCAAAATTGTACCATTTGTAGAGTATAATAGACCTGATTTAAAGTTTTCTGAGTAAATCTAAACTAGCTGAGGAATATTGATCCACAAATATGATTCAAAATATTGATGGCTAAAGTCAAAAAAGCATATCTCGAATCGCAAGATTGAAAATCTCCACACATATTTTATTATTTAAACAAAAACTAATGAACAGTTAGTATTAAAATTTTCTGTGAATTTTCTTCGATTGCTCTAAAAAAAAAAAACCTACTAAAAATTGCAAGGAAACATTTTGATTAGTTTTACATGATGGGAATAAAACATAATTGGAGATTTTTAAATGTTGCAGTTGGGATATGCATTTTATTGCATATAACCACCAACATTCTATTTGATTAGCATGAACAATATATTAGGTCGACCCTTGAAACAGAAACTGATTCTGGACTCACAAATTAAAAGGGCTTTCAGTCAGCTGAAGGGCCATGAGGGTATTTCTCAATGTGGCAAGCACATTGAAGAGTCACTCTGCAACGTTTAGAGAGAGAGCAAGGGAAACAAGCGTACCCATAGAATTCAAGATGATGGTACTCATCAAGAAAAATTGGTTGCTACTTCTTAAAGAAAATAAAGTTCAGAAACTTTTAGACAGGAGGTTCATGATTTCAGTTTTAAGACTCAATTATTTTCATTCCTCTAACTCTAGCGAATGACGCATAATGAATGTATCAAACGACAAAAACCAAAAATGAAGTGTGGAGAGGTTTCAAGACATGCTTTTTAATGCCTCATCCAAGTGTTTTACACTAAGAACTTCTTCCTTGAAAAGAAAATTTTGGGTGTGGTACGGCACAAAAAGAGAAGAACGAATGAAGATGAGGGGTTAAGTCACATTGCTAGAGTGGATCAGTTGTGCTTAGTCTATTAAGCTTACAGATTCGCAAAAAATGATACTGCATATTCAAATGCTGGGTTTCTACAACTAATTTTAACAGAGATATTGTTTATAAAAAAATACAGTGTATGATGTCATCAACCGCAGTAGAGCATCCCACAGTTTCTTCTGCCTTGGTTTCATCCGTCATTGATACTCACATTTGCTCTGATTGCAAAACGTAAAACATGGATGAAACCAAATGGAAGAAACCACAGAATGCTTTACCACAATAAATAATGTCATACATTACGTTTTTTGATGGGTAATAGCTTTGTTAATCTGTAAGCTTAAACCATTAAAACAAGATTCTAAGACGAGTGCAACTGACCCACTAGCCATGATGCGTTATTACGAAAATTGCATTTGACTCATTTTTTGTTGGCCTCAGCCTGGTGAGAGTCTGTAGAATTTACATCAAAAGTAAAACTAACAATAAATTAATTTCTGTTACTTACAAGCACATTATCACACTGGAAAAACCTGAAGATTCTTTAAAATTGAAGCTGATTGTTTTAGTCTTCAGTTTCATTAGTGTGATCATAGATCACTAAACTTGCTGGAGAAAAATGATTGCTTACTTCAACCTGGAAGAACTGCTATGGATAGCACTTAATGGTCAGTGCAATTTTGCCGAAAGTGCAGATTCTTCATTTTTTTTAGCGTAAAACCAATCAGCGCTTCGCAGAAGCACAAGTACTAATAACATTTTGAAAAGAGAAAAGGGAAGCAATGGGTTGAAGAATATTAAACAACCATTGGACTTTGGGGTTTGCTGTATTTTAGACGACTGATAACTTCAAGGGAGGTTTCAAATAAAATGTCGTTTCCTAAAGAAAACAATTAGAAAATGAGAGAGTGGCAATCTGATCTATTGGATAGATCTCAGTATATACACAGCTTGCATACCCTAATATCCTATCATTTCAGATCATAGTTAATTTGAAAACGTTGATTTAAAATGTCTTTCATTTGCTTTGCTTTAAAAGGAAAATATGAAAGAATAAATAGAGACTAACAAAGAAAAAACAGAACTTTCGAAATGGACCCTGAACTGAGACTTGAAGAAAAAACTGCACTCTCAGTAGAAGTACGTTACAACAATTGCTCCCTCTTGAAAAAAATCATCAAAAGTGCAACTAAAAATAGTGCACATTTTTAAAATTTAGAGCTGATTAATCTTCAGCGCTGCTTATTTCTACCAATGACGGTGAATTTTTCTGTAAGAGGAATGAAGTAAAAACCATCCAACAGCACAAAAAGTCTTATTCATCACAGGACTCATCACTATCTACCTCCATCTTACTCGTGTGAGAGAGAGTTGAGGATGATGATGAGGAAGAAGACGAAATTGAGGCAGATCTTCGCTTCTTCTTGGCTTGCTGATCTTTAACTGTCATTCTTGATGAATGAATCACCTTACAGTCACTCAAGAAATCTTTCACTGAATTGTGTTCCTTAATGTAAAGAGATGGAGCAAACTCACTAATACTGAAGATAAACTTGAGGCAACCAAAACTGATTTGAGATCCGTGATTTAAAAGAGCAGAACCTTCCCAACCATGGTTTTTCCCTGATGTCACCTCTTCGCCCTCGCTTTCACTTCCACTGCTTGGGTCATCTTCGTAGCACTTGCACCTCATCCATTTCTGAGGGCAGAGATGAAAATTAAATTTTAAAAAAAGTTAGAGTCATGTATGTAGCTTAAAATCGAATTACGTATTTTGCATAATGCCTTGGCTAATAATCTAATTTCAAAGACCTATCAAGTTTCGGATGCATTTGACACAGTTCTTAGATGTCCAGTGTTTTTAAAGAGGAATTTTGATCGAACTGTCAATTTCTTTTAAATTTTATGATCTGAACTTTTCAGTAACACTATAAACCCTTGCAGATTATCGCTCAGTGAAACACACCCTAAAAGGAGGCGTGGAGCAATGCAACAATATTAATAGCATTGTGCATTAAAACAATACTTTATCAATGCTTCATATTTGCAAGGCCATGAGGCAGAATCTTTTTACAGCCCAGTGCCAAAACTTCAAAATTTTCATTCCCCTGTGCCCAGATAATTTGAATCAGTGAGAACGAAAACACGCCAACTTGGTATCTCCAAAATGCTCAATTTTCATTTGAGACAGCCAATTTTGATGAAGATAATTGAAGTTAGCGTATCTGTTCCAACTCGGACCTTTAAAGTGTCCTGAAGTACTTGTCTATCGGCACCAAAAATTGTTTTTCTTAGACCTACCTTCTTCACCTACTGTGCAGTTTTGTCTGTGTCTAGATTACTGTCATTTTTTCGAGTTGGTGTGTTTTCGTTCTCACTGATTCATTTGTCTCACTGGCCTGCAGATTACTTAGTCAGTATGGGATATTTGATTCACTTTAAAGTCATAGAGGTTTCGGTTTGACATAGAATCTAGGTATCTCTAATTGCTACCAAGGGTCCTGTTCATGGTGTTAATCACTTGGTGGAGGATTGAAACTTAATCCCCCCAAAAAGAGAGGGCATTGCTCACCGCATAAATTCATGCCAAGGACTCTTTCATCTTGGTTTCAACAATCAGTGATGAATAAAAACACTGGTCCCTCTATGTGCGTAAATTCGTTAGACTAACGCACTTGAAATGAACTTTTACCAACGAAAACATAATGTACCACTGGCTTTATTAATTGGGGTATCTGATTTGATAGTGAACACAGAAAATTAGTCTCTGAATAGATCTTGATACTTTCTTGCTAGTCTATAAAATTTTACCGTCTAAGTGTTCTTTCAGAACATGCACAGCAAACCCACAGTCGAATGAAAGATACACAAAATAGTACCATCTCATCAAATGTTTGCTGTAAGAGGCATTCGATAAGTAAATCCCTTTCTAAAATCCACAAAAATTAACTAGACTGCAACGATCTTAGTTTGAAAGTTTTCTTGCGAATGTCTTGATTTCAGATAATGAAACCACACTCTGCATGGATAATTTACAGCTGGTAAAAGCCAAGGACTTGCGCTTAATATATCATCTAGGGAATAATTCGCAAAATTTCACTTATATCTTTTTCTTATCTTTTGGAAGAATTTCAATTTACAGGGAAGAAAAGAAAATATCTCTTTATAATCAATAAGAGGGTACTTACGGGTGTTCTGCCACCGAATGGATCTAATTTAATTTCTTCTTCTGAATCAGAATCATCAGCATACTTATAGACCGGCCTTTTGACTTTGATGCCTTCCTTGTTGGATCTACTTCGAGTATTCACTCGTGGCCTGGGTCTATTTGAAGTATCACAAGAGTAAAGGACATTGTCTACGGTGGTCCCATGTTCACTATAATTTAACAGTTCATAATGTAGAGAGCCCTGAAAAAAGAAGCAAAAAAATACCATTAAAATTGAAACTAGTACTAACACTAACAGGATCGGAAAACCTACACCCCAAAAATGAAAAATCTGCTAGTCAATCATTTTGTCGCTCCTCGGGCGTAACTGCTTGTGGACGTTGGCCCTGATTAGCTAAGAATTAAATAGGATATAAGACTCATCCCAAAATGAGGATACATCCTTGCGCCAGAGAGTCGAGAATTTGACAGGCCAATAATTAATACCACACCCTTAAAACATGATTTTTACAGGTATGTAGGGAGAAAATGGAAACACAGAGAATTAATACAATTTTTCAAATTAAAAACCATTCTTTCTAAGACCTTAGCGTTGCTTAAAATTAAGATTTATTTCCTAAAGTGCAGCTAGAAAATTTTTAGTGAGTGCATTCATGGGGCTTTTTCAAAATCCTACAGCATATTGTAGCCCTCAGCTGAGCATTCCTGTATATTTAAAGGTAATGACGCCCTTGGAACCACTCACCAATTAGATACAATTGATTCGGAAGCAAGTCATTAAAATCGAAAAGGTCGTGATTATTTTCAAAAATCGAAAAATTCGATACTTGTTGTTGAGTAAAGAATGAGAGAACAGAGGATTTATTAATTACTTAGTGTTGTTCATTTGCTGAGGGTTGCAGAAAATTACAATTCAAAATTTTAATAGCGAGACTAGAAACTTGCATGTTGATTGCTGCATTTTAAACTTTCAGCTATTTCATTTTTTCAAACAAAGTACACTTTTTTTTTGAACGGCACTACTGTGGAATATTTTTTATAACGTCATGATGTACAAATGAAATAAAGTTTCATACCTCATCAAAAAATATGGCGGCATGTTTTGAGGAAACGAAGTCACAATGACCATAATTTTTTAGACATAGATCAGCACAGGAATCTGCAAAAAAAGGTCATAATTTAATGGCAAACTGTGATGAGATAAAATATTACAGGAACACGTTGACCAAAATTCCATTCACTGAGCTGTGAAGGCATACGCAGGGTACCTGATAAAAGCGATACATCAAAGTTAAGAGTCACAGAAGCAAAAGGTATTGACCTTAAAGTTCCTGAAATTTTTGGATGAATTGGACTACATTTTGCAATTTGGAACTATAAATTCTAGCCCGGTTTAAAAACAACTTATGTACCATTAGTTTCCCAATGCACATAAGTGTTTTTCCAGAATAGCCAGAATTTCTAGTTCCAAATTGCAAAATGCAGTCCAATTAGCACCTTAGGCCAAGACCCAGAGCCTTCCCGTCTGATAACCATGATTCGTTACATTGGTTTGACCCTACGTATAGGCCTGTCAAACATTTATGACATTTTGACTTGAGATGCACCCATATCTATGCAATCTATTTGTTTCAAAATTACTCCATTCAGCAATCAGTCTGAGGTCATTACCTCACTGATAGAAATTTGAAACTACCCTCCAAACTCAAACACTAGTCATGCTCTTCTCGCATGATCTATCCCCCACTAGTAAAATTGAAGGAGGTCGCTGGCAGCTTCTTGGAGATTTAAGTCCATGTATGTTAAAGATCACTATGAGCCTAGAAGAGGTCGCCGTGCAACGGCACACAATTCCAGGTGGCCCCTGGCTTGTTAGAGGCAAACATTACAATAATGCTCCAAAAACGGCCTGTTTTTCGCTACAAGACGAACTGAGTGTTGCCTCTGGAAAATTAAAATGGTAACTAAGGAAATATCAACAGTAAAATGAACAGGAAGAAGAAACATTATTTACCTGTTCCAATTGTGAGCGTCCGAAGTACCATGGGAACAGACGGAGCAGAGAGCAAACTGAGAGGAGAAATGGTTGCACGAGCCTTGGTAGAAACTTTCCATTCTTCTTCAGAATCATTCAAAGACTTGTCAAAAGCTAGCTGAGATGTGCGGACACTGTCCGTCAATTTCTGTAACTGCTGACATGCCAACAAGTGGACTAGACGAGGATCCAGGCTTTCTAGAAGTTTGCACGAATCTAATAGAGCAAAAAGAAATGAATTAAAAATCTACAAAAAAAACAAGAACATCATCTCACATTAAAATTTGAATGGGTTGAGTTTTAAGGGAAATATTTGCAAACTTTGAAAAGTAGCTTTGCTATGACAATTGAAACTTATGCGCACCGATAACTCAAAAAGTAAATTTTAATGATTGAACCTGGGAAATTTCAAATTTTTTCAAAACCAGGAAATTGTAGAAGAATAAAATTAGAGTTGAATATTAACTTTCGTTGTTTACAATATTCTACTTGGTAAAAAATTTCACATCAACTCTAAGAGTCTCATTATTTTATTTGGCTTCAAAACTGCGGGAGACCGCTGTCCTCATATCAATCGTTCTTCAAACGAAACTGACTCCTATGCGCATGTGAGTGTACGAAATGAGCAACCACAAATTTGCCTTCAGAATGAATTTAATTTTTATCTAAAAAAACTGAGGACTGACTGGATATAGATCGGTTTCTTTCAAGACGAGACAAACGATTCAAAGGGTTTGAAAAATGTTAACCTGCATAACAATAAAGAAGAATTCTAACCTGCTGTTGATAAGACTGATGTAGTCAGTTTCCCTAACTCATTCACACTATTTAGCAGTGAATCCACACCTGATATAGAAACGTTACATTGAGAGCTATGCCTGCAACATAAATTCACATTCAGGATAAGTCAAAACTCAAAATTGTTGGCCGCATATTATCAGAAAAATACTATGATTTGATGACCCTATTTCAACTTCAGGGTGAAATTTGAGGGGTCATGAAGATTGGCAAGTCCAATTTTTAGAAGCCGATTTTTAGAAGCAGCTCTTTAAAGACCAAAACAATTTTTGGGCAGTGCGTTTCAGATATCCAACACTGGCAGAGTTTCGCAGCATCATACAAGCCCCAATTACCCACTTTCATCTTTTGTTTTGCTTGATTTTCTTTCCCGTCTTGAACTGCGTTGAGAGCAGTGAGCTATCGTTGCTCCAGGAATTAGCAGCAGGTTGAACCAGACTTTTCAGGCACTATATTCTGCCCGTTCTCTGAGTTTTTAGGCATCAAAGCCTCATTTATAGGCCTGTTTTGAACATGGCGCCTAGTAGATTTGGAACACAGTTTGATTACAATAGAGCCTCTGCAATGTTCTGGGGTTTGATTTTTGATCAACACAATCTACATGAATTTTGCAAGAAACTTGATCTTATCAGTATTTTTGCATTATTTTTGATAACTTTTAAATATACATTCGATTTTCGACTCTCGAATTTTTGCATATTTTTTATTATTATTTTACAAATCAATAGCTAGACCATAGGAAAACAAGTATCATCAGTTTCAATGTTCCAGACTTTTTCATAATTCATAAGTTCAAGCATTCATACTCATTTTTTTTTAAAAGAAAGGTCGAAATTAAGATGAGAGTTTTCCGAGTTTAGCCATTAATACTTAGACTATACAAATGTTTACTATTTCTGCACTGTAATGTTAAATAAAATAAAACAAGACTGACCTAGGAACTTTGTCTGAAATAGCGGCTGTATCAGATTTTTCTTCAACATTACTTTTCTTTGAACTAGCATCGTTGCCCAGTTGGGTTAGGTGATTGGACTTCTTACTTGAAACCACATCCCCGTTACATAATGGGTGTGGCACTTCCGTTTTTAAGGTGTCTAAAGTATCACCATTTGCTACACTATGTTTATTTGTACAGTTTTCATCAGCGCTCTTGACTTCTGACTCGGTTTTGATTGCGGTTTCAGTTTTAGATGCTTCCTCATTCGACTGATTCTTTTCACAAGGTTCTGTGGTATTAGGTGATGGAGGTTTTGTACTTTTATCTTTAGCCAGGTAATTTGCAAGTTCAGATTGAAATGACAGGAGACCAAGCAGCCACTGAAAAAATATAGAACAAATTCAGAGATATTTCACTTATTCGAAGCGCCAGTGACATCAGCGGCAATGACGAGAGAAACGAGGATCGGGACAGTCTTTAACTCTAGAGCCCTGTCCACAAGGCTCTAGATACATGCCTACGGCTCATACACTGTGCACATAGTTCCGTTTGACAGAATGTGAAATCCTGCTTCTCCAATTCAGCAAACGGAATTGTGGGCCAACTAAGTGCAGCACCCATGAGCCGTGAGCATGTATCTAGAGCGTTGTGCACACGGCTTATGAGTTAGTCGGCCACGGGAGAAGCTCGGTGGCGGTTTCGTCACTGGCGCTTTATATTTTCCATTCATTCTTATGGCCCGAGAACTAACGAGCACACCCTATCTGTCCCCCTGCACATAGTTCTGTTTGATAGAAGTACGTCCATTTAATACTTTGTCTAGAGGCCAATTATAGGTATGTTTTTCAAAAAGAGTGCATTAACATTATTGTGTGATAGAAAAGCTTTTGAACTGATATTGTCAGTAACTGCTGAATCAACAAGAGCTGAAATTAAAGCATTGGTTCATGACTTGTCTAACTGATTAGCTGCAATACCCTGCGATAAATTTGCCCACAACCCTATATGAACTGGTTTTGAAATTTATAATCAGAGAAAGCTCAGCATCAAGTAAGTGGATGAGTGTGACTACTGGTTGCAAAACTGGATTGGAAGACATGGATTGCTGCAGAGGCTTACCTGTTCCTTTTCATTTTCTGTTGGACCATTTGAGCAGTTCTCGTTTTTGAGATTTGAGGTAAAATGGTTCCTGTTGTTCCGTCTAAATTTTTCCTCTCTTACATGAGTTTTCAAGGTGGGGAGAGCAGGTGGTGGGTTCCGATACAATGCTTTGACCGATTCTGGGACCTGAAAAAATTACATAAAAAAGAATATTCTGTACTTAGCAATGACACAAACAACCGAACTTCACTCACATAGAAAGTCTGAAAATCCTCATAATGGATTTTTAAGGACACTTGATTTGACTATTTTTACAAGACGTGCAGCATTCCCTGTAAAATACATTTGATGAACACCAGAGATGAGATCAAAAGCTACCCCAAAGGGATGCGAGATACAGATGAATTAGATTTCATATAAATTAATTTTGATTGGTCAAATTACATTCTAATTGGATTACATATTAAAGAGGAGCTTTTTGATTAATTGAACTAGTACTTTGCCTGAGAAAAATCAAATCAAATGGGTACACTTTTAATAAAGCGCAATATAAAAAAATTAATTTGAAAAGAACTGAATGGGCCTGTTGCATGGAAGAGATACAGCCGTGCAAGTAGACTTTGTAGAGGTTGAATGACACGAAAATTACGATGGTCACATTAAAAAAGTCTGAAATACACTCCTTACTGCACAATTTGCGTTGTTAGGAACGCGCTTTTTCCAATTTCCCGCGTCTGGGGGCAGTTTTCTAACGGAAACAATTAGCGGAAATTCGCAGCTATTTCCGGTCAACTAAAACTGACAACATAGACCGGTAACCTAAAAATCGGAGCTCGTGATATCGTGAAATGAAATGTAGAAGGATTGCATTGGATATTTAAAAGTTGATCGATTTGGTTACCGCATAAAGCTTATATGGACCACTATAAGAGATCACGTTGGGTTTGTAAACAAACTGAAGGAAAAAATAACAACAACAACAACGACTCGGCATCTTCCGGAAATCACCAAGCCCGCCGTTTGCTCGTTTCCGGTGATTAGAAAACTGCCCCCAGACGCGGGAAATTTGAAAAAGCGCGTTCCTAACAATGCAAATTGCGCAGTAAGGAATGTATTTCAGACTTTTTTAATGTGACCATCGTAATTTTCGTGTCATTTAACCTCTGAAAAGTCTATTCGCGCGGCTGTATCTCTTGCATGCAACAGGCCCATTTGCAAGATCAACATTTTTTTCACGTTTAGAGAGTGAGGAGTTTGTAAATAATGAGACATTCCATGGAAAAGAGATGGAATAATGGCTAATTACATTGATAGAATTGTTATTTAATATGGGTGGTCCTATAGGATGCATCACATTTCTTAAATGAGTCATTTAACCTCTGAAAAGTCTATTCGCGCGGCTGTATCTCTTGCATGCAACAGGCCCATTTGCAAGATCAACATTTTTTTCACGTTTAGAAAGTGAGGAGTTTGTAAATAATGAGACATTCCATGGAAAAGAGATGGAATAATGGCTACTTACATTGATAGAATTGTTATTTAATATGGGTGGTCCTATAGGATGCATCACATTTCTTAAATGAGTCTTACGATAAAATTCTAGGGTAACAGTATGATGATCAAATGGTCTGTTGAATCTTTGCCACAAGCGAACCCTTTCAGTGACACTGGTGGACTTCAACAAAGAACTATCCTGAATTGGAGAAAAAGAGATGAATTGATGAATAATAGCATTTCAACTTGAAAAGCGAAAACTTAGGTGACAAATGAAATTACATGTGCAAACGGATCAGAGCGAAAAAAGAAAACACAAAAAGTGACAACAAGAGCACATTCAATACTACAATAATTTAAAACCTAAGATTGCTCGGTAGATTTTGGTAAATTTTAAAATTTACCTTGGACCTATCTTAATCCATAGAGCTGGAAAATGGTAAGATTTAACTGCTGTCTAAAATGCAAAGGAATTTTTCCGAATTTTTTTGCACGATATAACATCTAGCAGAAAATGATTTAAAGATACATTTTTGCGCCTCTATTCACACAGACATTGTGGAGAAAGTCAAAATATCATCCAAAAATATGCGTCCTGTCAAGGGTACTCTTTCTACCATGCAACCCCTCAACCGCGATTAATGGTCCTTGCAGTCGTGCATTATTGGGCAATGATAACAACTGATCAGACCATAAATTGGGGTAAAGAAGTTGTTGTTGAAAGTGTCTCATTGTCGGGACAAATATTTTTTGATTTAGAAATGGGCGTTTAAACAGAGGCTTAAAAAATATAAGTTTAAACTTATTTTTGTGGGTTGTTATCATTAAAAAAAAAAAAATCTGGGGAAATTCGTGTGAAGTAAATGCACTCCCTCGAAAGTGAATATAATAAAAATTAGAGAACATACATGATCATTCTTTGTAATGAAATTGTGAATTTGTCAAACACTCTACCCTAAAATTTGCTAAAATTGGCAACAACCAATAGAGTTATTTGGATCTAGGAACAGCACACATGACTGAACAGTCCAATTACCTAACTCGAACAAAAGGGAAGGGAAAATGTTGAAATATGTAACTTGATTTAAGGCAGGTAAACCTCAAGAATACAGGGTGTTCAAAAATCGAGGGGCAATCTAGAGGTAAAAATAAGACTTTTTCATTCGATAAACATGGGTCCAAATCAAGCATCTCTGAGTTAAAGGGTTGACAATTGTCACAGCAGATTGGATTTTCTTGAATTAAAAGCACCTTTTTGGAGAGATTGTCATCAAATTTGGTATTCTCTGGTAATTTTAATATTTTAATGTAGACTCTGAATTTTTTTTTCTTTTTTCTTAAAAAAAAGAAAAAGAGAAAAAATCACAGCATGAGAATTTTAAGATTTATCTGAAACAAAGGATTTGGCAACTAAAAGCTTGACACCTTTGAAAAACCTGCATTTACTGACCTGACAATCTCTTTTTTTTTTTTTTGAAAAAAAGAAAACAAATCAGAATTAATACTGAAAAGGCCATGCCAATGAGATTGCCAATTTTTACGACAATTTGCTAAAAAAGGGGCTTTGAATCCAAGGAAAACCCATTTCTCCTCAACACAAACCATGTACCTCAGTATGTTACAGCTGCAGACAAGGTTAGATTTTTAACTCATGTGCTCAGAGCAAAACATTTTCATTCTAACCTTCACGTCAACTATATATTTTTTGACATTAGCCCTGGAATTTGTATAATGATGAAAAAGGCCCTTGCTTATGACTTACAATGAAATGTTCAGGATGAGCTGGACACATCCAGCGAGAGGCAGGAAAATAAGTTAGCGGTGGATCAAGACAATCCAAATGGTAAAATAGAGGACAATAATCACACGCAATGAGAGGTGCATACCGGCAAGTCCTAGAACAGAAAAAAATAAATAAAATTCATTGCATTGAACTAAAAATTGGAACTGAAAAATAGGGATTCTATTTTTGCTGAAAATTGAAGCAATAAAAAACTATTGTGTTAAAAAGATAACCAGAGAGAAAAATAGAAAAAGAAGAGGGGAAACAGACTGACAAAAAAATAAATAAGTAAATCACAAAATAGATGTAAAATATGAAGAGAATACTTACTTTCCGCATTCAAAACAAAATCTGACAGGTTCTGGCACTATTCCATCCTCAGATACATGCTGATCTTCTGCTTTTTTCCCGACAACCAAATGCGCAGATGAAACTTTCTTAGGACAAAAAGCTGAAAACAATTGCAAAGTTAATGTTTTAGAAAATGCATTTACACTGCCTTAGGTGAGTTACAGGACTTACAGTGCTGGGGGTTAACTAGCTTTTCAGCATGGTGATGAAGGAAAAACAATTTGAACCGAGGTTGGTAAATTAAAATGAATCGGGTGATTAACAATTGAAAGCTTTCCCCGCACAATAAATATATAAATAAATTGTTCCTACAAAATTTATGTTGTGGTATTTAATTGGGAAGGAATCGATTGAGTTGGGCCATGTTACTTTGAGACAATAATGTTGCACTAAATGATAAGAATTTCTCTGGTTTTTCCACAGGGCATAAGTTCCATTGGGACTTCTGTATGGGCCTTTGCAAATTCAATAAAAAGACGAACAATCCCCCCCNNNACATTAGAGGCACACTCAGCAAAGTGCTTATAATCAATTCTACACTCCCATCCTTTTCCTCTTCCAACTTCTCTCTTTCTGGACTTGTCAAGTTAACACATTAACGGGAATCAGTATTACAAATGTATTTCTTAATGGTTCGACTCTTAAGTCCATGTCAACAAACGTATTTTTGGCACTTGTGGGTACAACTCAATTTCCTTTTCCTCTCCCCCTCCTCTTCGCCAGCGGTAGTTTTTGCAGATTCCTAACTTCAACTGCTCAGATACATGCTTGCTTTTTTTTGCTTAGCATTAGACAGATTAACTCCCAAAATGTTCCTATCTAACTATGGGGTCTCTACTTTGTCATGGTTCAATTTTCTTAAAATATCAACAAAAATCTCCTAAATTTTTACCAATGTTTAACTGAATGGATCACTTGATTAAAATTTCCTCTGATTGCTGGCTGAGCTTTTTGTTTGCTGTCATCTGCAAATGCGACATTTCCTTTGCCTGAGAGGATGTCAATCACAGAAAATTTTCTTTTTTAATGAAAAAGCCCATCTATTTATGATTCTTTCCCGAACTCTTGCAGAAAAACCAGAGAACTTGCAGATAGAATTTTTATTATTAGTCATAAAACTCTGAAAAGAGCCAAACTTTGAAGCAAAGAAAACACTGGTGTAAGTATGGTAAAATGCTGAGTGATTAGAACTGTAAATAAGTGTACACATTTCAACCTTTCCACACAATTTTTCAACTGAATACTTACGTTTGTCAGATCCTGGGAAATTTATAGGAACTGACATATCACGAGGAAGTTCAAACTGGGTGGGATTCAACTGCGCTGCCGCATCTATTAGCGCTTGCATTGGGTTATCAGTGGAAAAAATCAATTCTTCATCAAGAGATTCATCTTCCGAATCATACTCATCGCTGCCGCCAGCCATAGAGGATGAAGTTGACTGTTTGGTGCTCAATTCCAGTGATTCCATGATTGCCCGACTTTGTGCATCGAATTCTGACTCAGTGAAGTTTGTTCTTTTCAATTTTGCTTGTGAGCTGCCGGCGCTGTCAATGGAGGATGCTCTGCTTGTCCGACGAGAGACTGGCGTTTTACATTCAGGTATCTTAGCACGGTATTTTGATGTGGCACCTTTACTGCCAGAGCATTTGAAATTGTCTTTTTCCTTAGATTTTTTCTGGAAAGAGATAAACAGTATGAGCAGATATACTAATCATCAGAGCAAAGCTGGTGAAAAATTACATTTGGTTGTTTCAAGATAATTCTAATTTTGTAACACTTCATGGGTCTTAAGAATAAATATTCAGAAATTTTGAAAAGCCCAGAGAATGTTTTTATTCCTTGCTAAGCTTGGAGCTTTTATCAATGAATTTACAAGGATTCATGAAACTTTTCTGTCTGCGTTCACTTGTTACTAAATTAATCCAAAAATTTTTAACCTTCTTGCAACTATACACAGTTCCTTTTCTTATCAATGCAGTGATTATAATGTTGTAGAACATTTGATAGCTTGCAGCACTCCTGTCTTATCTGCTAGCTCATCTCATGTCTATCAATAAATACCAACTATTTTTAAGATTAAAAGTAACGCTGTATTGGTACGAATATGGGACAGTTGCAACAATGTACTGAGGTTTTTTGGTACTTCTTGAGCCAACATTATATGACTTGGCTTTTTCAGTTCCTTAAAAAATGTTGATTTTATTTGGACCTTCGGTGTCTTCTGAACACAAAATTTTTCGCCTTTCATTTTTTTCAGTTCTGAGATTTCTAGCTCTTCCTGACATAAGGCATTAATCAAAGTCCTACTCACATTCCTAAAAAAGTGTTTGATGTGATAAACTTACTGCTAGATATTGGCATTGATGACAGCTCCAGAGCCCTGATGGAATGTCAGCTTCAACAAGTGGAGGATCGCTGGAAAAGTTTCAAACAGAATGGAAGATGATTACTTGTGAGTTTACTAAGGTGGCACTTCAAACTGAAGTAGGCACTTCTAATGACAGTTCTTCTTAAGTTACATAGATTTAAAAGCTTTGTCAGTAAAAGTGAAAGATGTGAGTGAGGTAGATATTTGTACAACAACAACTCCCCCCCTCCAACAGTTATACTGCGAATTTCCAAGCTCAAGCAGCAAGCTGAAGGCCTCTACCGTGAGGCAATGGAAGCTTACAGAAGGACTGCGGTAATAATCCATTCCGATTCTCTCACATCCTGATTTTAGGGAACCAGTAAACTTGCTCCCACATGTTTTTCATGGTGAGTTGAGCTTGGAATGCATTCTGATGGTACATAAAAAGAAAGGTGATTTTTTTCCCTGTTGTTTAAACTTTTTCAATATTTTACTGCACTAAATGTTTTTGACTAGTCAGAGCCACAGATGACACCGCTACTGATGTCTTCATAAACCACAAAGTCTCTAGGCTTTACTAGTATTTTATTAAGGGAGTTGTTTAAAACTGCAACTTACTGGCAAGTGAGATGAAACGAGGCGGGACAAAGGTCGCAACAAAGGAGATTGCCACCCTCACCGCAGGCATCACAGCAATCATGATTGTGACCTTGCCCAGGTCTACGATAGTATGGGTGCCTCTCCTCTAGACCCTCTCCTTTGCCGTCTGATCCTGTTCTGGATGTAGGAGGTGCAATCAATGCTTGAATTTGCTAGAAAAAAAATGTTAAACCTCGAATGAAGACATTACGTAGCTATTTACAATTTGAACAAGGCACAAAACTCTCACAGTTGAGATAAAAACTCATTTTAAGGACACATTCCTTACAAAAAGTGAAAAAGAGACAAGAGGAGGGAGAGAGAGGGAGAGGGGGGGAGAGAGAGAGAGATAAGTCATCTCTTGGTCCTTCAGCTTCGATCTTGTTCCTTATTAATACACTCTTCATTGATTCTGCACAGGTTCATGTCCAAGGGTTGAAAAAATAAGGCCATCAAATATATAGCTGGGATTAAAAATTTAAAAAAGGATGTATTTAATTTCCTGAGTTTTAGTATCGACAGTTTTTAATTTGTTGTTCAGACTTAAAACGGTCGATGCAAGATCATTCTTAAAACAAGGCTAATTCACATGCATCAAACGTGTTCTTAAGTTTAAGGCCAAAGCAAGGAAAGAGGGAGGAGTAAATTCTTCATTGAAGATTGGTCACTGCTTTAATCTCTCATTAAAACCCTCGAATATTATAAAATGTATTTCAACTTGCAAATTTTAAACAGGCTTTTGGGTACAGGGATTAATTAAGCTCTTGTTACCGTCCTCTCGCCTGAATTCAGTGCAGAGACTTCGACATAGTTACAGTATGTGCCAAAACTGTTAAAAATTTATGGAAGGCAATAGAGGATCAATCGCCTTTATTTTAGTGCTGAAATTAAGTACATGATCAAGATGGTGGATACAGTTTTTGACTCTGAAAGTACCTGAGTCAACTTCAAGTATTCAGTAGTAAAACAGAGAGTTGACAAATTCGAGCATCTCACATGAATAATATAAAAATAAAAGGGATTTTATCAAAACTCTACTGTGAAAACCTTTCCTATCCTGGTTTAGCTCTAACAGTTAAAAGGAAGCAAACACACAAAATTCATTTCAGCTGTACGGATAATAGGTAAATTATTAAATTATGCTAATCGCACGAATGACTTTCCCCCTGAAAACAAACTTCATTAGTTGCTGTTTCTTACTTGCATCAATATTGGTGCGAGTTAAAATTACTCTACTAAGCACCTTCAGGGAAAGCTTAGCTTTAGCTGCGATAACCTTACTTCTGAAGTATTATAACCTCATTTACGAATAGTTGAAGTTCCGTCTAACAAAAAGCTTACAATAGGATAATATCTTTGATTGCAGCCACCCTTCAACATTGCAAGGAAAATCAGTGCTACTAAACAAGACTGAGGCTCAGTTTCTGCTAATTAGAGGGCACTGGGTAATCCATAATTAGTCCATACAGGTACCCGAGATATTACCAGAGTACCGATACTGAGATAAAATCTATCCTAATTCATGGTAAAAAGGAACTTAATTTCTTTTGAATCTTCATGATCAAGTTTACAACATTTGAAACATCAACACTAGTGAAGGAACAGTAGAACTCAGTTTGGATGAGTGCTAGTCCTTAGTTGAGAATACGCTAGGAAGACAACACTTATTTTAAAATTAGTGCTGGGTATTTAGTCAAACTTTAATTGAATTTGCCAGACAAGCGGATGAAACTCAGTGCTCTTTGGAATGTTAGTACATATTGAAGATTCCATAAGCTGTATCATGGTGTTAGGGCTTGTATTCATCTCGTTTAACAGATCCCAGGATAAAATGCTGACCATAACTTGACAACTTCGTTCTTTGAAATTCACATTGACAAATTATGAAAACAACGATACATTCTTCTGAAGGCCAAAGGCAACACTTCAGAGATCACAGCATTGCATACAAAATCTAAATGACAGTAAGCAGCTTACACGGAGGCCTACATTATTTTACCACTATCGTATTGTATGGTAGCGTGGATGTTTCGTAGGTCCTTATCATTTATTCAGCTACATCAATGCAGCATAATCCACTTCAATGGACTCGGGGTTTTGCAAGGCCAAAATGACGCGCTGATTCAAAAAAAGAGAATAAAGGAGGGAAAACTTACGTCCATTAGGCTGACCGATTTTTCCAATTCTGCTTCCGATTTAGACATTGTGGGGCTTCAAAAAATGACCCTAAAATTACGATCAATGATGGAAAATTCTCTGAGCTATGGCAGGATTCAGACCAGTATAAATTGACTGACTAACCAAACTGGTAAGGTTGAAGTTTGTGAAACTGAGATGCTCTGAACATTGTGAAGCGGGGCAACTTTGGAAATCAAATGAGAAAAGTAAAGTATTATTAGCTTGAGGTCGACGTAAAAAACACTCGATATGAAGCTGAAAGTTAACTAAGATGAATGGTTTTAAACACTGATTCTCAAAAAATATTTAGATGTAAAAAAGAACTTCAAAATCCATTTGAAAAACACTAAAAAATAGTTGTATTTATTTACCCAAACAGAAATGCCGTATATCTGTTGGGGATTAAATCAGGACGAGAGCGTTGAAAAGCTATTACATGACGTCATTTCTAATCACCCAATCATCTTTCTATGTTTCTATAATCCTTCTTCCTTACGTCATCAGGATGACAGCAATGTTCCCGCCATTATTTCTTTCCATGGGTTGGGTACTTTTTACTAACCTATGAAAAATGAAAAGTTCAACAATCAATGAATTTCAGTTACTCTTTTCATGGTTTTTTCGCTCCAGAACCATGTGAAATCAGAAGAAACCATCCAGTCTTTTATTTCTGTAAGTTTCCCTCTCTTAATCTTATCAATGACAGTTGAAACTTAGAGAAAATGAATTTTTCACAGAAGTTGAACATCAGAACATGTTGTAACTTCAAGAAGCGCAACATCACATAACAATGCTGTAGTTGTAATGTGTTAATTCATACTTATGTATTGTATAAGTCTGTAATAATTTACATTGACCTGAGAGCAGCCTCAAGTCATTTTAATATAATGGAAAGTTGACGCTTCAGTTTCTATTGAAATGCAATGATCGTACCGAACCTCTGTATTACATTTTTTCATAGAGGTGGTATGTATGATGGCGGTTGTGATGCGTATGTCAATGGCACATCTTGAATTCCTGTCTGGATCATTATCCTCAATGAAAATACATATTTTTCTAGTGATAGCAATACGAAAACTATCTGATCACCGGATCCACATCATTTGCGGCACCTGAGTGTCAAGCTTTTGGTGCTCCCAAGCGCATAGAAAAATCGGCATTGTCCATATGCAACGAGTTCCCAGAACTTTGGGAGAGAAAGTTGTAGCTGAATTCTCATTGATTCCGCGTGAGCACAGTAAAGGGGTTAAAAACTGCGCGCAGCTATTCCTTGTTTCTCACATTTTTCTCAGAATTGATTTTGAATTAGCGGAGATTTCTACATGTTAAGTATCTTCATTAATGATGATTTCCTTCTCAAAGTTACAATGCAGTCCATGTTATGTTTACTTCCAGAGCTCCAACTGTGTTTGGCAAGGGAAGTCACTTTCTTACCGTATATAAGGATTATCATGGAAACAATAGAACATAAATTTTGCAGTAACTGGTAAGCAGCTCCCATCTTATTTTGCTATTACCTTAGACAGAGAAGAAGGGGAGAAGAAGAGAAACAAAACCTCCTCCCCCCTCAAAGAAAAACTCACATTTTTAAATGATGTGAAATGAAGGCAGCGCCCTCCTGCCAATGCTAAGCTTCCCCTGCAGCCTGATTGTTGAAATTTCGTGTTTGTCGGGTGGACATGAATGGCATAGGTTAAATGGCGAAGCATGATTGGTTAGCTATGTTGTATTACTGCTTTGCCGTGCTTTGTCGATTGGAATGAACGACAAACTAAAGGCACCTCTTGAGTTACCGACAGTATGCTGCCCATTCCAATGGACAAAGCAGCGATAAGATATAGCCAACCAATCAAGCTTCGCCATTTAACCTATGTCATCCATGTCCACCTGACAAACACAAAATGTCAACAATCAGGCTGCTGACTATGTACAATGCATTTGTGCTGGCAAGTATTGGAAAAAGAAGAAAATCGAAAATGAAAAGCCATTACTTCAAGTTTTAGTTGGCTACTTTTTATCCATCTACAAACTTTAATGAGACGAAGACTCATTAAAGTATGACGAGTTGAGGTGAACTAATTTGATCTTCCCAATTTTAACGTCTTGGATTTAGAGTGTATACCTAAGTCGGAGATCTTACCTGGTTTTCCCCATGCACCCCTTCCGTAACTGATTACAATTGAATTATATATTGGCGGCTGCAGGTTTAAAAAATTATGGAGTATAACACCGTCAAATTTTTGCCCTGTGGTTTATGATTGTTTCTCAACCCTTTTTGTCTACTTTAAGTCTCCTTCATAGTTTTGGTACTGGAAAATCAAATTTTGTTAGGGGGTGTTTGGCATCTCCAAGCACCCCATGCTGATTCAAGGAGAAGCAAGTCTTAAGAAATCAATTCCCTCATCTTAAACTGCATTTTCATTGTCCAAATCAGAGCTCCTAATAGTATGTTACACGGAAATTCATGCATCGTCGATTTCCATCAATTGTTTTACTTCTTAAGTAATTTATTCTTACCTTACTAAGAACACTCCGTAAAAAATTAATGCAGGAACATTCATCAGTTTTTTTTTCAAAATCTATCTTAGATGTGTAGATATCAACCTGCTAAGGATATCTGTGTTGTTTAGCTCATATTAGCAAATCGTGTAAGAACTTAATTTTTGTTGTTTCAGCAAACGGGACATCTTGGCAAGTAATTATGAAATACACTCAATCCATTGTCAGCGTAATTTGACAGTTTGTGTCAAATGCAATGAGCCAGTCCCCATAACAGATTTAACTGATCATAATCATGAATTTCATTCTGAAATCAAGTGTTCAGACTGTAATTTATTCATTGAAAATCAGCGCTTGGATGTCCATAGGGTAAATATAGTACATAATTTTTTATGTCCAATGTTAAGTTGTGCAAATCATCAATCATTCCCATGACCTTCAAAAAAGTAGTCAGTTACATAGTGCATTATCCTCATTTGTAAATGCCATCAAGTTAACTTTACATACGCGAGAACCTTAAGATTTTTGCCAGGAATGTTTCAAATGCATGCAGCGTCTTTTCAGACTTTACCAAAACTATCCAATGCAAAACTATACGAATAATTGATTCTTAAAGGGGCGTTGTTAGATGAGTTTGCTGTCGTTCACTTTCTGTTTGCAAAGACCGAGTTGCATTCATCCAATAGCTTATGAAGATTGATTAAGGGCAACTCTGCTGTTGCGGCAGAAACATAAATCTGTCTACTGCATGTGAAAGTCAAAAGTAAACAACTTCCAACTTATCTGATGACACCTTAATATTGAAGGACTTATCAATCCTGTTGTACTCCTCTTTATTTTTTTATTACTTCATTTTTTAGTTCAAAGTGAATTCATATTGTCTTTATGTTCTCCTAATAGCACTAAAAATCTTATTTTTAATTTCAGAGAGATTCCTGCTCATCGCGGCTAATCAGCTGCAAAATCTGTGGTATCGATATTCCGGCCAATGAGATGAACATACATGAATATTATTGTGGATGTAGAACAGAAAAATGCTCTGAATGTGGGGAAATTGTCATGTTAAAATATTTAGAACTGCATCTAGACAGCAATCATACATTCATCAAATTGGATGATGGTAAGGTCAATTGGAGAGCATTATGAAGTATAAAGTGCTCATACTTTTAAGTTTTTAAGCTTGTTGATAGGAGAGGTCGATCAAAGTCTCAATTTAATGTTAATGTTGGCAAAAGTAAGGAAGTGGTGGAAATTCTCAGGAAGTAACAAGTTTACTTTTTTTTTATTCTATTTTAGTTTACTTCAACAGTAAGTACATAGCGTACCACAAATCATTACAGCATAAGTCAAATTTCTGTCCACCTTTGGGTCATTTCAAATTCATCTTTACCCTTATGATGGAATGATGCAATGTTAATTCCCTGGAAAAAAATCCTTAAGCTCAATGACAGTGTATTGAATAACTGAATGGCTGAGAATTTGATAACTGTGGTGGTTGGCATCTCCTGGCCGATCGTGTTGGTGATGTTGTGGACAGGTTTGCTAGTATGTGTTTACCACCACTCATAGTGTTACTTTCTGAGCAACTAATTAGCATTCCATCAAAACAGTAAAATGAAAGAGTTTGCCCGCAGAAGGGCATCTTGTGAAATTGGTCTCTATTTTGAGGATCAGTTCTACCGCATCTCTGGAAAGACAGTGTCATGTTTTTATGTTGATCCACGGCTCCCATTTGGAATCAAAAGCTGAAATGTTGAAAGCCACTTTCTCACCACCTCAATTAAGTTTTGCTCAAAACAAATATTTACCAAAGATGCATTCTACAGGCAAACTGTACTATTCATGATGAGAGCTTTCTAGTTTCATAAACTGAAGGACCTATTTTCAAAGGGTAGTAATCAACTGCTTTCTCCTAGCTTTATCTATCTAAGTTATTAAATCTCTGGCTTTTATTAATGTCATTTTTGGTTGCTATTCCTTCCAGAACCTGGACCAGGAGCATCATGGTTGAGTGGATCCAATAAAGTACTTAACAAATATGCTCTGCTTAACGACCTCGTGAAACCTCTGTCAAAAGTTCCTAACTCAAATCAAGACGCCCGACCAATACATATCAATAGAGTATCCCCGGTAAAAAGGAATAATGACCAACCGCAAATTAATACTGCGTACTGGCTTGCCAAACAAGAAAACAAAAAACCTTCCATTCGGACTGAAAATGATGGTACTTGTCAAAATTTCAAATAATTCTTTTATGAAAATTAATAATGAAAGATGGATAGCCTTCTTTGCAATAAGTAGGAAATCAGTTTATTTTTAAGCCCATGAGTTCTTTTCTGATCCCGTCTTCAATGGTTTGCTAATTACAAAGATAAAAATTGCAATCCAACATAATGAACAAAGAAACCAAAATGGAATTTAAAGCATGGGATGACAAATAACAGTATGTTACATAAATTAGTAAATCTAGAAGCAATAAGCAAGGAGGAGAACTAGGACATCAGATATGTTAACGTACAGGTACTAACAAAGCAAACAAACCAATCCATAAAAACATTAATCGGTACAGTACCCACATTACAAATAGACTACATTTTGCAATTAGGAACTACAATTTCTAGCTTGCGTGTACAAGCACTTATGTACATCGGGAAACTAATGGTGCGCATCTGGTTTCTAAGCTGAGCCAGAAATTTTAGTTCTTAATTGCAAAATGTAGTCCAAATCTTTCCTTTTATTACATTGTGACATGCATAAATGTTTATTTGCTCATCAAAAAAGGTTGAGAATAGTATTTATTAGTCATTTCTTAAACAGCTTCTTTTCTCCCGAAGACTCTGTGTGGTTTCGATTAAGTATGACTAATTATGACCAAGGGAAGTTCAAGAAAACCTTCAATACATCATCATAAAAAGGGCAATAATTTATTTTCATCATCGGTGCAGTTTTTTCTCATTTGAAATTGCAAAGCATATTTGAATGACCCCAAGTATTAATGATATCATACAAGTATATTTCTTTAATTTTTTTGCAGAGTTATTAGAAGAATTATTTGATGACATGGACTTGAGCACTATCCGATCATCATCTAAAAGTCTGGAGACTTACAACTCAGCCAAACATTCTGGTGCCAAACGATGCTCAGGAGCATCAGAATTGTCTAACGTTATGCTTCCCTGCGAATTTTGTGATCAACTTATACCTGCTGATGAATTGGTACTTCATGAGGTAATCAATGTTTTTCTACCATTCAATTAGCTGTTATGATTTTTTACCATCCTTTATTTCAATCTGAATGCTCTTTTTTTTTCTCTTCTTTATTGTTAAATCTTTCGTCCATTGCCTGGTTTTGCTGGCAGTTTAGAAGCAGAGAAATAGATCATACTCTTTGTAAGAAATCCATCCAGTTAGTTAGAGAAGCACAGGTTTTTTTTTCAGTCAAAATGATTTGTACAGCTTCACTTGGTGATATGGAGAATGTCATTATGTAGTGGACCTCTAGACAAGGTACGAAATTAAGCATTTTGATTTATGTTTCCTCTTCAAAATTTCACTTAGAATACAATTTGCACAACGAAAATAACGAATAATAAATCCTAATCAAGATATTAATGTTTGATTTTAGTATTGGTTACAAAGAAATCGGAACTCACTTGAAAAGCCAGAGTTCACTTGAATCAAAATCGGCACTACGGTTTTGGCAGGCTTCTTCAAAAGCAATGTTCCTTCCCCACCCTATGTAGTTCAATGTGTAAGCTACATGTAATTGTTGAGCTTAAGGACCGATATTGGAGTTGTCTTATTTTCATATTGCAAAGACTGTCACTATAACGTTTAGTCTGGAGTTTAACCCGAAAAACCTGATAAGATTAGAATGGACAAATGTCACATCAGAAAATGGCACCATTCAACCTAAAATGTGCTAACCAATAGGTCAACTGATGATTGATGCATTCAGGTTAATGTGAATCTTGTCCATTATTTTCTTTCCCCAGTTCTAGATTTTGGTTTCTTATGAGCAGGAGGTTTGAATTTATTCATCGGAAAACGTGAACACCTATCTTTGTGAAGAGTTACTTTCAGTAATTTTTGCTGTACAAAGCGTGTTCTTTATGAAATTATGATGAGAAAACATGCATCCTTATGCTTGCATTTACACATTGTCTAGTGGTCCACTATTAATATGGCAAGTCAAGCCTACCTCTACAGTCCGGCTAGTGTGAAATTTATCTTTTAACAGGGTTCCCAGCGATCTGGAAAACCTGGAAAACCTGGAAAAGTCAGGGAAAAAAAAATTGTCTGGAAAACCTGGAAAAGTCAGGGAATTTGCTCCAAAAGTCTGGAATTTTTGCAAGTACTGAGAAAAAAAATTAATAAGTAAACAAGTAAAAATAAAATAATTAAAATTGAAATTGCAATTCCTTCGTTGTATTTTGAATTTACCGCCAACTCGTCCTCTTCATCGGCATTCGGAACGAATCGGAACTACTCGGAAGTGTTCGGTGGCTCTCCCTGCAGGTCAGCCATAATGATGGGGGCATCTTGTGCGACTGGTTGCGTCTAATGAAAAAAGAGATCGCAGGAGCTAGCCACTCCTCTTCGATCGGGTAACCTTAAATCCTTCGGGTAGCGACGGTTCTTATTTTTCCCTGTCACAAGCGGAGTGACAGGTGTGACCCTCTTGTTTCATGATCCTCTATTGAGGCAAAGTATAACCTATAAAATCTCGATTAGCAGCATCATGGCTTCGTGAAAATTTTTGTGAAATTGTGACTGTGAAATGAAAATGTAACGTAGACTCACCAACTTTTTGTTCAGCTCTGGATTACTAATTCTAAATCGTAAGTACTTTATCTTATTGAACTTGTGGTTTTAACATTTAAAATAGATTTCATTGTGAGTTGTGGCGATTGTTGGGTCTATTTTGGAGGGAAGATCTGTTTTGATGTTTTCATTGATATAGGAACTAGGTAAAGCCGGTTCTTGAAACTGATGAACTGTCCAATAGTTTGATCACTCAAAAGGCTCAAGTATAGATACCTTGTGCTGTGTATGAATACTAAAAACATTGCCTAGAAAGCATGATCTTGTTTAGTTTTAGATTTCGCAGGTTAGGGCTAGGACTACTGTGTTCATGTTACGTTGGAATTGTTAGAGTAGATATTTCCAGGTAAAACAAAGGGATTGTCTGCGCTAGCAAGTTGCCAAAGGTAATGAACGGTTGATAGTCTTGACCCATAGGTAACTTTACAAAGGTCTGGTTCCACCAAAGTTCTTTAGAAAGGTGACAGTCGCTCGCCCGCGTTTGTTTAGATAAGTAAGTTTTTTAAAACATGAGTGGTACTGGCTTAATATAACCCATTTTATTTACAAATTCCTCACATTTGTTTTCTCTCTCTCTTTTTTTTTAGGATACCAGCCTTAGAAATAGAAATGGGACCTCGTAAAAAATGCAAGTTTAACTCAGACTGGACATCATTGCCAACTTTTTCGCCCTGGCTGGAAGAGGTTCCCAGCAGACCATTTGATGCAAGGTGCAATTTCTGCCACACTATCTTCTCTTTGAGTAACATGGGGATTCAAGCTCTTTACAGTCATATGGAGGGAGTAAAGCATAAAGCCAGATTGGGGCGGCCACTGGAAGAATACTTTCCTTTGAAAAAAACCGCACTTCCTGAAACATCTCAGCGAAGTTCATCAGCTGTTGTCGAACCTGAGTTAGGTGCGCCGGAGCTCCCTGCAGCTGCAAGTTTCTCCACTATCGATCGTCCCGCCTTAAACCCCATCCAAGTCCCTACGGTGATCTCAAAAAGTACCTCTATTCCTAATAAAATTAATTCTTACTTATCCAAAGATAATGTTACTTCTGCTGAGATCTTATGGTGTTTAGAAAGTGTGATGACCCATAGATCTCAAAATTCTGCAGCTACTGATGTGAAACTTTTCAAACGAATGTTCCCTGATTCTGAGATAGCCAAAAATATGCAGTTGCAATATACAAAAATTTCCTATTATTGTGTTTACGGGCTTGCCCCCTTTTTTCAAAATAAGTTAAATCAGGTAATAACTGAAGTAGAGTTTTTAGTGCTGGGGTTTGACGAATCCTTAAACAAAGTAATTAAAAAGCAACAAATGGACATTAATGTCCGCTTTTGGAACCCTGTCCTCAATAGGGTAGAAACGCGTTACCTTACTTCTTGCTTCTTAGGAAGTACAAAGGCGGAAGATCTAGTTGCAGCTTTTTTGAATGCTATTTTGCCTTTCAAGTGTTCACACAAAATTACACAAATTTCAATGGATGGGCCCAACGTCAATCTTAAATTTCATAGACTAATATCAACAGATTTGAAACTTGAAAATCCAGAGCGCGCTGATCTTCTTTCAATTGGTAGCTGCGGCCTGCATACTATGCACAATTCATTTAAAGCAGGCTTCGCTGCCACAGGTTGGGCTTTAATTGAGTTTTTGAGGGCAGGCCATAACCTTTTCTTAAATGTTCCTGCCCGGCGAGCTCTGTATATTTTACATTCAGGGTCAAACTTGTTCCCTCTCAAGTTCTGTGCTGTTCGATGGTTAGAAAATGACAGTGTAGCAGAGAGAGGTATTCAAGTAATACCTAACTTGAAAAAATTTGTAGAAGGCGTCAAAAAAGACAAAAATGAACCCACTTGTAACAGTTACAAAATTGTTGTGAAACATTTAGATGATGCTCTACTGCCAGCAAAATTAGCTTTTTTTCAAAATGTTGCCAGTTTAATTCAACCTTTTTTAAGAATGTTTCAAGCAGATAAACCCATGGCACCCTTTCTATACAGTTTTCTTTTACACTTTATGTATGAGCTTTTAAGGCCTGTTGTGAAATATGAAAAGTTGGAGAAAATTAAAGAGTCTTCAAAACTCATCGATATTGATCTGAAGGAAAAAGAAAACTTAATTCCTACCGATCAAATCCAATTATGTCACGAGGTGAAAAATTGTATTAGGTTGTCAGGAACACGATCAAAGTCTGAAATTTCAGAGTTTAAGAAAGCCGTACAAAGTTGCTATTTAGCTCTTGTGAAGAAACTTGTGAATCGTTCTCCTCTTAATTATGATCTAACCAGAGTCATTTCTGTCTTCGACCCAAAAGTAAGTACTTTAAGTTTGGCGAAAAAGCGCTTTGAAAAATTGGCTTCTATTTTAGTGGAGAAAAAAATCATCACAGGAGTGGAAGCAGATCGAGCTGAAAGGGAATATAACGACATTACCGGGAAAGAATTTAGTCGGAATCTGTTGGAAAATTATGATGCCAAAAAACAGAATTTGGATGAGTTTTGGCTAGATTTAATTAAACGATTTGGTGCTGGAGATTGTCTAAGCTTGCTTAAGGTTCTAAAGATAGTATTAACCTTATCTCATGGAAATGCCAATGTTGAACGCGGATTTTCCATCAACAAGCAATGCTTGGATTTTAATCTTACGACCGAGAGCCTGGTAGCAAAACGATGTATCTATGATTCTGTTCTTGCTGTTGGTGGCTTAGAACAAGTAGAGATTACAAAATCTCTATTAAATAGTGTTCGGTGTGCTCACTCTCGCTATCGAGAAGCCTTATCTAATAAACAAAAAGAAGAGTCCGAGGAAGCTGAGCAGAAGAAAAAAAGGAAAGCTGAAATTTTGATGACAAAAGAACTGAGAGAAAAGAAACGAAAAATTATGAAAGAGGCATTAGAAGAGGTTGAGGTTATTGATGATCAGCTAAAAGAGCTCATTAGAAAGTAGCTTCTGTTCAGCTTTCAATTTAAGATCAGTATGCCTCAAAATTTGTAATGAATTTTCTATTGATCTGATTCCAAACTTATGTCCGGGTATCTTATACCTCCTTGTTTTTTGTTCACTTGTTCACACTTGGTAGCCATCGTATTTCTATACTTACAAATTGAAGTATTCCTGTGCGTAGTGAATTCACTACTAATACCCCTCCTTTTCTTTTTCACTGTTTTTTTTTTTCTCTCTCTTTTTTAATTTTCTATTTTTTTCTTCTTACTAGCCACTTATGTTTTTTCCTCATTATTTTTTCATGTTTCTATTAGTATTAATTTATTTTCTTACGTTTCTTTTGGTATTTATGTGTTACCTTCATACTATTTATTGTTGTGTCAACTGTGCTGTGTACTTTCTTTTTCAAGGTGTTCAATAGTTAACATGGCTGTCATGTTGTATTGTTATTAGTAACTTACTTGACCAAACCAATTAGTCAAAATTTTTACTGTCTCTTCACGAGTAAAAATTACTAAGGTGCTGACTGATTAGGATATTAAACTTGTTGTGTACATAACTACTTGTGTTTATTTCACAATTTTTCATTTGACAAAATGAAGCATTATTATTTAATATTTAGAAAAAATGTGTGCTATCCATTTCAAAGAAAGACTTGTTTAATACTCAGAATTATTTAAAAAATAATAATAAATTTTTTACCTAATAAAATGTGGCTGTTCATTATCTTCTGTTTTTTATTCCAGTTTTTAATACTTACCAGTGTAGGTGTGCAAAATTTCTATGAACCTTAGCTCTCTTAATCATTTAATTGGATTGTAAAAGTTTCAAGTACACTCACTAGGATATCTTGCGCTTAGCTGAGAACTATGTCTGCATGCTAAGGTAGAGGTTATTTTTTTTGTAACTCTGCCTTTTTTCCCTGGACAATACGCTCATTTAAAAAAGTATATATGCATTTCTCAGTTTTTTTAAGAATAGTTTTTAATAGTCTGCAGAACGAAGACTGCAGGTTGGATTATTTTTTAAAATAATCTGTTCAGTCCTCTAATCCTTAGCATAGCAGCAATACCATGATGGGATTTATTTTTCAAATCCAATACTACCATAAATAAATGAAACAAATTAAAAAATCATTTGCTTTCATCAATGCATGTATCGTTGTAGAAGGCGATTAAATTTCGCCAATTTTTTTTTTCCAACACATTTTAAGTTTTTTTTGTGATTTCATTCGTGTTATGATACTATCCTAGCCTGGTTCTTATAAAAAAAAAGCTAAACCAGATCAAAAATTGATGAAAATAGAGGAGCTTTTACAAAAACCGAAAAATGCGCGCACGCTCTGTCTCTTTTAGGGCAAATTATTTGAGTTTTTTCCACGGAAAAAGGCCTGGAAAAATTTTCATTTTGGCCTGGAAAACCTGGAAAAGTCAGGGAATTTTTTTTCCAAAATTGGCTGGGAACCCTGTTTAACTTCCCTTAGCTCTTGCTTTTTAATTCAAATCGTAAATACTGTTTATCGTGTTTCAGACTGGTTGTCAACCAGAAGTCTCTTGCTACAAACCCAAATTGGAGGTCCCTCATGGAAATATTCTACGCGAAAGTGACTCAGAGGAAGAAATGGATGACTGCATGGATTTAATACCTTGTGAATTCTGCGGAGCTCTGTTTTCTGTTCATAAAATTGAAAACCACCATGTAAGCACCTTTCACAATAGTTTTATTCTTGTTTTTTGTACATTTTCTGTTTTTGGTTACTATGTAAAATTTTTCTGAGTGGATTCTGTTTTTGGGCAGTAAGTTCGGAAACTAATTGCTTTTGTGAGCACTCAAGTTGTCTCATTCATCATATATGATATTCAAGTATTTAAAAATTCCATTCTTGTCCTCGTCTTTAAGCATTTTTCATTACAGTTGTCTTTAAAATTGACAATGTTAGTAAAAAAAAAAAAAAAGCCTTGGATTTTACATAGTAGAGAAACTAATCAGAGCATGGCATAGCCTTTTGAAAGAAGTGAGTACAGCACTGTTTTACTCATGATTTCCACATTAAAACAGCTTCCAGCACTTTAATTATACACCATTGAACAATTGAGGACTACAACATCTGGCTCAGGTTAGAAACAATGTATGTACCTTTAGTTTCCGTATGCACTTAAGTGTTTTTATGGATGAGCCAGAAATTATGGTTCCTAATTGCAAAATAAGTCCATTTTCACTTGTCGCGACCTGATCAACTCTACAGCATGTGATGATTAGTCTGCTTTGGCATGTTTGGCTCAATGTGGCCTATAAAATACTGTTCAATCCGCACAAGTCTTTCGACCGAGATTGGAACTAATCTTTTTTCTAACTCAATATAAGGTAAATTACTTCTCGATAAATTTTCCTTGCAATATTCTGTTCCAGATGCGATGCAATTTTGCTAATTTGACATCATCTTCATCAGTCCAACAAATCAATCAAATTTACGATAATGCACCATTGAGTAGGAAAGTATCCAATCACTTAGCTGCCTCAAATTCAACACTATCTCGTTTAACAGGAGGAGCTAATAATATAGGTGCGCAAGTCTTTCTTCCCTTCACCTACGTAGTCTATTGTGTTTCATCTCAGAAAAATGAGCTCTTAACTTCCTCAAGCCTTTTCTAAAAATCTTATTCTTGGAAGTAACTGAAAAACCTAGTTTGGTTCAAAAAGATAGAATTTCGGTTTTCGACTGAAAGTGAAGCCTTTCAATCTGGTATAAGTTTAAGTTGTTTATGAGGTGAGCACTCTGAAAGATTGATAAAACTGAATAAAAAATTGTTGTTTTCAAATCAGACAATATAACTGGAATCAGTCTAATCACAGCAGATGTTGTCCAGTTTTCTCTGTTGTTTTATTTTTAAACAGAAAACTAAGTGACAATTTTTTTCACATGGCCGATTTTTTTCCCCAGGTGATAAAATTAACTCCGGATCAAGTTCTGTCAATTTAAGTCTGAGTAATTATGATAAGAAACAAACAACGTTCGAAAACCCCAGGTAATTTTTCTTTTCAAATCACTCGTATTTGTAAATATGCACTGGTTGATCATTGATTATCCTTGCAACGCAGTCCAATAATAAAAATTTTAATACTTTCTATCTTATTCCAGTTTCTGGCTTGGTTGAACTGGCGTGCGTTGTATCACATCGATGAAGTAAAAAATCTTTGCAGATTTTGAATGTTTAGCGAAAATAGGATGAGAGCTCCTGCAAATGAGCCTAAGGAATCATTCTAAATCTAAAAATTGGCAACATTTAGAGAAATGAAACGAGGATTCTTTTTGGTAAAAAACCTTGCGTTTGATATAGTTTTCGATTTCTATGTTGCTGCCTGGCATACTATTCACTGTATTTCGTCCCTTGTCTAATTTCCACAATAATTTTTTTTCACAGTTCATCTGACGGTGCTGCTGCAAGTGGCTCAACGAACAACTACACTGGTGTAATTCGGAAACAAAAGGCAGGAAGAACTAACAATCTAATCAACCAACCTTGTGTGTATTAATATTTTCTAACTTTTTACCATTAACATAGTGATGTTTTTCTCTTTCCTTTTTGCTTTTTCAGTGCTTCTTTTTCAATTTATTGCATCAAGTTGCTATTACCAGTGTAGTGCAAATAATTCCTAAGCTTACATTATTTTACCTGGTCAACTTATATAGGGTTATTCAAACGTCACGAACCACCGGCTATGAAGGGGGTGGCCATTTGAAATTTTTGAGTTGCCCCCTGCCCCCTCTCCCCGAGGGGATAAAAAACTGGAAAGTACTTCAAAAAAGTTTCCTCGCTATGAGGAAAAACATCTTAAACCGCAAGTTGATATCATAATTGGAACTAAAGTTATGGCTAGTGGTACGTGACTTTTGAATAACCCTGTATACTGCGATGGTTTTCAGTGAAGTTTTGGCTTTGATATCATTTTTTAGTTCCTTTTACTATAAATTAAGAATAAATTAGAGGACCTCATATCCTCCCTAACAAAATGCCCTTACAAATGGTTGTAATCCATTCGTAGAATAATAAGTTACACAGGCAGAGAGCATTCTTGATTTTGACCTCAAAAAAGAGGCAAAATGGACAAAATTGAAGGAGCAAGACTCCCTCTTCCCAATGTAAAAATGAATTGAAAAGATAAGTTCCCTTTTGGATGCTTTAGAAACAGAGCTAATTAAGCACTGTTTGATAATTAGTCAAATTTTTATTTCCATGACGATCAATCCCGGCAGGAAAAAAAAAAATCTTAAAATTGCTGTACAAAAAGAGTTTGCTTCAGGAAGCCCTCTTCAGAGTTCTAGTCACTTTCTCATTTTATTTCAGAGAGCTTTATTCCAAAACTCTGAGTAGGGTGTAAAATGACTGGATTTCTCGCATCACTGACTTTTCAGCTGCCTTTATTATGCCAAAGATCTGGATAATTTACCCACTTTTCCGTACACAAGATATTATCCTCAGAAAACATACTATGAGTGAAAGAATTCATGAACGCATTTGTGAACTCAGTGTGATTCTCCTCTTCGAAGCATGGACTAAAATTTCGCCCATTCCCAAGTGGTTCCCAACCTTTTCAGCTTGCAAATCTTCTAAAATTTAGGAGGAGAACTATGGTCCGTTAGAAATGGATTATTTTTTTTAATAAGAAAAGAAAAACCTCTAAAATATATTGGCATTATTCAATACCAACAATTTGTCAGTGGAAACGACGTGTTTATGTTCCGAAAATCAGTTTCCTGTTTAACAGCTGGGTTTTTGAACTTGCTTGGATCAGCAGCTGATTTATCTTATTTCTCATTTTATACTGAAAGTAGTTCATTCTTCACCTCGAGGTTTTTTATCACTAAGCACTTAGGAACTCCAGACTCTTTGAGCTGACTATAGTTTGGGAACTGCTCCATGCATTGTCTGTATTGCAGTGTGAATTAAGTGATTTTGATGATTTTTCTTTGCTTTTTGCCTTAAATTAGTCTAGTTGGCTATCATAATATTGCACAACATTACTGATTATTTCTTTATTTTTCTGATGATTTTTTTTTGTCATTGTAGATCAGATCCCGGAAGAAGTACCAAGCTCCTCCTCCTCCAGGGAAACCAGCAGGAACAGACTAGAAAATTTTCATGCTAATAAACCATAGAACCTTTCGTCAGTGATGAAGATGGTAATACTTTTTTCTTAGAAGTTTCAAGTTTATCTCCATTTGTTCCTTTTTTCTGGCACTCATAATTTTGGTGAACTTAATTGATAATGCAGAGCGTTGCTTACGAGAATAGAGAGGCGGTAACTACGTTCCTGTGACGTCACGCTAGTAGATGAAACTCGGCCTCCGTTTAACATGTGTTCTTATAGGAGAACGCCTGATGTGTGTTTCTTTCGTGCCAATATCTTCCTCGGGGGTTGATCTGATATAAAAATTCATTAGAACCTTTTTGAAAGAAGATGAAATTTCACTTCAGAAAAGTAAATAACCCATACGTGACATTGTCTAATAATTGAGGAAATGAAAGCGAAAAACCGAAAATCGTTACTCCTCTCAGATTCAAACGCGCCACTCACGCAACTTCGGCTGATCAAGAGCCACTCTGATTGGTCAACGCAGCGACTGCCTCACTCATTGATGCACCGATGACCCGGAGATGCTTGTTGTTTTTGGTAAATATCTACTTGCTTGACATCACAAAACTGACTAGTTATGGCCTCTCCATTCTCATAGGCAACGTGCAGAGGTGTCTCCTACTGACGAAGACTGCTCAATTTTGCTGATAAAATTACACCAGTATTTTACCGTATTGTATTTAAGATTGATACTGTAAGACTCAGTAATGGGCATTTAGACGATGGAATGAGTGAAGGCAATACGCAGCATGTTTTCTCCTCAAAATTTCCTAAGGAAAACGAATTACTAATGGGAAGTCTAGATATAAACTTCTTAACACTGCATAAGTGTTCGAATATATAAGATGTCATTTGTATAATCTAACTTGCATTTAATCTCTGTTACAAATATTTGTTAATATCTCGTTTAGGAGCTTTGATTTCCCAACTTCCCATTTTGTTAATCGTTTTCTTTGTAAGATTTTCTACTTTAGAGCTTGTCTAATGGCCCATTATAAGAGACTAGGGGGTCTGCCCCAGTGCCCCCTGGCCGCTTCGTGGCCAGCGAAATCGTCGAAATCACCTGTTGGCAGTTAATGAGCAAATAATTTTAATTGAATAACAAAACGATGTTTCAAAGAAAAATTTCCTGCCAAACAATATTCCTAATGACTTTCTCCTTATTCTGAATTTTGATTCCTTCTTTGGATGTTGACCTGTGGACTGTCTAAACCTCCTTCCTTACCCCGTTCATCGGGCGTTTTAAAAATGATTTTATTATATAGAGAAGATACTAACCCATGCTTTCCTTCTTTAACCAATAAAGAAAAGAAATCAGAAAGCTCATTTCAATTTCATTTTAGAACTCAACATGCACATGCATTGAAATTTTACTTGCAGAACTGGTAAAAGAGCAAGCGCTCCTCTCTCAGTGAAAGTGTGCTGCATTTATGCCATGTTTTTTTTTATTTATTTATTTGTTTATTTATTATTTCGTAACTTTATTTTAAGCAAGGGTCAATGAAGTGAAGTACAGAAATCAAAATGCCATTTCATTTTAGTAAATTATTTTGTTATACATTATCCCTCACCTCAATCCATATTTTTTTCAGATGACTCCGATGATCGTAACTGCCTCTCTTCAATTATGTTTTCGCCATCTGTCCTCAAGGATAGTTATATCATCCCATTTAGTATGTATCATCTAATTTAGTCAGCTTCTCAAATATTGAATCACTGTTATTTTTTTATGTATTTTTAGGTTTTAAACCTATTCTAAAACGGCTTTTTGCCAATGATTTTCACTAATCGAGGCAATCTGTACAAAAGCTGAGAGGGTATTCTGTGCCCAATGAATATATCATTGGTGATATGGGGTAAAATAACTCTCTTTAAGTTAATACTTAAGTTTTCTAAGAATGAAACTTTCCTAAATCCAAGCGGCGCTCTTCAGTTTGTTCAGCTTGGGTCATTTTTATGAGTGAAATACTGTAGAACTTTTTATGCCAATAATTTTGCCATTTTAGGAAGTTTTTTCTCTCTTAAAATACTTTGGAACCCAAGCCAGATAAGTTGGCAGTTGTTTATTTCTGACTGTCTTTTGCTATAGATAGATTTTCATTTCATTGAACAGCAGCAGCGTTGCCTGCGATCAGTCCTTGATGACTATTGGACGACTGCAGCACAGTCGCCAGCAAACAGAAAGTGAACAACTTCCAATTTATCTGATGTGATTTCTATTCGTAGGTCATTAGTCAATTTGACATCAAATCAACTATTTTCGCGCAGGAAAATAATCTAAGTGGGATTGATAATGAACGTGTTATCGTTTCTATCTTATAGCTTGAATTGATGTGAATTAGCCGTAATTCCCCTCAGACCCATTTTATTGTCTTGAAAATCTGCTAGGTTGTTAGAGTGATATAATTTTTTTGGTCATTAGATTTAAGTACATTTTTCATGGTTAACCCTCAGTCCCATCAGTCATCTACATGTAAAGAGCAGTTTTGGCAAATTTTCTAAGGAAAACCAGGTTTTTTCTTTCCACGTTCACTGCGAGCAACTGTATTTCGTCACCTTCCAGGCAAAGTATCACACGCGCCATGCGACGTTTAAAAATTTCCGCCGCCATTTTATTTTTTTACAGAGAAATTGTTCAACGAAGCTGTCCGAAAATTTCACTGAATTTTCTTTGTGCTGCCGATAAAATTTAGTGAAATTTCCAAACAGATTCAACCAGCAATTTCTCAGTAAAGAAATAAAATGGCGGCGGAAATTTTTAAACGTCGCATGGCGCTTGTGATACTTTGCCTGGAAGGTGACGATTTCTTTCAAAGTTTGTAACAGAAGCTCTAATATACAGTCAAGCTGGGGACTCATTTCAAGGACTCATCTTTCTAGAAATACCGTTTTGTCATTTAGACATTAAGTACAGTGTTTATTAATACTATATTTCGTTACCATAAATATGATAATAGTCATTCAAGTAAGTAAGCTCCACAACTTTATCATTCACAAAGTTTTGGAATCATGATTTGATCCAAACGAGACTATTTCTAACTTTTTTTATTGTTCTTCATTATATTAAGTCCTGTAACTTTTACAAAAAGACAATTAAAATGAAACTTCATGATTAAGTTTTCTCTTTTTTATTTTCTCCTGTTCGTTGAAACATGGGTACCTCAGATGTATCCGTAACTTTACTATCAGTTTGCCTCCCCACAAAATGCAAACAAAATGATTTCATACTCTGAAGAGATGTAATAATTGCTGTTGAATTTTTTTTAAGCATACAAATAGTCCATGGGCAATTCAAATGTCTGTGAACGATACTGGGGTACAGAAAATTATTCAATTTTTTGTGCCTACGTGTGAAAGGCTATATTATACTCCAAGGTTGATGAAAATAAGAATCCTCCTCCGAGATTGGAACATTTATTAACAACAACAGAAAAATTTACAGATAAGACTTCTTAAATTGAATTGCTACATGACTTAAATAAATTGTTTAGGTTAATTCCTTTTATTATTTTTCATACTTGTGCTTGATGTCATCCCATAATTTCTGAAACAAATAAATAATTTCACATGAAATTGATGTAAAATTTCTAGGAATAAGCTAGAGATTCGATGGTGAAACCTCAAAAAACAGATATCGGTTGCAAGGTTTCAGAATCGATGTCACAGTTTAATTTTGTTTGGAGAAAATTCAGTGGATGTGGTTGTTCAGAGATTTACAAAAGATATTTCTTGTAGGACAAAGAAAAATCAGTGAAAATTTCAAAAAATAGAGTATGTTGGTTGTTGCTTGGAAAAATATTTTATGAAATGAAATCTTCAACGTCACAAATTATGATACATGTTTTGGCATTTTCACCATCGATTTGGGAAAATATTTAAGTATTAACTTGCATTATGGTGTAAACTGTTCATTGATCTCAATCAAAACTTTACAAATCCTTGAAAAACGATCAACTTACTTGCGATTGCTCAAAACTTTGCATAGGGGTGCAAAATATCAATTGTGAAACAGCAAAAAATGTGCATCTTGGTTGCGGTGTTTCACTTCAAATAGAGAAGAAAAAAGTTTTCAAGAAGTGACATAGTGGTTTTCTAGGTAAAGAATAAAGTATGACAGGAAGTCTGCAATGCTGCCAACTGATATCGTACCTCAGCAGTTTTACCATTGGTATGCTTAATTTTCCATTCCAAAGATCATAGCAAATGGAAAGCCTATTTTACATTGATGGGATATAATTGTACTGTGGAAGAGTTGGGTCATGCTTCGCATAATGCTGCTTATTGATCTTAAATTCTTGACTGACTTCTGTATCACTCATTGTCAGTCTTGGTTCTATCAACTCTGGATCACTGATATCTTGTTAAAATTTGAGCATTGATGGGAATGATGGCATCATGAGTTGTCTGACTGAAGAGACTTTTCCTTAAAAGGGACCTTGACCCCTCTTATTAGATGTAAGTTAAGTGATGGACCCATTCACATGCTATGATCAATTTGCTTACTGCGCCTTGAAATACAATGTTTTTTGATGAAAATACTTGATTGCTCCATATGAAGAAAAAATCACTAGGATTCATTTAAGTTAGCAACTTGATACTACAGAATAATATTTAGAACAATGCTAGTAGTGCTGTCTATCTAGAAATTGGAGAAATACGACAAAAAAAAAATCACCCAGCAACACCGCTAGATAGCACAAGTTACTTGTCACTGCGTTTATTTCCCAGGCACGCCATGACAAGTATACTCATCAATACGTTGCGAATGGATTAACTATTATGTTGCTTGGTAGGCTGATAAAAATAGTAGGAACAGATGAATGCTAAGGAAAAGGACCGAAACCTTGACTTCAAAATTATATCATAGCAAATCGAAACTGATGACTGAACGAAAAACATAACTGATGAAATGACAAATCTAGGATCCTGAAAGAAGTCATGAGAAAAAGTTTGAGCCTCATTATTTAAGCCATTATAAGTTTCATTAAGCTAGACATTATTAACAGCAGGTGAAAGAACCAGACCTCGGAAGATAGTAGTTGGAAAAGTTAGTGAAAACTTACAGAATGCCAAGTATCATACTGGAGGCTGTAAAATAATTAAAGACAGTGACCTATCTGAAGGTAAAAAAATGACTTGGCAGCACTCTTGACAAATAACTAATGTTGCTGTTCGCACATATGTTTCAGATTTTCACAAAGATCAAGAAACTATAGATAGGGGGATCCTGTGCTAACCTGATGGTGCATTTCATAACACACTGGGAGCAACAATTAGATTAGGACAAGGATAGTCTGTTTCTACAGCTCCTTATGGGACTGTTGCTATAAAAAAATTGACCAAGTCAACAGAGGCGAAAGCTCCGTAAAAACCGACAATAACATTTTTCTTACCAGGGTCAGTCGATCTTCATACTCACTGAAACCTGATTTGAGGTTAACCTACAATGATAAAATTGGAAAGAAACGTAAAATTTTAAGCAACATTACAGTACTTTACCGGACTTACGGTAGATAAGTGTAAAAAAATCTCGTTTAATTCCTAAAAACGTCTGTATCCGTTATCATTCGGCATCTTCAGAACGTCGACAAGCTGCAGACCTAAACAGTACTTATTAAATCAGTTTTGTTGCGGTGACATAAAAATGGCCGTATCTTTCGCTTCTGTTGATGTAGTCTATTTATTCTATGCTCTTACTAGACACTATCATACATCTAATTCGCAACCACCTGATTAAAAATCTGTGTCCAGATATAAAACCTAGCTCTTCTTCAAGTGAGTTTACGATTGAAATTTCAATGCTAAATCATTTATTGTAAAAACTCCCGCAAGATCCCATGTATTGGCGGTTGTAACTTTGGCCGTTTCAACTTCCCGCCCGCCTGTCCAACAACCGCTCCATGTGTGTAACGTTTTTTTGTAGGCCACCACCAATCTACAGTGTCTAGATCGTTGGATTTAAATGAAACCTTTTCAGTTTCTGACAAATTGTGAGCAACACTGGGAGGGCAATTTTTCGAAAGTCTATAGGCAATAAAATTAATGTTTGGGCGGTATGCATTGGTGAACAGGTTTGGCGAGTGCTGTCTGAAAATCTGTGTGAACTGTTAGGCAAACAAGTTGGTTCATGGAGCGATTGAAATGAAAATACTGACTACACTTTTGTGCGGATGGTGATGATGAATAATGAATGCTTAGCTCACCCCTTTATTGTAGTTCTTCCAGAGTAGCGTGCTACCTTCATCTATGATACGTTCCGTTGCGTATGCTCCGATTACAATTGTAATAGCAGCTGTTGAAGATCTGCGGAAAAGGGTTTGGTAAATTGTACCTGCTAAGCCCATTTTGAGGCTTTCACTTGGTTTTCACAAGCTTTTAGGAATTTGAAATTTTAAGTTAACCTTACAACCAAAAAGGACATTGGATAATAACACAAAATTGTACGGAAGAAAACAAGGAAGAGGTAATTTGAATGATTTACATGACGTCACGAAAAATAAGCTATTATCATCCAATAAAATCAAAGTATCGTTTGGCGCTAGTACTATTTATTGACGTCACGCAGTATTATTTGAAACAGCTCTTACCCTCTCTCTCTTCTCCTTGCGACACATTTGCAAGATGGAGTTATCAGTATCAGCTGATTTTTGATCATGACCTTTTTTATCAGTTTTGCCAAGTTACCCAATCCAATTGCCATTAGATATCTTGAGATTTTGTGATATTCAAACACTCTGATACGATTTTACTCTTGGTCTCTCCATTTAGTTTCATTCATTTTGTATGTATCGAGCACTAAAATCATTTACAAAAAAGTTGTGTGATTGAAGCCATAAGTTTTTACTCTGATAATTCCATCTACGCACACATGGATAATGACTAACAAGTTGTTCCAGGAAGAAGGTGTTGGCACATGACTAAATTATTGTAATCTGTTGATGTATTCGCAATTTTTATTGTAGTAATCTTCAATCTGACGATAACGAAAAAACCAAAAATAAAAAGGAAATAAATACTTAATTGTGCGTACAGTAAGGATTACTCTGATTGCAATAAACTAATTAAAAGAAAACATGGATAGTTTTCTGCAGCTCATGTGTTTTGTGCCAATTTCGTCAAATGTCAAATAGTTATTTAGCTTTAAATGTTTGCAAAATCAAGATTCTTTCCATCATTGCATAATGGGGGCCAAGGATTCAAAACCCTGTTGTATATCTTATGAGGAAGCAGTTAAAAGAGGTACAATATCCTTATTCCTTTCTTTTAATTGATGGGTATTGTCCATCTTCATGCAAGCAAAGCGCTTGATAGCAACCTAGCATGGACTTAACCCTAAGTTCACGCTTTATGAATAACCATCGCCTTTTTGCCATTCACCCCTGTGTTAATGTTTTCCATGTCTGCGGTGCCATAGCTGAATCTGCCTCAGTTCCCAATAACACCAGCATCAATGAGTATGAGATGCTAGCGACCACTTACGTATCTAACCTCATAACCTCAGTTTATTATGCCCACACTTGTTCTCATGACTTTTTCTCTTAACCTTTCAATCACTCCACCCGCAAGAACACTGGCAAGACAACTTTTCTCGACTATTTGAAAGTATTTTGCATCTCTTACATCATAAGCAGGGTGCTTAAATTCTATACCTATTTTCACTGGTATTAGGAAGGAACTAAATTTGGAAGATAACAGACGTGTATCTCATGCTTTAAAACACATTAAAATTGCCTGCAGTGAACATAGAATATTCGAATTTGTGAGATCTCCGTTAACTTGTTCCATTAAAATACTTGTTTCATGGGCTGTAGCCAAGTGCTGTTATAGAAGCTTAAATTATGGAAGAGAACCCGTGCAGGTCATCTGCGATTATTTCGCTCTCTTTGAAAGTAATTTAAATATGAATCCTTTGTGCAGAAATCAGTAGCAACGGACTGTAATATCTTTCATTTTAGTTGATAGTTGTCATCACTAGCAAGTGAAATGAAGACTGGTAAGATCTTGAGTATGTATTGTTGAAGATATTAAAGATAATATTTGAAATGCCAAACAATGTTAAAGAATTGTTGTCTGATGAATTTGAAGACTTGCATTTATCTTTACCAGACTGATTCCTTCATCGAGAAAAAACCCTTTCATCAATAGGAACTACAGGCACCACTTTTTGACTCTTGTCTGTTGTCCTTTTCTACAGCTTTTTCACATCTCCATGCTCTGGATGGAAAAAAAATCCATCCAAAGCTTGAATTTTGCATGATCAGTAATTATTAGCTGAAGATTTTTTTTATATTCTGCCAAGATGAAAGCCATCAGTAAACATTTAGGGGTTAAGCACAAAATAGAGGGGTAGGGCTGTGTAGGTTGGGGGGACTAGGGCAGTGCTTTGAACGAATTGCATGAGACATTTTTGGAATACATGCTCAGAAGTAGAAAATACTTAAAATTGTAAGTACAAGATTTTGTGTGAAAACTACTCATTTGTCATCCTTCTATATATACCAAAATTTAACAGGAATATCTGCATCACAATATGGGACTGCTTGTAAAATAGTCAAACGCATTGTGGAGGGGGGGGGGTTGTTCAGGGCTGAATTATGAATTGCCAGCATAACGGATGAATAGTGCTGTTTTTCAAAAAATTTAAGTTGAAAAATAAACACAAGAAGGCAATGCTTCATCTCAAAATGCTAATTTGAGAGAAGAGGGGGAGTCGTTTTGTAATTTTTTTTAGGGGGGTGTAGATCTGTGTTAGGGGTGCGTTATGAGGAGGGGGGTAGGGTTGAAAAAGATTTCCAGTGTAAGGTATCAAGGTATCACATTAGCAGCCCTTAAACTGTAAGATGTGGTTATTTAGTTTATTGGGGGAGCAACAAAGTAGTTTGCAACAGCGGTCTCAAGCACTCTTTGAGTATTACACAGGTATCTCATTTCTGCGAGAACTGAGTGGTCAAGAATAATTCAATGAAGTTTTTGATTTAAGAATAGCCGTATTTATAACCTTGATAGCCGTTGCTACTTTTTGTACTGCCCTTTATTTCTCTCTCTCTCTCTCCCCTTCTCTCTTAAATGTGGTAAAAAAGGATGTAACAGAATCTTAATGGCCTAGATTAACTTATCATCAATCTCAAGTGGTAATTTTTCCCTCAGACACCTGGTATGATTCTTTAATTATTTATCAAATAAAATAAAAACTCAATTGTCCTCCTCTCTCTCTCCCATCTGTTTTGCATCTGTGATGGTCCTGTGCCTCACCCAGCACAACTCAATTTTTTCTCCCTTTTTTTCTGAAACATGTAGCATCTTCATTTTTTATTTTCATTTTCTCTTGGCTGTATACTATCAATATCTAGCTTTATTTTATTAGAATAGGCTCATATTGTATCAAGCCTTTGGAAGAAGAAGCGATATAAATCTTCCTGCAACACCACTATGATCCATAAATTTTGCGATGTACACCTCAAATTCTTATTTTTTTCTTTTCCTCCTTTCTTGTTACGTAACTCACGATCAAACTCCCCTCGCTTAGTGAAGTATTGCTTGACATGTTCTTCCAAATTTGAATGAGCTCTTACATTGATTGTGACAAAAAAGTAATTCTCTGCGACCCCTCTACCTCCTCTCCTCTTTCCCTACACCTGGCTTAATATCTTTTGTCACTGGTGATTTTTCTTTGACAATTTTTTCTCTTTCTTAACGAATCCTCAAAAATCCATAATTTGTATTTTTAATTTCGTTTTTCTTTGTTTTTTTCAGTCAGTGAAGCTGAATTGAAACGTCTGAAAGAAGCTTTTAAAAGAATTGCACCTCTCAATGGGTTTATCTCTAAGCAACTATTTGTAAAAGATGTCCTTGGAGAAAATGTTCCACCAGTTGTGGCGGAGGTGAGTCATTACTTAGTTTCTTACTGCCCATTCAAGCAAAGTAGCAGCATTTCTGCCCAATTTTTGTAATTAAATGAAAGTATCTGGGACACTTCCTATCATATGGATGGTTGCACGAGAACACATAGTCAATAAAAAATTCAAAAGAATTAGTATGCCCGTTTTGTTGCAACCATTTTACCTTCTTGTTGTGAATTCATAAGTTATTTTGGAAGCATAGGCATATACAAGACAATGGACCACTGCCAAAGGTATGAATTTAAGCATTCTGACTTGGGTTTCATCTTCAAAATTTCACGTAGAACATGATTTGTGCAACAATAATCATTGTTGAAAGTAACCTTTTTGGTACCTTGTCTAATGGACCATCAAAATTGTTGGGGCATGCTCAACCTCTAGGCCCTTGTTTATTGTCTCGGTTAGATCAAAATGTAGCCAAAAATCTGTGGAAAGTACTTTCTCTCTGTACTCTTCTTATGAGTGGATTGCCACAGTTTTGAAGAGATGACTGCATACTCGAAGCATCATGAGATACAACTGCTTATTGGGCAGTAAGTTTTTTAATTTCATAATCTAGGAGTTTTCAAATGTCATGCTTTTACAAATTCTTTTTTTTTTTTAGCATATATATGCTGCCTGTGGTGGCACTGCCAGAGGGATCGCTTTCAAAGAGCTTGTATGTGGATTGGTTTTGCTCACGCGTGGAAGTGATGAAGAGAAGTACAAATGTAAGTTCTGTTAGCTTAGTTTTCATGACAACCCTTGTTATACATGTTAAACTGTTCACAGTGACCTCTTTACATATCTATGAATGTATTAAATATGCAGTTGAAGGAGAAATAATAAAGCCTGCTGATCTATTGTCCACCCACAACTACAACAGCAGACATGTAAGCTTATTCTTAAGACTGCTTGACAGATTTTTTGAAATTTTAAGATTTTACCACTCCTGAATAATACTGTGGTCCTAAGGAAGAACACCGTATGAACCTTCGAGAGTTGTCAAATTTCTTTTGATTAAATGTTCATTTTGAAGGAAATTAATGAATATTTTTCCTTGAAATTTTCAGGAACTTTAGGTGAAATTGCGAACAAAATAATCTAAAAAATTAGAATGAAAATATCCATAAGTTTACCAGGAATGTATTTTATTTAAGGAAATTTGGCAACGCGTGAAGGTTCATAAAGCGTTTTTCCTTAGCACTGCAGAATAGTCCCCTAGAAGATGCCTCTACTAAGCCGCTGATTTTAGTCATCCCTGTGAGTAGTCAGTGAGTGAGATTGCTATTCAAATTACAAATTAAATTGAAATTTTCTAGAGTTGAAGAAAGTCAAATTTTCTCCTAAAAATGAATTTTGATTCTTTCTCTTTATCATCAAGTATGAAATCCAAATGGACTGGTTTCTTGTTCTAGTTCTATTCGGACTGTATTCCAACGAAAACGGCAGCTACATTTCTGGAGAAGAATTTCATCGGACCTTGAACACATTAGAGGCAGATAAAGTTCCTGATTACATTAACACGCTTTGCAATGAGGTTTGAATCATTTTTTTCCTTCACTCCTTAATATGACATTCATGTAAAGAGATGATGAATAGGGTAATCCTTTTTAAATCATCTTACTGATTTTTATACTGTTGTATACTTTTCTGTGACTTTTTCCTTTTTTCTGTTTTGAGAAATCTGAACTCTTGGACCGTCATGGTGACCAAGACATATTCATTATTTCGTTCCTCTCTTAGCACAGCCTCCTCATACTTAAATGGCAGATTGTTATAAAGAACTCAAGTCCTTTATGTGAGTCTTTAGGTACTGCTAAGCACACTTTCTTCGACTGTATTTCGTCTCATCCAGAAAGATAGGTACTTTGCCATGAAATTTGACGCAGATATCGCCAGATAATAACAAAATTAAGCTGAACTCTTATGAAGACTAGTCCAGAGACTCACTTTTTTTTTTGCATCATTTTTGTCAGGAAACACTCATCAAATATCCTACAGAATCCACCCACTGATGTACTGCAAAGCAGAGCCAGGATGAATCTACATCTTATTAGGATTCTATTACATATCAACGTTTAAACACCAAAAAATGCATTTCTCAATTACAATGTTTAAAAATCTCCAATTATGTTTCATTACTTTCCAAGGAAACTACTAGAAATGTTGCTATCCAATTTTCTGTGATACTTTTAGGAATAAAAAGTGACCTTTGATGATGGTTTTCTTTTAAAAAATTAAACAAGAGCGAAGACCTACAATGCGGCAATTTCAGATACGTACTTTTTTGACTGTAGCCGTTGGTATCTTTTCCATTTCTTTTTCTCTTTACTCTTCCCCCAAAAAATATCCGTCAATCCATCCTCTCTTATCTTTGCATCCTTCACACCTTTTCCTCTTGGCCTTTACTGCTTTGCAGTCTATCTCGGGTATTTCCGTCATTGTTTTCCATAATTATGATTTACGACTTTTGTTGGCCTCTTGAGGTATAGTGGTTGTAGTGCTAGCTTTATAATCAGGAGGCCTTAGCTTCCATTCCCCGTCAGATGACCAAAGTTTGATGGTCTTAAACACAGGTTATGTAGGGTTGGTTGTACAGTAGGAACTGAGTGAGAATGGGGCTCAACTGAAAAAGCGCAGGAGAAGAAAAGGTTGAATTCTTATTATTCGCCCATTATCGGGTTGTAAATTTTAAATACAGTCCTAAAGTTTTAAATAGTAGAACTAAATGAAGGATAAGACAAAAATCTTTATAATAATTTTTTTTTTTTTTGCAGCATGGCCGGATATCATACGAAGAGTTTCGAGAGTGGCTGAAAGAACATCCAGATGCTTTTTCCTTAAGTCGTTGGCTTTTATCAGAACCGTGCACAGTATCTCTGAGCAATGAACAAAAAACGCCTACGTTTTACCAGACTCTGGCTGGAGTCACTCACTGTAAGAATTATTTAATACCTCCTTGCACTCATCTGAAATTGTAAATAACTAATTCCATCACTGAGCTCTTGGAGTGTACTTCTTGCCTCCTCCCCCCCCCCCANTGCATATGTTCAATAATTTAAGAATAGAATCTGACATTTCTGTCATGTGTTCATCACAATCTGACATGTTTGTCAACATGTTACCTGCCACGCAACAGTCATGAAGCTAACATGAAAGACTAATGTCAGGCACTGAAGTCAGCTCATACCAAAATAATGTCAGCAAACAGACAGTAACTGTTTGAATTTCGGATCAAAATTTTTTTTGAGAAAAGCTTCCCATGTTGTCAAAATTTTTGTTATGTGCCCTGTCCTTGCAAGATGCAGAGCTGAAAATGAGAATTTATCGTTTTTGAAATTTCATTACTGCAACAATTAACTTCTAAATTTTCTTCACTCAATGACTTAAAAACTTGTAAAACTTTTTTCGGTTTTCTCGTTATTAAGGACGAAAGGTAGTTTATGTTTGTGCGCAAGCCAATTCAATTATGACACATTTTATTTCCTTTTCTTTTTTGTTTTAATTCCTATATGGCAAACATGGGCGAGTTTTGATGAATTCAAAAACAGTAAAAATTTAGACTCGGAAACTGCACTAATTCTCCAAAGAAAACTTCTAAGCCCTTTCTCTCTTTTTTTTGTCAGTTGATGAGTAGCATTGTAATAAAAGTTACTGTAATGGTTATTTTATTGTTGTTGTTTGGTTGGCTACAGTCTGGTTTGAGGACAAGCAGCTACTTGCAAGAAGATGGGATCACGAAAAGATTGTTTCACTCGACACTTGTCAAAGATTGCCGTTTATAAAAAATGTATTGTACACAGAGATGATGATTTGATGTGTTGATTACAGTGTTTTATTCATCAAAATGTTCTTACTGAATGCTGCCATAAAATTAGTCCTGCAGAGATGTCCCTTTCATAACGGCGCAAGACTAAAAATCAAGAATGAGCAAACAGTAAATGAACTAGCATTAGCTTTTCAATCAACAAAAGAGATTGTCAACCCTCAGTCACTTTTTTTTAAAGCTCAGGACCCTTTTAAACCCTTTTTTTTTCAACTTGCAGTGGAAGAAAGTGATATCATGGAGTTGGAGAAAAGGTATTGGAATTTTAAAGCCAAGTCCAACAGTGGTCGTCTTGACCTAACCACCCTTCTGCCATTGATCAGTCCACCTGTACCTTTGTCAGTTTGTCCTGGCATATTTGCTGCTTTTGATGAGAACCGAGACAACCATATTGATTTTAAAGAAATGGCGTGTGGAATATCTGCAGCTTGTCGGGGACCTTTGACGGAAAGACTAAAATGTAAGTAACTGAGTTTTAAACTGTTGACATGATTAATTTTGATTTCACTTGAGTTAACGTGAATATGCTTTTGTCTGCTGCACCCAGCTGTATGTTTTACACTGAGAAAACAAATTTTTGTGTGAGACCTGAGGCTTGAGTCATATCTAAATGTTTTGGATCATGGATCCGAAAAATTTGCTTCCAGTTGCCGAAGTTTGGATCAAGACCAAGGAATTTGGACCAAGAATGAATGCTGCATTCTGGTGATATTTCAGCAGATGATATTTGTACTCTGTGGCAAAAATGTATCATCACTGATGATAGAATTCCACTATTAAAGCTATCTTCTTTCATGCTCTTCAAATTTTTTTTCCTTGCAGTTTGCTTCAAAGTCTTTGACTCTGACAGAGATGGTGTTCTGTGCAAGGCTGAAATCGAGCATATGATTAACGTTCTGTTGTTCATCCGCTCCGAGAACCAATCAGAGGACGAAAGAGAAAAATATCCACACTCATCGCCATCCACCAAAAATGGTTCGTTCCTCTTTTTTTCATAAGTTCCTTTATCTTTTCCGTTTTGATAATCATTATTTTCTCCCATTCCTCAAGTTTTCATCAATTTCTTTCCATGAGTAAGAAGATCCATGGCCTGGGGGAAAACAGCATGTATGCATAACATTCCTTTTGTATTCAATATTTAATTCATTTCCTTTTCGCTTTTTTCTACAGATGTTGACTCAATTTTGGCAGATATAAACCAGTTCTCATCCATACAGGATTGCCTTACAATGGAAGAATATTTAATGTGGACTATCGACAATTCTCTTCCGCTGGATTTTCTTAATCTAATTTTTCAAGTAAGCCTCTAATTAAATTGTCTAGTTGCATTGCATTTTTCTGTGTTAACTCTGATTTATGCGCAGGAGAAAAAATGCCAAGGTAACATTAAAAAGGTGTCATCAATTTGTTAATCTCCATGGCATGCGTCAACTTCATTACAAATCTGAAAGGAATCTTAACATTTACACTCAGACTTGTATAAATTTCTGAGTATACTATTTAGTACAAATATATTTCATTACTTCTCTTATTTTACAATTTTAGCCTCATCTCCAGCCATGTAGTATTAATGTATCATCTAAATGAAAAATTTAGGGAAGGAAAATGATCCAAAGTCTAATAATATGAATGTGTAAAAACATTTTTAATAAGTCTGTTTCACACAAAAGATACAGCCAACTAAATACACTGTTTGAGGGTACATTTGCTTGAAAATCACGTTGGACACACCAAAAAAAAGTGAAATCCACTCCTTAGCATGCAATCTGCGTAGTTTGGAACATGCTTTTTCAAAACTGGGTCTACGGGCAGTTTTTCTTGGTGGCCGGCAGTCAGGTTTGCCTGAGAGAGACCTGACTAGAATAAACAAACAATCTTGAGAACTGTTATATACTCTCCTTGCGTAAGATTTCAATGGATTCAAAGCTTTTGTTTTTGCAAAACAAAGAAAATGAAGGGAAGCAAACGCTGGAAAACGATTAAAATCATGCAATAGATAAAGTTAGTGAAATCGGTTGTTTACTCAGGTTAACTTTTCTTACTTCTCTGCCTGTGCAAACCTGGTCAGCAGTGACTGAAAAAAATTTCCCACAGATGTGAAAACTTGAAAAATCGTGTCACAAACTATGCTGATTGTAAGCTAAGGAATGGATTTCAGACTTTTCAACACGCTAGCATGATTTTTGTGTGATTTTACCTGTAAAGAGTACAATTATTTGGCTGTGTCTCTCGCACACAACAGACCCATTTTGTAAAATGTAAACGCCCAAAGAATGTTTCTAGAAACCGTAAATGTTGGTATTCCAAGTTTCTGTTTGATTCTCAAACTTTGATACTTTGCCTAGGCACCAGGTTTTTTTGAGTGTTGAATCTATTGAGGAATAATTTCCTTACTTAAACGTGCTAAAATTTAGACTGCTGAAATCTAGGAATATCCAGAGGAGCTATAAAAAGAGAGAATAGGGATTTTGGGTGAACACCTTGTGACACACCTTGGGACACATCCCATCTGTTTTTTTTTATTCCTGAACTTATAGTCACTTCGTATTTTTTTGCTTTTAAGTAGTTCATGTCTTATTGGATGTGAAGCTAGTGTATTTTCAAATGGTTTTCCATCCATCTCTTTTGTTTTATCTAAGTTTCATGTTTTTTACATTTTTCTTGTTTGTTTTTAGGTATGCCATATAGTATTGGGCCTCAGGCCGATGACTAGGAAAGAGGAAGGAGAAGTTGTTTTAGGATGGGCGAATCGAGAAGAGCGTAGAGGGTATATTCCTGGTCAATTTTGGTTCCTTATTGATATTGTCTGGTGGAAGCTGTGGAATGATTTCATTTCTCCAAATTCAGTGGTTGTAAGTTTATACGCTGTGCTTAACTACATTCTTTTCAAAACATCATTAACCAACAAAAATCCAGTATGCATAGTATCATTCCTCCCAAAATATAAATATGCAAACAGGAACTTTTCATAATCTTTACCGTATTACATGAAGAGCCATACTTCTCAATTTTCACAGCCAGTTTTTAGACATGCAGGGCTGGATGGACCTAATTTGCATGTGACATTTTTTTTAGCTCGAACCTTGTCCATTAGGCCACTGATACTCTTTTATAATCGTATCACAGTCTCACTAGAGGATGTGAAAAAATCTTCAATGTTTCAGTCAACAGCTCTGACATGAAGCATAGCCCAAGTTAAGTTTGTAATATTCATCGTACAAAGATCAAAATGTGTGTGAATCTAAATTTTTTTGCTACTCAATCATTGAAAATTTGTATTAATCGTTTCTTCTTTTTTTGGTTGAAAAGAATGGAAACGTTGAGTCATTAGAAGACGTGCCAAATACCAAAGTCAATACACTGAAAAGAGCAACCTCAAAACTTGGGTCAACGGGCAAACTATTCCAATTGGGTCAAAGTTCTCTTGTGGAAAATTCTGTTGCTCTTGATAATAAGGCATCGGTAAGATTTCAACTAGTTATTTTTTATCAATCTGTCACGGTTTTCAGCCATTATGGTGACATTTTTCTGCACTGCACCACCAGCGACCAACATCAATAACTCTCAATTGCATTAAATTGGATACCGATTATAATATGTTTTAATACTACTGCTTTAAGTCAAAAACAAAATTAAAATTACTTCCCTTCAATTACTTATTTGGCAATTAGTTTATCTTTCATAGTGGGAGGAGACGCTTCTTCGGACAATAGGGAACAGCTATCGCAGACATTGAAAAAAACTCAGATGTGTAACTGAACAAGAAAATTACCCATTAAATGTATCACTACTTACTTTTCTTTCCTGCTGTTGATAGTACCCTGAAAATAATAATGCTAAAAATACAGTCGCTGGAACCAATAAATGAATCTTTATTGGCAGTAATAGGATTGCAAAAGTTACCTCTTGAATGTGTGCATGACAAGTAGTTCATGAGCTTAAGGAAAGACGTTCATCAGGTAGCGTTTTTAGTACCTAAAAGTAGGTGGATACCACTCATTTGCTGTTGGACAGCCTCAGGAAACCTTTATTTTCAACATTTAGAAGGGTTGGAATAAAATTGAAGCACAATGTAACAGTAACACAAGATTCGTATTTTTAGATATTGTTCCTCTAAGTTTTGTTTCAAAGACTTTGCCTGGTTTTTTATTACTTTTAAATCAAAGTTCTCATTTGTTTGTTGTTTGTGAATTAGGTGGTTGGAACAGGAATCACGCTGAACCTTTGGAGTCAAACTCAACCTGTAAATGATAAAGTTAGTTCAACCATAGAAACTAGCAGGTATTACACTTTCCTTTATTTGTAAAAAAACTTGTATTCATAAATTAATTTGCAGATCAGATGTTCAGAACCACTGCATTCCATATCTTTGATGTCTCAGTTTTGACATATTTAGAGTTGATCCAGGGTGTTTGCTGGACAGAGTAAGTATGGAAACATTGAACTACCATGAACTTTGAAAATTTTTGGAAAGGGGTAAACATGAAGGATTGAAGCTTGATGACTTTTTTACTGGTCACCTAAATTAGAAGATCTGGAACCCAGTCTCTGTATCATAGCACTTCTGGAAGAAATTAGGTAATAATTAGATGTACTTAAATTTAACCAGTGCAAGGCGTTTACTTTACAAGCTCTGTATTTCTCTGAATCTAGATCATCTCCTCTTGCAAATTATTTATTTATTTTTTCCCCTCAATATTGTAACAGAGGAGCCTTTTCATCAAGCATGTGCCATGCAAAACTTTTGATTTTTTGGTGTTTACTTTTTTTCAGTCCAAGGCAATCTCCAGTACCTGGAAGACGAGGAGTCATGCCACGACCCGGACCCATTGATAATAGTAATTTAGTAGCTGCACCCACTTACAAAGTGAGTGCTGTTTTTCATCGGTATTGGTTGATACGCTCTTTCATGATCTGTAAATTAGATTTTTTGCTCTGAATTCGTGAATATGTGACCAACCTGTGAGCATAGTTAATCAAAATATTGGTATTACTGTTGAGAAAAGAAGTTTTGCTGTCAAAAGCTCTAATTTTGATTTTTCCTCCTAACTTGACATAAATTGTACTCCTAAAAAATTGTCTCTGTTTCCGTAAATGGTCTCTTTTAACGTTAAGTTTTTTAATATCTGCAGCTGGAAGTACACTGGAGCCTTAAGGCTAAGGATATGACCCTTGATTATCCTAGAAACATGATGGGCTATACTGGGCCAGTTGTGCTGGTCACAGAATCGTGTTTTAATGCTTGATTCTTGTAGATTAGCTAAAACTAATAAGGACAGTCTGAACCACAACTTTCTACGTTCAATATTAACGGAGATATCGCCCTTTGGAAAGTCGGGTTTTTGACGTCATCCACTACGGAGGTGACACCTGTGGTTTCTTCCACCTTGCTTTCATTGGTCAGTGATGCACTGGTTACTCAACGTGAAACTTGGATGAAAGCAAGGTGGAAGAAACCAAGGGTGCCACTACTGCAGTGGATGACGTCAAAAACCCAACTTTTTAAGGGGCGATATCTCGCTTAATACTGAACGTAGAAACTTGTGGTTTGGATGGACCTTATTATTTTTAGCTAATCCTCAAGAAACAAGCATCAAAACACGATTCTGTGACCAGCTCAATTGACTCATTGATTAAACCAGAAGCGTGGGTCACCAGTGCATGTGATGGTCCTTTCAGTTTTTAAAATTTTATATCTCTATCATTTCCTGTAGTTGGAGTTGAAATAGACATTCCTGTTTTCAATTTTACAGGTGCCTTCTTTGACTGCTGAAGGAGGGAAACTAAAGCGCCATCTGTTAACCCGAGGCCGAGATTTTGAATTAGTCCCAGAATCTCTGTGGACAGCACTCTCAGATTGGTATGGAGGAGCTCCGCGTTTACCTCGGCAGGTCAGAATCAACAGCTAGTGCACTGAGTTTGTCTTATAAAATACTAGGGGGCTATGCCCCCTGACCGCTAAGCGGCCCAACCACCAGAGGATGCTTCGCCCTCTCTTAGGCCCGCTTTGGCAAAAGTACGACCAAAAGAAATGAAAATATTTTCATATCCAACTCTCATTTGTCCAATCTCCTCTGGCCGAGAGCGATTGGACCAATGAGAAACAAATAAGAAAACTGCCATTTATTTCAAACTTCAGGTCTAGACTGAAACGAAACCGAGCGTTTTGTTACTTTTGGATAGTCTGTAGTAAAGGAGCATACCTTCGATTCACTTACCTTACTTTACTAACAGACCAAGGTCCTCAATTTCCCGCTGAGTTCAATTTTCCGGAAAATTTGAAATTCCCGCCAATGAAAAATGGTGGGAATTTCAAATGCCTCCTTTCTAAGCTCCCCGGTATACTCTAATATAAAAAATGTGGGTCATATTTTTCAAAATCTTATTACAGCGGGCTCATCTAAGGACTATCACCCATTGATAGCCGCAAAAATTATGGAAATCGGCTCAATAGAAAGCTCAAACGAATTATGACAAATAATAAAAATTTACATTGTTTAAATGGGAGAATTCGCAACTTTACCGCGTAATATAAAAAAACCTGGGTCATATTTTCAAAATCTGAATAAAGCGAGCTCATCTAGAGACAATTGTCTGTCGATAGAAGCAAAAATCTAGAAAATCGGTCAAGTAGAACGCTGGAACTAAGCATTACCAGATATGCAAATTCAGGAGGTCTCAGAGTTTATACAGGGTGATCCAAAAGTCCCTTCCACCCCCTCTAACTTTTTACCTAATTGAGGTAAAGATTTGAAACTTGGGGTATATTCATAGGTCAAAGGGAGCTACTTTTTGGCCCCCCTAAAATTTTCAGGGGGCCCCCTTGGGGGGGGGGCAACAGCCCCCAACTTTTAAATTTCAAATGGGAAGACCCCCTTTGTGATAGCTTGTTTGAAAGAGCATAAAAAAAGAAAACTTTTCGCGCAAACCCGAAGTCAATATCTCAAACCATTTCAAAATGGCGGCCGGTTAAAGTTCAAAATGGCCGAAAATTCACACCGGTTTTTTGTTGATGGATTTGCGCGAAAATCGATATGTAGGGGTATTTTCACACGAGAAAAACGAATTTGACGTTAGATTTTCAAAAAAAACCAAAATTTCCAAAATGGCCGCCGGTTGATGTTTAAAATGGCCGAAAATTTTCACCTCGGTTTTTTCCTGATGGATTTGCCTAAAACTTGGAATTTGAGAGTATTTTGGCAGAAGGTAAACAAATTTGAACTTAGATTTCTAAAAAAATCAATTTTTGGTCATTTTAAACTTTAACCGGCGGCCATTTTGGAAATTTTGGTTTTTTTGAAAATCTAACGTCAAATTCGTTTTTCTCATGTGAAAATACCTCTACATACCGATTTTCGCGCAAGTCCATCGACAAATAACCGGTGTGAATTTTCGGCCATTTTGAACTTTAACCGGCCGCCATTTTGAAACGGTTTGAGATATTGACTTCGGGTTTGCGCGAAAAGTTTTCTGTTTTTATGCACTTTCAAACAAGCTATCACAAAGGGGGTCTTCCCATTTGAAATTTAAAGTTGGGGGCCGTTGCCCCTGAAAATTTTAGGGGGGCCAAAAAGTAACTCCCTTTGACCTAGGAATATCCCCCAAGTTTCAAATCTTTATCTCAATTAGGTAAAAAGTTAGAGGGGGTGGAAGGGACTTTTGGATCACCCTGTATATATGATTCAGGGTTTCTAGCGGTCTGAGAAACCCAGAAAGTCAGGGAATTTACGGCGACCTGAAGAAGTCGGGGAGTTAAAACTCCGGGAATGTTGTGAACAGCGTTTAGCAGAAGTCAACGCAATCAAAGGACGAAAAAGCAATGTCTTGGCATTCTCATCTCCCATTGTCTGATTATACGCTGCTCTCTCATTATCACAGGCAGATTTGCTGTTTACGTTAAGCACCTGTTGATTCGTTTTAAGGAAATCGAGCAAAGTATATTTATAACCAAGTGTGCTTGATTGATACAATGAAACATTGCAAATTTAAAGGTTTTAAAATGAAACACATTAGAGTGCATATTTTTCAAGGAAGCAAGATGAGTATTAATGTCATCAGTGTGCCAGCACTGCCTTTGCGGGTATTGTCCAGAAATCAAGCAAGGATGTATTTATTATTTTCCAAGTGGAAGGGGGGGACACACAAATATTTCTGATATTGCAAATGCCACCAACAAAATAAGTGTATGAATTTAGCATGCCTGTCCACGTGGTTTACTGCGCAAGCAGGATCATTATTTTCCTTGGAGTTCATGGTTTTTCATTTGTCTTTTACAGGTTATTCTTCCCAAGGGAGCCTCTCAACCAGACCTGGAGCTCTACCCCGTAACCTTACGGCTTTTGAGGCATTCAACGCAGCCAGTTGCCCCACAAACTTCTTGGTCTGGTAAGAGCATTATAAAAAGATGATAACCATTGACTGCCTGGGTCTCAAATATCCATGCTGTCCAAAATTAATGAAAACCCTCAATTTCTATTCTCAGCCGTTAGTTGCATAATAATTGGACACATTTATACCAAGAGGAGGCATGTACAAGTATTGAATCAAAAGGAACTACAAGGAAAGAAATGAAATGTTGATTTAGCATTTATACTGTTAAAAAGATGTCCAACAAGTTTCAAATGCTGATTTTACATTTTAACAAATGCTAACATAACTACGCCCACTGCAAAACGTACAAACTAAAATGTTATGTTAGCATTTTTGTATTGTAAAATCAGCATTTGAAACTTGTCGGACATCTTTTTAACAGTATAAATGCTAAATCAACATTTCATTTCTTTCCCTGTAAAGAGTACACAAATCCCATCCCCATAGGTCTTTTTGATTTATCTCATTTGCACATAATTTTATTTAGCGTAAATACGTAACAGTAACATTAACAGTCATATGTAATCAGTCATCCATGGTTAATGTACATATGCTGGACTTCCCTTAGCCTATATCTGGTGTGTTTACTCTCTGTTCAATTTGATAACATTTTTGTATAAAATTTTGATCATAGATTGACAGTATTTTTAAGAAAACTTTGAAAGCAAAGGAAAAATTATTAAGGTCAATGTAGTTCAATTGGATTCATAAGAAAGTCCAGTCCTGACAGATTCTGTATTTTCTGTGAATTTTTTTTGTAAGTTTTTATATGAGCATCAATTTATGCACTATTACACACACAGTCCAATCAAAATATTTCGTCCCTTTCATTTTTTTTTCTTGCTTTTTTAGTTTCTACAACTGGTTTGGCCTATGTACCCCATTTACCTGGTGTATCTTTGAAAAAACAGCTCTCCTACACAGCTGCATTCAGTAAATTGGCCACTGTGAAGCACGTTTATGATTTTCTTTGTTCGAAACTACGCTTCAGAGCAGAAGACATGAGGCTTTGGCATTATTTTGACGAGGTTTGTTACTTACCAAAGTGTTTTTGAACAGCTTCTATTGTATCTTTCTACCCTTTTTTTGTTTTACAAGATAATTTTTTTTAGCACTCTCCCCCTTCACCTTTTTTAAGATCCAAAGTGTTTCTTACATACGCTTATATCAAATATGAAAAACGGATGCTCAAAACACATTCGTGGGAATACCATTCAATTGTTGATAAGAACAAAGAGAAGGAAAAGAAAAATATGAAGTAGCCGTTTGTAGACAACACTACTTTTATAGCTAATATGCCTTTGTTTGAGCTCATCTTATAAATGGCAAACTACATACGAAACCTTTTAATGGTTCAGAAAAAACTAGTCATGCACCACCATCACCATCGGTTCTTTCTATATCATTGACAAAGAATATTCATTAATTTTTCCCCCTGATCAATGTTTTTATTGCAATGACAGAGGCAGTGGTGCTGCTTTTTCAAAATGTGCAATTAGTTAAAGCCTACCGCGGCAAAACTTCAGGGGAAAAAAAGCAAAAATAACAACAAAATTCTCATTTTAAAAATTACAATACAGAGAAAACTGTGTGTTTAGGAAAAAATTACGAGAAAGGTTTTGAAAAATGCTTGAGAGTTCTTCAAAAAGTGCTAGTTCTTTTATTCTTGCAGCTGTCTGACTCATGAGTATAAAATCTAAAAATGTTTAACATTTGACTTAACTGGAACTTTTATATTTTCTCATGCTCTCCAGGCAAACATGGTCCTGATTGAGGATGAAGACGCAACTCTGGAAGAGCTGGGAGTTTGCGATGATGATCAAATCCTGATTGAGTTGCAGAACAAAGATTTAACATGGCCTGAAGAAATGGAGTCTCTAGCTCTAACCAGTGCTAATGATCGCCATCGACAAGGTAATAAAATATTTTTTAAAAAAAACGAGTTTATTCAGTTTCTTGTCTATTTCCTATCCTGTTTTTGGACATCAGGACAGTTTTTGAAAAAATAATGCATAGAAGGAGCATTTGGCTTGGTGTTCGAAGCAAATCCAACATGCTCACTACCAAGTCACAAGGTCATAGTGACCATTCTTTGTTGGCTGCGCCGTGCCGGGCTAAAAAAATCAGTGGAACCATGGTTTGAAGTGTTCAAATTCTGTCTTTTTTTGTGGGTTTTTCAGAGTGGACAGGAACTAATTTGCTGAAGCACACAAGTGGAAAACGCGTTGAAGAAATCTGAGTGCTGGAGTTAATATCAGTTTAACTCTATTTTAATTAGTGTTTGTTTGTTCTTGGTTGGTTGTTCTTCCTCCATTTTGATAAGATTTCTGTCTTAGCACAAAACTATGAAGTACAAACAATTGTAATAAAAATAACACCAATTATAACTTTATTAGTTATATATTAGTTATAGTCAATTCTGTTTGTCAATTTCAGTGCCAACTGAAAAAGGTGCGACAGGTTTAAACAACTTGGGAAATACATGTTTCATGAATGCTGCTCTCCAGTGTGTTAGCAATACGCAAGTTCTCACCCAATATTTTACTTCAAACATGCACCTCTACGAGCTTAACAGGTTTGATGCTTGTTTTATGGTACTTTTTTTTACAGATTTTTTTTCAATCTACTCTTAAAATAATTTAATTGTCAGAATAAAGTGGGAAAGTAAGGTATAAAACAATAACCACTCTAGATAAAACTTTGAGAAAAATCGTTGGACGTTTTGGAAAATTTCCAATAAAGGCTCCTCAGAAAATTTGCAATTTTTTTCTTTTAAATGGAATGTATCATTTCAGTTTTATTAGAAGTTCTATTATTACAAATGCAATCTTGTGCCAGTTACATTGTCACTTTTCTTTTCATTTATCTAACACTCCTCCTAATATCAACCACTGAAATAGATGAGAACCTGATAGAAGACAGGGAACTTTTCTGTTCTGCCGTGCCAAAGAAAAATGCAGTATGAAAATTAGTACATTGCCGAATTTCTCTCAATAAAATATGTATTTATTTTTAAGGAAAGTTATGAATATTTTTCCTCAAAATTTTCAGGTAAAAGCCTCCTAAAATTTTATATAAAATCCATTAAAATAATGTAGCAAAGAATAATACTTCACAAGTTCTCCAGAAAATTCAAGTTTGAGTGGAAGAAATTTGGCAACATCCAAAATTTGTAGATCTGAAGTTTTTTCAAATCCTGGAATAAATTTATTTCTGTAACTTAATGTAGAGTTAGTTCTTAGTGACCCTCGCAGTCTAATTTATTTCTCTCTCTTTTCTTTTTAGAACAAACCCCCTTGGAATGAAAGGTCACATCGCGAAACGGTACGGTGACCTTATACATGAAATTTGGAGTGGCACTGCTAAAACTATTGCTCCTCTAAAGTTAAGATGGACAATCGGAAAATACGCTCCAAGATTCAATGGTTTCCAACAGCATGACTCCCAAGAACTCTTAGCATTTCTGCTGGATGGGCTTCATGAAGATTTAAATAGAGTGCATGATAAACCGTACGTCGAATTGAAAGATAGCAATGGGAGATCTGATGTTATCGTTGCACAAGAGGTAAGCTTATTCTATAGTTGGATTTTGTTTTTGTTTTTCAAAGTTCTATAACATGCTCGGTAGTTATGCACTTCTCTATGTAAATTTTTTCAGTCTTTATTCGTCTATAAAATTTGTGCTCATTACTGATGAAATGTCAGGTTAGTTCAGCTTGACAGGATTTGGCCTGCAAATCGTTGCTTCACAACACACACATTTTTTGACCTACACAGATTTTGGTTCAAGTAAAACGCTGGGCACCACAAAATTGCATGAAAAATCTGCCATGTAGGAAGGAATTCCTTTTACGAGGCCTTCCAAAACAAGTGCGAACCGTCAAAGTTGCTATCGCCAGCTAAATTGAAGTTTACAAGTCGTAGATGGAAAACGATAGTGGTCATGCTCACCTACTAATTACCACTATGCTGCTGTTTGAGTTGAGTTGTTGACATCTTGTTTGAGGTCAGGTTAGTTCTGTAGTGTTGTGATAGCACACAGGTATAGTAAAAAAAAGATCCAGGTAAACACAGTAATGGGAGAAAATCTACGATCATCTCTTTACTCCATTCCCTCAGTTTTTAGTCTCTTCTCGACTGTGATTTTTTATTTGTTTTATTTTTGTAAACATGCACATACGCGTATGCACCATATCTGTCTCAAGGAGCAATCAAGTAACTGATTTTGAAAAAATGATTTTCTTTGGAGCGTTCTTTAAAGTCAAATGTCATCTAAATCTGTATTTTACTTCTACACAGGCATGGGAAAACCACATTTTGCGGAACAAATCAATAATAGTGGACTTGTTTCATGGTCAACTCAAGTCAAAAGTCACCTGTAAAAAGTGCCAGCATGAATCTGTACGATTTGATCCTTTTAACTATTTGTCTTTGCCTTTACCCATGGAGTCTTACACTCATCTGCAAGTTATTGGTAAGTTCATGAATTCACCTGCTGTGAATTAATTTTAAACAACTGATACCAAAAGTGAGTCTTATCAATGTTAATTCATAATTTTTTTTCATTTTACTTTATTCATTACTTAATAGTTCAAAAATTTAGGATGGAAACTAGCCCTTGTTATTTGATAAGCGTTCCTTTCAATACAGATCTCTTCTCCACTTGCCAGTTAATCCAACCAACGAATTAGAGCTGCATAAACCCTTGCAACCCCTCAAACTTCATGTTTATTTTGGGTTTGGTTTATTCCAACTTTCGGCTCTGTATTTCTGAACCTCTGTCTCAGTTTTCAGCGAGTCTTTTAAAGATTGCAATCTTCTGCACCATCACGAGCTCTCATGGAATTTGTAGGTGAGGGGAGGAGTTATTAGTATGCCAGGGGGTATTCCTTAGCTTCAAACTGTATAAAAGTAAAATTTACGGAAGTTTTGAATTATGAATGCTAAAATTTTCTCCTGACTAGCATGCAAAGATTGAAAATATTAAATTTCACCAGAATAAAGTTCTACAGCATGGCTCTTCTGTACAACCATGACCTATTGATACAGAATCCTTACCACTAAAGTCATGTCTGGAACAATCTATAGGTAGGTTTTTTCAGCATTTTGTGGTGCATGTATGTACTAATTTTAAGAGGCTTACATTGAAAATATTTTGTTCACAGTTGTTAGGTTGGATGGCAGTGTACCGGTGAAATATGGCCTAAGGATTAACGTTGACGAAAAGTATTCAGATGTGAAAAATCAATTATCAGCATTGTGTGGTATTGCAGCTAACCATTTGAAACTAGTTGAAATTCAAAATGCTCAAATAAAAGTGAGTATTGCATTCTTGAGAAATCGGTTTAGCTTTCAATACTTTTATTTGGTCTCAGTTTGTCTATCAAACTAGAAGATCAATTAGTACGACGCCGCCTATTTACACTAAGGCTGCGCCACCAAAAGAATGTTTGAATTGCTCAATTGATCATTCTATTTTAGATGAGTCTGCGCAGGAGCGTTTTAGTAGAAACCCTAGGACTAGGTTCCTAGGGCGAATTTTTGCCCATACCAAAAATACTTCCAAATTTTGTGACTGGAGGCCTGTTTCAAATGAACTTCAGAAATTACAAGAAATGAGAAAATAAAATGTTGCTTGATTTGGGTCCAAAAGAGGTATTTACCCAAGTGGAACCTTTCCTTTCTCGGCTAGAGGAAATGCCCATGGGGCAAAACAGGGGTTTGAAATGAAAGTAAGAACACTGGAATGATGTTGACGAAGGCAAACAAGATACATAGGGCTGACAAGCGATACCGGAAAGATACAAATACTTGAAAATGGGAAAAAAAGGACTAAAGGCTGGGTTGACGGGTTTAGCCCCCCGTCAGGGCAGACTAATTTTCACTTACATTTTTTAGAAAAAGGGTATCTAGCTGTTAGGACGACAAACCGAACATCAGAACACGTACACGAGCTCGAAGACCAAAAAGCAGAGTGAAGAGTGGGGGGCCGAGTAGTGCTAGTAGCCGCCACGTGACTACTAGCGCTACTTGGCAGGCTAAAATTTTGAAAATTGAAGGGGTAGGGCGACATCCCGTTACATAAGTATTGTAAGAAAACAAACAGGCAGCACTTTATTTTAATATTTTATGTGTAAAACTTAATATAAATTTTTTAATGAACCCAATTGCGTGTGTAGCTAAACAACAGTTTCTTTATTTTCAGAGCTCATTATCTGATGATCAAAAGATTAAAACGTCGGGGAGTGGCAGTGGAATGGCAACGACTCCTTTGTATGCGTACGAAATACCCTCATCTTGTTGCAGTGTAGGCGGTCCTGGATCTCTATCTGGTGATGAAGAACGGTTGTCCATTAACTCCTTGAAGTCAGTTCATCAGCGTGATGCTGCACACACATTTACAGCAATACAACGATCTGTTAGGCCTTTACTACCACAGTCAAGTTCATGTAAGAAAATACTGGTCCACTATTTCCTTCCCTCATTTAAGAATAGGTTAAGTAAGAGGGTGCTAGTGACTTTGATTGTGGAAAGATTAACTGTATTCTTTTCTTTATGTATATATTATTCTACCTCTCCTTCTCGATTACTAATGAATGATATATATAATATTCTACCTCTCCTTTTCTATTGCTAATGATCGTTAAATATCTTCTTCACATCTATCTTTCGTTTCAATCAATACCATAAAAGAAATTAGAACTAAGGGAGTCCTCAATGGAACTAAATGAGAAAAAGACTTATTATTAAAATTACACCCTAAAAGATAAAGGATATCCAGAAAGGAAGGCCAAAGCTTAGAGAAATAATTTTGTTGTAATTTGTGATGTCTAATTTGTAATTTATAATCAGATTATTAATATCGTTCCTTTTGAGTTGAAGTGAAAACGGAAAGTAATTATGTCAAATTTTAGTGAGTATTTTCATCAGGCAGAATAATTTGTGGAAGTTTGTTCCGTCAGTGTTACCATGCCTGAAAGAAGTATAACTGAGAGAAGGGTAGAAAACTCATTTCTTGAGTCAAAATTGCAGTTGCTTTAATTGTTTATGGTGTTTTTATAAGCAGGTGCTTTATTTGATGAAAGTTGCATGATACATTTTTCAAGAATGGACCCTTTTTTCATTCATTAGAGTCCTCTCCACTCTTTTCTCCGCCAATCCCTGCCCTAGACAGCTGAAAATGCTCTTGGGCCTCCAAAACAACATCTCGGCACTAGAAACTTTCTTTTCCAGTTCTCTTAAGTCTGATTCTGATAGTGTTTTTAGTATTGTTATCATTGGTTGAAAATCATACGTGCACTGACAAGGATTCAAGAATATTGGATATCTTTTTTTAATCATGATAGGGCAAGTATTCAGTCACCCAGATTTTATAAAACCCAGGATTCCTACCTTTGTTTTGTGAGTTGAAAAATGTAAACTGTGTAAAAACAAAAGCCAACAAGTTTTGAACTTTGAAATTCTAATGATGAAAATTGTCCGAATACGGTTTAGCTCCTCTACACAGCTGTGCGCAATTTTTTCTTTTGAGCTTATTAAAATAGTATGCGTCGTTTGTCTAATGACCGATGTGGAAGAACCCTTTGACTTTGAAGGTTAGTAGACTTTCAAATTTTAGAGACGGTTTTTTTTCCTGTAAATAACCACGTATAGAAAATTAATAATTTAAAAAGCTATGCTTAATTTGATTTTTAAAATGAAAGTTTGAATCTTTGACTTTTTAAAAAAATAGTTTTATTTCTGTATTTTCAGGCAATGAACAGGTTAATGGTGGAGAAGAGTCAAATGGAAATGGTGATCAAATTAGCCGGATTCCAGAGGTAGCTATTTATTTGGTTGTTTCTTTGCCATTATGTCGTTAACCTAAGCGAAAGAATCTTGTGCACATGTAAAATGAATAGTTTTGGCGTTGGTAAAAGTTTATCCTTATTTTATACAATGTTCTTCTCAGCCTCTTTAGTATGACATGTAAACGCAAAATTTACCTTGCACCAATCTTGAGAGATGCATGGCTGAAGAGTGAATTTTTCAGGGTTTTTTGTGTATTAAGGAGATGTGGAATGAGGTGGATCAAATTTGAACTCTCTCCTAAAATTGTCGGCTGCTAGCCGGGATACTCTTTTAGGGTAAACATGACGGAGATTTTTCCAAGGTGCAGGAAAAATTCCTGTAATTTCCTGAGGTTCCGAATTTAGATTTATCTTTTTTGTTCCCTTGATGTTAGTGTTTTCCATTAATTCTACCTTTTAATTATTCATAGATGGAATTTTTGCATAACAGCTAGCAAAAAAAAAAAAAAATAGAACTCTCTTTAATTTTTAACCCAAAGACTATCCCAACTGGTGACGATTCCGTGAAAAATTTCAAATTCAACCCACCCTTCCAATTTTTTTCTTTTGTTACTTTCCTCCTTTTCTTCTTACTACATTTCTATGTTTTCTCCTCAGGTCGCACCGCAAGGTGATATTTCTGCAACTTTAGAGGAAGAACCAACCTTGCATCCAACCGTTGACAGTGGAAATTGTAGTGCTAGCTCCACAAGCCTAGCCGACAGCACTGATACAAATGCTTCACATAACCTGGGATATCTCACTGCTTTTCATCGGAAATCAGTAAGTAGAGCTCTTCTCTCCTCATACTTTACCAGTATATTCTCCCCCATCCACTTATTCTTGTCCATTCTGAAAATAAACTGTGCCTGAGACATTACACTAACAAAGTCATGGAGAATGTAATTCAACACACTAAAATGCGATTTTGATGACAATTACTCTACTTCAAATACTTCATTTGCAAATAATTATTCTCTTTTATTCAACAGACCCATTGAAGCTAACTCTTTAGAAATTTCTTTGGATGCATTGTCTACTAATCTGGTTTACTTACAAACTAGATCAAGAAGTTGGTAAAACTTGATCTTCATAATACAGTGGAAATTGGATACAAGGACCTTCTAGGGACCGGCCAAATTTGGTCGTTATATCCGATTATCGCTATAACCGATACTCAAGTACATTGAAAAAATGAGATCTCAGCCGCGGGCCTGCCCAGATTGCAGGTTGTTATAACCAATATGTCATTTTAAGCGATTTCGTAATATCCGATTTCCACTGTACTCAGTTTGAATAGGGTTGTTCTTGGATTCCTATCTTATGTGCATTAGATGCTTTTATTCTGAAAAAACTTGCAAGTGTAATGCACTTGCAGTTTTCTGCTTAAAAAAAGGAAAGAAGCATTCGAAAATTCTCCTTTATTATTTTTTCTATTGATTCATCATTTGTTTTTGCTCTTTTTTTTATTAGACCCTCCAAGATGTTTATTTTGTTTCGTGGCAAAAATGTAAACCGAGTTTATTTGGCCTTCCCGTGATCGTTCCTTGCACTGACACAACAACTCATCAGGATCTATATCAATCTGTGTGGCTGCAAGTTGCTCGCCTTGTCTCGCCACTACCTCCCACCAATGAATTTACAACACCTAATCATGCAATGGATTGGTAATTACTAATTCTTTCTATTTATTCACTAATTTCTCTAATAATAGAATGAAAATGTTCAAGTTCTTCATCAAAATAACAAATCATGTAAAGCAATGTTGTTTCCTTTTGTCTGATCTTTTCTGAGCACTTATGTTGTAATGTTATTTATTTTTTATTTTTATTTTAAAGTTGGTACATAAACTCCCTTTAAGGGATTGTACAAGTCATACAAATGAATCAGATACAGATCGTACAAATGATTTAAATTGGGCAATGTAAGAACAAAATACAAATGAATCAGATACAGATCGTACAAATGATTTAAATTAGGCAATGTAAGAACAAAATAAGAAAATGACAGAGCAAAATGAGAAGATGACTAAGAGCAAAATAAGAAAATGACTAAGAAGCGATGGATAAAGGCTAAAGATTTGAGAGGTCGTCAACATAGTAGAATGTATTCTCCAAGACAAAAGCCCTAAGTTTGAGAAAGAAGACGTTTATTTCCCCCCTCTTACTATATAATGTTGAAATGGAAAATCACTGATTTTCATCATCGTCTTTTTATTCCATGAAGCTTGTCAAAGTCGTACTTCATCAACTTCACTTAAAAAAACTAGGCATCTTATGAATTATGTGCTGTGACATTTTTCGAAAATGAAAAGGCAATGAACAATTTAAAGTAATCTTCATTTGAAGGGAAATGAAGATAAAATCCTCCCAGCATCGATTGCCATCAGTGCAAGTCGTTCAATTCAGCAGATTAAGTAACTAAACCAATGGAGTTATTCTAGATTCTGTCTCTGTACTTTTAAGCACACAACAAAGAATTGTGGATTGGTAGCACGAATATATGATTGATTGTCGCATGAAAGATGGCTCTGGTTACTTTTCCAGTGATGTGCAACTGTCATTTATTTACTTAAAAGTCGCTGAAAAATTAGCCGCAAAAGTAGAAAACTTTGCGCTGGACAGAGCGCCAGGGTGCCGTAAATTCAGAGTAAATCAGAACTCTTATTAAGACCCATCTTTAATCTGTTTCATTTCATGGAAAAATACACACCAAAAATAGCCCAAAATTCGAATTTTCGAAATTGCCCTAACGCCTCAGAGTTACAGTAAAAATCACATTGGTTCGATTGGGAGAATAACAAGGACTCTTATTGACATGAAAATAGACCTACAAACCCTAAATGAACCTACATTACATGACCAAGAAATATTAGTGGGCTTATTTTCTTACAGACATTTTTTTATGTGAACATCTTTTTTGTGGACAAAATCCCTTGTTGGATAGAAGGTAAAATTGGCATCTCTGTTTTCATGTGTCGGAAAAATATCTGAGATACATACAATCATGTAGCTTTAGATGCAAGAATGGTGCTGATACAGTGTTATACACATTTCGATGGTGAAACTGCAGGAATGTGTACCTCAGTTTGTGGCGCTGCTAACTTTCTGTCACACTTTATTTTCTACATGGAAATCTACTAAATATCATTTCTTTAAAACATTGGTGACTTTTCTTCCCTAAGTAAAGAATATTCTGTGCAAATTTCAAGCCATAATGTTGGTTTAGTCTCCTCATGAAAAATAAAAGTAGAAGCGTAGATTTTGAAACAACCGAGTTACGCATTTTTGCTGTTTCACCATCATCTGTATTGGGATTGTAACATCTTTTCCAGTACTTAAGAATGCTTTCATCTCTTTGCAAATTTTCAAAGATATCTCTGAATTTAGGAAAATCGCTCATGATAGAAATTCAATTCCTTTTGGCCGCTTTCACTTCTTCGTGGTTTGAATGTCCATTTGTTTTTCTGTTTCAGCGATGATAGCCTAGGCTATGAATTTCCATTTATTTTGAAAGCTGTCAGTCGAGATGGTTTACAGTGTGCTTGGTGTCCATGGTACAGGTTTTGTAGAGGTTGTCGACTTCAATGCTGTGATACAGAATTCAATTTTGCCTGCTCTTATCTAGCTATTGATTGGGATCCAACGGCTCTTCATTTACGATATCAAACGATGCAAGAAAGAGTATGTCATCTCACCAAGTAAAATACTAGGTTTAAGAATAAATTCAAAATATATCTATCTACTCATTATGGCGAATGAACTCTTGTTTTTAGTATTAACGTCCATGAAATGTTTCAGTGTGCCAAGTTAATGGTTCTCAAGATACAGACGTAGACGTACAGACGAATTAGACGTAGTCTGAAAGGCATGTTCCCTCATTAAAGTTTTCATTAGAGTGCTTTGACCGCATCTAAAACTTCCCAAATTGAGTTATTAGTGAAAAATTATCATTTGCAGTCTACTAAATTTAAAATTCTTGCTCGCCAAAAAAATCCATAATCAACATCGGTGGAATCAGCCATTATAAGCAACATCTACAGGAGACAGTTTATCGGAGCATGGTCTCACATATATTTACCTCCTCCAATGATGCAAGGCACCTTTAATATCGATAAAAAAAATCGGCACACAGGAAAATTTTACCATTGCAAAGTATATTATATTTAGTGCTTAATTTGAGCCAAGGAGACTTGGGTTTTTGGGACTGGGAATTTTAAATTATCATAAACAATAAAGGCAATTTTCTGTCTGATGAGTTGAATTTGGGAAGTTTTCTACTCGAAATTTCAATATGGAAACGCATGTTGTGGTGCTTAATATTTTATCCTGTCCAGTGGTCCATTGATTGAACTGTATTTTGCATTTGGGAACTTCAATTTCTGACTCATCCGTAAAAACACTTATGTGCATTGTGTAATGGTACATAAATTGTTCTATTGAGCCAGAAATTTTAGCCACGAATTGCAAGATGCAGCCCAATTAATTTCCATCTGCACAGCTGAAATACTATTGAGCTCATAATTAAATATCGCAATCAGGGATGCACCACTGTAATTCTTTGCAAGATTTTGCTCAAATGAGGTTTTTTCTTTTAATGTTAAAGTTTTTCAATTCAAGTGGCAAAATACCAACTGTTCATCTATCTAAACACTGTAACCGGCCTTGTTTTAACTAACAAATTGATAGCAAAACCACCATGCCATGTTCCTCAGCCAACTCAATTTTTCCAGAGAGCATAAAATCTATTATATCTTAAATCAGTATAGCTCTGACAGTTGGAGGGCCCATAAGCCTGAAAAAATTTGAACTTTTTCCAAAAAGCTGAGGCCCCCCCCCCCCAAAAAAAAAATGTTTCTTTAAGATCATTGAGCTGATCTTTATTTTTTGAAAAATTTTCAGATTTGTGATATATCAAGTATTGGGAAGGTTACCCTAAGGATCCAAGCTGGTCTTTAGCAAAGCTCAAGTACTGAATCTTTCATAATTACTATGTATGATAGAGTTCTATTTTATTTTTTTTTTTAAACTTCACCAAAATTTTTTTATCAGGTTTTGGAAGAACACGAGTGCTACGCTGCATCAAAACAACTTCACTCAGAACCCATCAATTTAGATTATTGTCTAGCTATGTTTACGAAAGAAGAAATTCTAGGAGAGGATGAAAAAGTCTATTGCACCAAGTGCAAACAGCATCAGTTAGCATCTAAGAAACTTCAGATTTGGAGGTTACCCCCAATTTTGGTGAGTTCTCTATTAATAGCTTTGTATTCTACCAATGTCAATTGATTGATTTGGTCTGAAATTACAGGCAGACATTAAATATGAATGGAAAAAGAAATGCTCCGGTATGGGTGTCCCCTTGGGTGATCTCGAAACTCTGTTTACTCTGTGCTTTGCTGATGACCAGGTGGTGGTTGCTCAAGATCAAGATGACGCGGAATACATGATGCGCAAGCTAGTAGAAGAGTATCGGAAGTGGGGTCTGGAAGTCAGCATATCCAAATCTGAGAAGATGACTTTTGGCGGTGATCAGCAAAGCATTGAGTTGGAGGATGGGCAGCAGATCAAAGGCTGCGAGCACTTTAAGTACTTGGGAGTGCGGTTGACCCAGGATGGAAGGACGGATCAAGCTATCAGGGAAAGGAACACCTTAGCAAGGAAGGCTATAGCGATGTTAAATGGAATCCTCTGGGATCAGCGGATTTCCAAAGATAACAAGAGGAGGATATACAACGCTGTAGTCAAAAGTATATTAACATACGGATGTGAAGTTTGGCAGCTGAAGAAACGGACACAGGATATGCTAAGAGCAACGGAGATGGATTTCTGGAGAAGGTCAGCAGGAATTTCTAGGAGAGATCGGGTCCGTAATGATAGAGTGCGTCAGATAATGGAAGTCGAAAATGACATCGTGTTCGACGTCATGACCAAACAACTTGTTTGGTATGGTCATGTCAATAGGATGACGGAAGAGAGGCTGCCAAAAAAGATGCTTGATTGGGTTCCTCCTGGGAGGAGACGTAGGGGACGCCCAGTGAGAGGTTGGCGACAGGGGGTGTTAAATGAGATAAGAGATTGTCAACTCCCTGATGACCTGTGGGAAGACCGAGCTTTGTGGCGATTAGGCGTCGCACAGCGCCAAAGAGCGCTATAAAAGCGACTCATATATATATACATTAAATATGATGGGCGTTGATGCCTTTTTATTTTTAGAATCAAGAGATTCAGTCTAGGGCTGTAATTAGTGCCCAATTACACTTAACTGAACAATTATGTATTACTTTCTTAAAATTTCTGAATTAGAATGCTACACTGAATAATCGATATCCACCCAGGACTGCAATGGCGGCAAGTCTGGATAGCTCTTCTACAAGCATTCTTATCTACCTAAAAGTTGATTCCCAATTTTGTTTTTAAACAAATGTGATATCATTTCTTTAAGTTGCCTACCTTGCTGGACATACCAATTGGCATTAAAGGGCTTTGCGAGTGCCCTGCCAATCATCTGGACCAGGATGAGGTAGCTCACGTTGCTTGACTCCCTCGCGTTCAGCGGTTGTGACTGCTGTGTACATGCTTATGGCTCATGACCAACATGGGAGAATGCACCCCTGAACTTTTTTTTTTTATTTGTTATTTTGGGGGGCCAAAATACTATGGCAGGCAGAAAGTTGAGGAAACAATATTTGAAGAAATTATTTTACGCACACTGCAACTTGAAAATATGTAGTAACTTCCTACGTAGATGTATTAGAGTATGAAAATAATTGATTTGAAGTTATGAATATAAAAATTAAAATACACCAGCACTTATCTCATCTCTTTTTCCCCCAATTTTTTTTTTTTTTTTTTTTTTTTTTTTTTTTTAGGGTAAAAAAAACTTTTCTTAATTTAAACTCTTTAAGGAGCCTCACATTAGTGCAGTGGTGTTTTGCACAATGTTAAATTTTCGAAAAAAACTGTGTCCAAAATTTTAATCCTCTAAATTTTTTTCTAATTTTTTCCTCTTCAAATTAGGCTATTCCAACCAGAATTAGCATAATTTTACTTCACATTGCTTGAGCTCTTTCATGTTTAATTTTTTTTTAGAGAGTTCAACAACATGTCGCCATGAAACTCTAAGTGAATTTTCTCTTTATTATGAGGAGTTTACTCGTAAACTTTCAGAAATCAACTGTATCATCGTATCTGTTGTCATTTGTAACAACTTTTCAGAAACTTTCACAGAATGTTGCTTAGAAGAAACCAGGCAACGTATCATGCTGTTTTGATTAATTCTGTTTAAAAGCAGTTCAATTGTAACTCAGCCAAACTAAAGTTTTGTACTTAAATATTTGTCTAGTAATTTTTAATTTCCTGTTATTTCACAGATTGTTCATCTGAAAAGATTTCAGTTTGTGAATGGGAAGTGGGTCAAATCACAAAAAGTTGTCAACTTTCCATTCCGAGATTTTGAGCCGACGGAATACTTAGCATCCGTCCCAAAGCAAACTGTGATGCGTCATAAAGAGTTGCTAAAATCCAAGTAAGTTATTTTACTTTCTATACACAAAACTCCCAATTACTCAAATTAATCGGGGGCAAAACCGATCCAGTTAAAAAAAAAATCCAGATAATTGGTAGCGAAAACAACACTCAATTACATACAAACATTAATGCACTATGTGTTCGTAAGCATAATTGTTCCTTTAAAAAGTGAGTTTCCCCATCTTTAATGTTAAAAAATTCCAAAAGTTTTAAATTGGCGGAAAATTTTAAATAAAATTAACAACGAATTATGTATCTAGGATTGGCCTGCCCGTTTCAATGAGTCACCAGAAAAAGTATGAATCAAAGCACCATGTAACATACTTCTCTCACAAATTTCACCAAATGAACCTAAATGTAATGGCAATAAAAAAAAAAAAAAAAAAAAAAAAAAAAAAAAACAGAGGGGGAACAGTGAGAACTAGTGTTGTTCAAAAATCTACGAACAAAATTTCAACCATTTCTGTAAATCTTCCTCCCAAAAACTTCCATCATAAGAGAAAAAAAATCGTGAAGAGTCTTATGTATCATGCATGCAAAAAACAAGTAATTATTCATTTATTGCCCCGGTCAAATTGCACAGCCACCGCAGCACCGAATGTAGCCTTTTCTTTTAAACATTTCCAATTCATTTCGCTGATCTTGAACGCAACTTGGATTTCAGAAATTCAATAGGTGAGCCAAAGCAGAATAACAATAGTTGGAAAACCCATGAAAGTATTGTAGAAGATTCAAGGTCAGACTCTGTGTTAGAAAATTCATCCTCATGTGGTAAGTGTAGCTCTCTTCTTTTTTCTCTCTCCATTTGACTAAATTTTGCAAGGTGGAACTACAATTTTTAGCTCATTTGCAGGGTGTCTACAAGTCCAAAATTTCTGGAAAGTCCGGAAATAGTACTGATTTTTTAAGGGCGGTCTGGAAGTACTGAAAAAGTCTGGAGATTACGCAAGAAGGTCCGGAATTTTTTTCATATTTTTGTCGCAATCAGAGAAAGAAATTAAAATTTTTGAAATTTTTCAATTTTCGTCAATTGGAGGTACTGAAAAAGTACTGAATATTTCTGTTGAGACGGTACTGAATTTCTTGAGAATGTACTGAAAAAGTGCTGTGAAAGTACTGATTTTTGGCCAGCCTGTTTTAGTAGACACCCTGATTTGAGAAACAACGCATGTGCTATAAGTTTCCATACATAGATAAGTACTTTTACAAATGAGTCAGAAATTGTAGTTTTCAATTGCAAAGTTGAGTCCAAGTAATTCTGAATAATTGTTCTCCTGACAAAAGAACGTAACTACATTTTAAGGATGCGTTTCCAATCTCAGATTGAACTTTGCCTCGTATTTTAACACACAAGACGTCGTGTTTTTAGTCTTTGCGTTGGGCTTTTTCAACTGAAAATTTCTCTGATCTTTCTTCTAATCACACGCAAAACTCAATTAAAATATTGACAGAATTTTTCATTTTGATATTATTTCTGATTTCTATAATGGAAAGAGGCTCTCTCCCTCTTATTAGCTTTTTCCCTCTTTAAAAAAAAGTTTCATCTGTATATAATGTTTTTGTAATTGAAATGGTTTTTTATAATTGTCCCAACAGACAGTTTTAACAGCAACGAGGAATCAAAAAATTTTAAGGGAGCAGGCGAACGAAGGGAAAGATTGGAGTCAACGTCCCTGGAGAAAACTCCAGTTGACGACTTTGCTTTACAAGATTTCCATCAACATCGGTTAGAAGATAAAGCCGATCCGTTCGATCTTCGGTATCATCTGTATGCCATTGTGAGCCATTCCGGTATTCTTGGAGGAGGTCATTATGTATCATATGCTTGCAATCCGAATGGAAAGTGGTATTGTTACAACGATAGCAGTTGTAAGGTAAGCAATTCTTATTCACTATCCACTCATTTGATTGAGGTAATGGGTCATTTTAACTCGAAGAACGATTCACATATCAAAGAATGATTTTAATTTTATCAGAAATTTCCTGTGTAAAAAAAATGTCCTCTTCTCTTACCTTTTGCCCTTCTTTTGATTTTCAGGAGATTGCGGGTGATATTGATACAAGTTCAGCTTACATGCTGTTTTACGAGAGGGAAGGTTTGTCTCACAGCAGATATCTGCCGAACGTTAGTGGTCTGCCTCAGCCAGACATCAAAGATTTAGATGATGATATTGACTCGGACCTGAAAAAACTCTGCACTATCATGTGAGAAATAAACACAAGATTTAAGATACCTTGCCTGCGCCTCCAAATTGGTGCTGTGATCAATCAGCATTTTATCCCTTAATTTTCCTAATCAGTAGATCGTTTTTCCCTGTTTAAAATATAATTTCCCTTTTATTTTGTTCTGTTTATTTTGTCAGCGGTTTTGTAGTCATGTCATTAACAACAAAACCCAGAAGTTTGACAAATTTCCTGCATACAATTTTCCAGTCTGCTGTCAGCAGAATTAATTTAAATTCAGATTAATATTTTATTTGTTATTTTATACTCTAGTAAGCATGTATTTGAGTCATAAATTCTCGGAACAAGAGAAAAATCGCCCTCAGCGAAATCTGTTTGCTGAAGTTAAGTTTTCGTCCATAATTTGTTTGTATCCTTCCAATGAAATGTTGTATTATTATTATCAGACAATTTGAGGTTGTCATCAAAAACTGAAAGTTATCATCCTTAAAATTGCCAGTATTGGCTTCACCTCTGCCAGGGCTCTTTCAAACTCCTTCCAATTTTTTCTATTGCAGTAATAACAAAGTATCACATTGTGTTTTTTAAAAAAAAAAATTCTCAGTGAATTTTGTCAGCTAAGAGTTTAGCAAAAAAATAATAAGATCAATCGATGGCTTTTGCTGCCCAAAAGCCAAGTTTCTACATCTAATTTTAATGGAGATGTAGCTCATTGAAAAACATGGCGTATGACATCATCCATCATGGTATTGCATATTATGGTTTCTTCCACCTTTGTTTCAACAATTAGTGATGCACATATTTGCACTGGTTGTTAGACGTTAAACACAAATGAAACCAAAGTGGAAGAAACCATTGGATGCTTTACTACGGTGGATGACATTATACAAGTTTTTTGATGAATAATATCTCCATAAATGACGGACGTAAAAATTTGGCGTTTGGAATTACACATCAAATTAATTTTTGCTAATCCACAAGCTTGAAAAATCAAAACACGTTTCTGTGGTTAGCGCAATTGACCCATTGTTAAAACCTCAACCTTGGTGAAGAGCTATTGAAATTCCCTGGTATAGCACTGAAAGGTAAAAAAGTTATTATGCTTTATTATAATCATACTGCAAATACATACCTGCTTAGCACTTGAAATCTTGCAACAAGCCGTTATCGTAGTTAACAGGAACAAAAGTCGGAAATTCAAAGTTTCCTATAATAATTTACCATAATTTGTTTAAAATTTCTGCACTGAAACCGGTTTTTTAAATTATTACTTTCCGGTAACAAGTTCTTTGTTTCTTCTTATTTTTTGTAATTTGTCCTTTGGGTCCCAATTTCTTATCTAGCTTTGTTTTTCCTTCTTTCTTTTTTTCTTGCACCAAGTATGATAAAACATGTGTCAAACTGAGTCTTACAAGATTTTAGATGTCCCTAGATCCAAATCTAAGCAAATATTTTTGTAATCATTTGTTTTTAATAGGAACGTGATACTCATCGAAAACTCAAGCTTAGGACAGTAGCACTATGAAATATTTGTATAGTAAATTATTTACCGGTTTTTTATAGCTTGTATATATTGACAGAACCACCAAATTGTTGATGAATTTCTTTTTCGGTTTTGATTATCATGCATACCTGTACTATTAGCATATTTTTTATTTTTATTTTTTATTACTTTGGTGAAAACATGAAGAATATCTTCTTCAGAATAATTCCTGTTGTTGTTGATATTGTTAAATTTGCTATGAAAAACAGCATTAAAGTCTTTTTGGTTCATAATAAAACTTTGCCAGGCTTCAGTGTCATAAAGAGCTGTGTTGAAAGTTTTTCATGTAAAGCACATTTTTTTATGTTTTTTCTTGAGTGTCTGTTGATGATAAAAGGAAGATTTTGATACAGGTATTTGATTGTAGATGCGATTTTGAAGTTTAAGGAATTTATGGTTTATGCTTTTAAATGAAAGCTGAAGTCACACACTGCTGTGCATAGGAAGAACACCATATGGACAATCAGATGTTGTCAAAATTCCCCTCAATATAATATTTATTTTATAGGAAAGTTGTGAACATGTAAAGGTCGATTTTTCCCGCAAGGAGAAAAGCTGCCCCATGGAACCGTGTGGTATCGAAGGGATACAGATGAGAAAAAAAGAACGACCGGCTTTAATGGAAAGGAAAGGTGCAAATGGCCCAGCCTCCACTCTGGATGCACACGCTAATGAACTACAAGAACAAAAGAGAAGATAAAACGATAATACAGCCCTGATAGAAACTTACATCTTGGAAGCAGACAAGCTTTGACATCTTTAAGAATGCGAATGACTGATGGCCAAACTTGTATTACTGAGTTCCTCCTCCAGGGCGCTCCAGGCGGAGCAAACCGGAAATAGCAAGTTTCAAAAACTTGGCAGGAGGGCTATTGACTGTCATAAATATTTTTCCCCGGAATTTTCAGATAATTTAGTCTAAATCGCGAGTAAAATCTGCAACAAATTTGATGAAAAATATTGACAAGTTTTCCTGAAAGTTTTATTAATTAAATTTGGCAACGTCTGAAGACCTATATGGCATTCTTCCTCAGCATTACAGCATTTGAGCAAAGCTTTCTCTATTTGTTTATATTTTTATTTTTATTCTTCATTTAGAGCTGATACCTTTCATTGAGAAGAACTTCATCTGAACGCGGTGTGCTTAGGATTCCTTTCATTTTTAATTTTTGTAAATATTTTCCATCAAGGTTCTCCTATATTTTTTTCATATTCTTTGAGCTTTTGTCAGTATGTATTTGAATATTTGATCCTTATTCATCAAGTTTGCTTTCAGCTTTCTTCAACTCATGCTGTGCATGGTATAGTGAGTAAAACGGATGCTTGTGTCTGTGTTTACGTAGCACTGTACAAATTTACTATTTATTTGAACCTGTATTATTTTATTGTGCCTTTCAATTAAAAGGACTCAGTTCTATCACTGAAAAAGAAGTCAACACGGAAGTAGATGGGCGTGGATATAAAAAGTATATTCAGCGGAAAATACAGTGAAAACTTGTTTCCACTTTTTCTTTTCTTTTTTCCCCTTTTTTTAAAAACACTTTTTGGGATTTTATTTGACTTTATGATTCAGTAGTTTCGTCATTGATAGTAGGAATTATTTGTTCAAGTGTCTTTGCCTAAATTATTAAATAATTACTTGAAGCTAAGACTGAAATTGTAGAAGCTAAGAATGATCGGTTCAAACCAAGCAATCAGTTACAGGCACGATGAATTGCAATCTGTATTATAAACTTTTCTCTTACTTCCTTAGCAATTGTAAAAAATAACACTCATCGAGTGCAAAGTAATCTGAAAAGCACTGATTCAGAAAATTGTTCGAGTTTTGGTGATTTTGTGGATTCAGATTCGACCAGCAAGGTGCATAAAGTATTGTTTTGGATTATTATTAATTGTTGTTGTTGATGTTTTCATTGTTATTGCTTGAAGTGTGTAGAATCAAAACTAGCTCAATTCATGGCGAAGTTTTAGTATGTGCTCTAACATTTTATTCTTTTGTGGGATTACATGGCAGGGACATTCTTTGATTTTTTTTTGGGTCAGTGTTCTCTAAAGTGAGCAAGAAATTTTTGGGAACAAGATTGTCCTCATATCAAGGGGCCAGTGGCATTCATATTATTATTAATTCATTTTCTAAAAGTATAGAGTGAACTAAGTTTTCCAGGAATTTGTTTAGATTTTTTTAAACCCTAACTGGCAAAGAAACCCAGTTTTGAAAACGCCAAAAATGGGACCCTTCAAGGCTTGGCTTGCTACGTCAACTTGGCTGCTGGCTTTTGATTGGTCGGATTTTAATTAGCTTTTTCTTCTCTTAAAAATGATTTTTGAACATTTTCATGAACTATTTGGTTTTTTCCTGAAATTTTATCCATGGAAAACTATACTGCAACCCTGCACAAATTCTTTGTTCCTGCTCTGTCAAATAACATTAAATTAGCTCACACCAAAATCTTTATGTGGACTTAGCTAGTTTTTTTTGCATGCTTCATTTTTAGCTTTTACTCTTACCCCTTCTGTTTTTACTTTTATAGTGCCAGTATCATGGTTTTTAGCATATTTAGAATCTTGTGTGTCCAGAATATAATTGGATACAACCATGGAAAGAAGTCTCTGTTTGCCCCTGCATGTAAAATTCAGTTTCTCTCTTATTGAATGTGTCCTAATTTCGCCTGCTCTTTTCGAGTTGAAGGCTTTCTTTTCCCCTTAATTTTCAGTTTTCAGATTGTCAGTAAATACCTAGAAGAGTCATATTTTTAGACTCATTAAAAAAAATCACGTTTCTCCTGGATTTTAAAATGTCGTTTTTGATGATTTGTATTTATTGAGTTACATTAATTTCAATTTTTATTGAACGAAGTAATTATTTTTTCTAAACATGGACTCAAGTTTGAGATACATTTCTGTTATGTGTTTAATTGTTTTATGTGCAACCAGCCTTATTGATTTTTATCATTTTTAGGCATTAATTTTGCCTAGTAAACTTTTTACCATTAAGACTAAGGTCCCTTTAGGGCGGTATATTGTACTTTCCTCATTAAAAATATCTCTCTTCATTCACCCTGCCATCACAAAGCTCTCATTGCACAGTCAGTTTTTCCCTACAGATAAGGTCAAGTGCATGTGTCATTTTTCCATTATTCCATTAATGGGCTACTACACTAGGTTGAAAAGCACTAAGCACAAAACGAATTGCTTATCAACATTTGATGTAGAATAAGGTGAACATCATTTTAGCTCATAAGAGGAAGTATCGTTCTTTGAATTTGTAAATTCAAACTTTGCCTTTACCCAAAAATCTAAGTTTTCATAAATGAAATCCATCATTGAATTCATTTTAGTATGCTTTATAACACAGTAGGACTTAGTGTGCTACATCATTTAAGAATACTGTAAATCAGATGAGTAAGATTTTTTTTTTTAAACCCAGCTGTAATTATCTCCCCAAGTTCATTCTTTGTGACCAATCTGACCTATGTCAATTTTGGTTTTCTTAGTGAGTGAAAGTTTTTAATGTATTTTTCCACAATGAACATAGGTTGTGCAGCTGTGCAAAATGTCTGATCTTGAATTAATTCTTTGAAGGCCTTGTAAAGTGCTTGGATTTTACTCTTTACTAATTTTCAGCGATAAATACTCGCTGTATGTGCAGAGTTAATAATAATACAAGGAAGCAGAAGAAGAAAAAAATCGTACAAAATCCTCAAAATTCAAAATCAGGATCCTGGGAGAAAACCATGGGTTGAGAAAACAATTACAGTAAAGGTCTAGAAAAATGCATGATCTTTTATTCTTGTGGCTGGACCAACTACGTCAAACAATAACTCCTAATATCTTATCTGCTATTAGATTTGATTTCGGAAATTAAGGAGGTTTTCCAGAAAGAGGACCTACTGTACGTAGGTGAGTTCATTACTCTTAATGTATTTGTGCCGCTTTTTCCATTAACAGTTGCTCATAGAAACAAGAACTCGGATTATTGTAGAACCTTCTTCTCCAAGAGCTCAACAATCTCATGGTGTTCAATATGTTTACATTGACCTTTTAATGAAGAAAAATGTCTTTAAACACTTTAATGCCTACTGTAGCAAATTGTCCCGTATTTAACGCAAGGAGCATCTAAAAATATCCAGGCTGGTTGCGTATTGAATGGTTTACCACCATTATGTATTAAAGTATTGCCATTATGCAGTTCACTTGGATGACCAAGAAGCAATTAATTCTATTGTTATTTAATGCACACCAAGAATCGGAGAGATATTCCATAAAAGTATGTCAAGACTGCTGCTGCAAGAACTGATGCAAACTTTAACAATTATTACACTGAGCATACCCGTAAAATCTGCAAGAGCTGTTTTCACAGTCATTCCTTAATTGCCCTCTTTCTTCAGGTTAAAATTTATCAAACAGCAGCCCATGACAATGGTGATATCAAAAACATAGGAGGAAAAACGGGAAACAAGGCTTAAAAATTCCAAATCAAAAACCCGATATGTTTCAGCCCAAAACTGAGCCATTTTCAGTCGGAAGAATAAAAATAAAGTATAAAAATGCCAAATAGAAACCTGAAGACTACATGATGGCTGAGAAAATCAAAACAAAGCTGAAGAGCGACTGAAAATGGCTCAGTTTTGGCCAAAACGTCTTGGATTTTTTATGTGTAATTTTTAGCCTTGTTTCCTGTTTTTTCTCCTATGTTTTTGATACCTCTTTCTTTAGGGGGCCCCATATAGTTTTAATCACGACTATGGGACGCTCAAGGAGGCCGAGAATAAAGCATCGTAAAATGGACAATTTTTCCAAACCTGGAGCCGAATTCAAGAGTATAATTTTGGTATAATAAATCCTCAACAATTATTAGAATGATTCGTTATCTTAGCTGAATGTTGGCATTCAGCTCACAGGGCTCCCCATACTTCTAAGTAATATCTCTCTCAATTATCTTCTTACAGTGGCAACACATTCACTGAATGGTAGGAGATTGTAAATAAACTTTCAGGGCACAAATATCTTTTTAGTTCGCCTTTGATTTGTCAAGTCAGTTATTCATAGTAAAATAAAGCTGCTTATAGGGCAGGAGAAGCAAATATTATTGCTGCTCTTCTAGTATCTTATCACAGAATCCATTAATGCCATCCACAATTTTAAGTAATTTGTAAAGAAAGTGCCTGTGGATCATGTTAGAAATACTAAGTTCATGAGTCTTGTATCGGATCATTTACTTTAGGAAATGTGCGAATGAGAAAAGATGTCCTATTTTTAAAGACTTTCATTGCATTCCTTTTGTTAAAATTTGTTCAAAATGTTTAGTAGTTCAATATTATAATGTTGTATTTTCCCAACAACAGTCCTGTCCTCTTTTCAATATTTCTATGTCACTGCAATGAAAATTACTCACCTGAATGGTAGTAGTCACTTTTTAATGGTTAAGGAAAATTACTATCGCATGTATACTTCAACCATGAAATACGTGAACTGATTTAAGCGGAGTGACTTGACTATCTAAGGCGTTGCCTGATTTTTTCTCATGTTTTATATTTTGGCACAGAACTTAACTACTTATTGCCTTTAAACATTCTATGAATTTACTCTAGAGTTTAAAGGTTGTAAAGCAGTACCCCAATTCTCCAAAGCCACAGTTATCGAACGTAAAAAATAATCCAAGTTTTTGGTCAGAAACAAGTTAGCGGACACCATGAAATCGATTTTTTTGGCCACAGTGGAATACAAGTGTGGTTTCTCGTTTTTTTCCCTCTAGTAACTTACCGTGTTTTACAAATTCGATCAAAAATCAATTTGTGCTTTTTGGTTACAAACAGAGCCTGAAACGTCATTTTTTAATTTTTTTTAGATGGTGGTGCTTATCTAATGCTGTCCTCCCCACAAATAGTCGGATAATTGGAGAGTTACTGTTCTCTTTATTTTAAGTTTCCGCGTTGCTTGGTTTTCTGTTTCAAAAGTAACACATCACAAAAATTAGGCAACGTCTGTTGTAGTAAGGCTGATTCCACTTAAATCCATCCAATGGATTACATTTTGTATTTAGGAACCAAAATTTCTGGCTCATCCGTAAAAACTCTTACGAGCATGGGGGAACTAATGGTACGTACGTTGTTTTTAAACTAAGCCAGAATTTGTAGTTCCCAATTGCAAGATGTAGTCCACTTTGTCAACTTTAAACACCGAGTCTGCAAGATTAAATTTCTTGGTTGGTGTTATCAATGGTTTCCTCCATTGAGTTCAATAACCACTGCTTGGAAGATGTTATTATGCTTTCATACTTCTACATTACTCCGAACACACCAATTTTTACAAAACTTTCTCCTCCACTCTTTGCTTGGTTACACAAAAGATTTTCCACATGCATGTCACCCATGATTTAGTTGTCTATAAAAAATGCATATTTAGACTAGATCAAAAGGAAACTTAAGTCTTATTTAAAATCAATTCTCATTACCAATCATTTTGAGCATCATTAGTTTCAAGTCACCAGGTTGAATTATCATTCGACCTGTTTTTGAGATCATTGCGCAAGGTCTTTTCGAAATGTTCATCTTCTGTTGTTTTAGAAATAGAGCAAGTACGCTCTAACATATTTGTCAGGCAGAGCTTTTATAAGACTTTTACAGTGCCTCATTTTCTTAAATTTTTTCATAAGTTAATATACTACATCTTTTTTTTCTAAAATGTTCAGTTTCTTAATCTAATGTAGATGAAACTTTTCCTTCCCCTGAGCTGCGTTTTAATGCTAATTTTCTAAAAAGCTTAAATCATATTATGTTTTCATGATTCAAATTAGTGTTGGAAATACGAATTTTTGACACTGATACAAACATGTATACATTCTCTTTTTTAAAACAGCATCAGCCTCACTACCTTTTTTATTAAGGCTCTCAAAAACTATCATTCAAGAAATTGAAATAATTCTCGGTAATCCTCTTGTACAATAATTTCCAAGTAACTTTGTACTTTTAGTTCATAATGGATGGAGTTTTTTTTCACTTTTTTTTCATTTCAACGACATATTTTTTATGATTTATTTATCTTCCATTTCAACTGGCATATTTACAGATATTAGTGTAATATAGACCTGGAGGATTTTATGAGTGGTTGTTACGTGCTTTTTGTTTCTGTTCAATTACTTTTTTAATGAAACCATTAATTTTTCAACTCTGCAATAGCTCTATCCAAGTTCTAGGTGTGGTCCAATTAGACTCTCAAAACAAATAAAATTTTAATGGCTAACAGCTATGGTGGTTGTGCTTATTCCATTGTATTTTTTAAAGTACAGTAATTAAAGTGCACCATCTTAGGAATTTCTTCTTTTTTACTTTATCGGTTTATGCTTTTGGGTGATTTGTAAACCAATTCTTATGAACATTCCATTATTCATAGATTTTTAAAAATAAAAATTTGGTCTCATGCTGTCCTTTACTACACCTACAGTAGCCATTACAATATGCTATCAAGAACAATATTTCGAAAATGCCTCTTAAGTCAAACACTGTTGCATTATTTTCCAGCACAACAAAAAAAATATCACCAGAGAAAATTCATTTTTTGTTTGGCATAATAATTGCAAAATTTGTTTGACAGGTGTAACATTCCTATTTTGTTCAAATGCGATCAAAGATTATAGTGGACAGAGTTTTATTAATTGGATTTTTTTTTGCAATTCAACAACTCTGTCATAAAATTTTTCATGCAACAATTTAAATGTGTCAGATCTCAGGATTGTCGCCAAAATTATTATGAGAGGTCCTCAGCTCAATCTTCTTGAATGACGTCTCATTAGTTGTGAATAAGCAGCTGACTCATTTATCGATTTGTTTGTATCATATTCCGACCCTTTTGTCAGATCAATAATGTCCCATTAATGTGTGTGCAAGGAGGAGAATTTCATACATTAAGAGCTGTTCTTTACTAAAATAAGTTGTTTAAGCTCGCTATTTCACAAGAATTTTAGATTCGTATTAATACACGCACGATTCAATTGCAACACATAATTATGACTCTGGAACCAAGAGAACACTAATCTCATTCACCTAGCGACATCGCAAATTTAATGTTATGTTAGATTTCATGTTTATGGAGCTGATTATTGTTACCTCTAGAAAATTTTCTTTCTTTGTCATTCTCTTAACATTTTCTTGAAAAATATTGCTGGGTTTCTTAGAACAAAAAGAAGAACAATTTGAGTCGACACTGCAATTAAGATTAAAGTGTTTTTGTTTCACTGTGGATTAATTGAATATTTCAGTTGATTTTCTCATACTTTTTGTGGCAATGGGTCAGTTGTGTAGTCACAGCATCGTGTTCTGATAGTTTAAGCTCATAGTTTAACAAATATCAATCAAATCTGCTTAAAAACCAAATTTCGATTTTCAACATTGGCGGAGATATTGTCCATCCAAAAACTTGGTGCATGATATCATCCACCTCAGCAGTGCATACTGTTGTTTCTTCCATCTTGATTTCATCCGTGTTCTTTGTCAGCAACTAGTGCGAATGTGTAAATTACTGATTGACAAAACCAAGGTGGCAGAAGCATGCTATGCATAACCATGGTTGATGACGTCGTACGTTTTTTGATAAGAAATATCTCCGTTTATATTTGACATAGAAAGTTGGCATTGGAACAGATCCCACCATTTTTCATTAATCTACAAGCTTAATCCATCAAAATACGACTTTATGACTGGTACAACTGACCCATTAAATGTTTTATTTCGTGCCATTCATTTTCAGTTTAATTTTTAAGATGCTTGCAGGTAAGGAAATCATGTACGTAGAACACATTTTGCAAAAATAAGGTATTCTATCTTCTCAAGTTCACGTATGAACGGCTTATTTCATCAAGGATGTAAATGCAGTGAGATTTTTGTCTTCAATTAAATACAGTTTTCCTTCAGAGACAGAGTATTTCAATGTATTTTTCAAATACATCTGAAATACAACCTTTCAAATCAAATGAGATTCAGGAGACTACTTAAAATTGAATTTATCCGATTAGGTTCGACACTAAGTAGATGAATGCTGAAACCTAAATAATACTTGTAGAAAGATTCTACTGAGACAAGATTCTGCTACTTAAAAACCAGCGTTGTTTTGAACATTCTTTTCTTACATTAGTGATCAGCTTTTGCTTTCCTTAACTATGTTCTGTTCTCATTAAATTAATATTTATACGTATATTCTTTATTACTTTTTCTTTTTTGAGAAGTTAACTTTTTCTAAGTCATATCCTAGTTTCTAAGGTACAATTATTGCATAGTTCTCTGTATGCCATAAAGTTTTTAGTTTTCTGTTTGCGTAGCTATTTCTTGTGTTACTTCATTCAAGTATGATCTACGATAATCGAAAAAAGAATGCTACCTTATTCTATAATTAGTTTAAATTATTTGATTTGGTCAATGTATTATACTGAAAATGTTGATTGTTATACTTATGATTGTAATAAAACATTGAAAAGAAACATCGGATTTTTTCTTCTTTTTAAAGTGCGTTCATAGCGATCTACAATATTTTGTCTCATGAGCGATGCTTGCTTTCAATACAGTTAATGCAGAAATTCATTTTTGATGGACAGATATACATTTTAATGATTATGAGTACTTAAATTTTGCTTTAAAAGAATTAGGTGATTGAACATTTAAAAAAAATTAAAGATTTTAATAGAAAAGTTGCATTTGCAAATTTTGTTTTTCAATACATGGCCAAGGGATTCTCCAATAATTAGAGTTAAGTTCTTACCTTTGCAATTAAATCAAACTTTTTAGAAACATACTATGTGCATATTAAGTCTGAAGGTGTTCTTTGCACTAAGTTTTCTTCATACCAAAAAAAAATGCATAGTGCAAGACTGTCACTGGGGCAAGGAAAGTGAGTGCTTGTAGAACATTGCATGCACGGACATAGAGAAAAAAACGACTCCACTGCTTATCTAATTGTATTTCTAAGTTCAGAACTGCTCTGCAAGTTTTATTTATTTCTGTTCCATCAATCATCAACGTTTTGATTCGTCAAATTGGAACAATTTGCTTAATGGTCAAGGAAATTTTTACAGCCACCTCGCAAGGTGCATTCAAAATAACCCATCAGGGACTTGAAAACTTATGTAGGTTTGCAACCCATAAAATGCCCCCATAAAAGCTCCCATAAAATGAGTAACCGGAATATTTGGACATAAAAACTAGCATGGAACCTCAAAAAAAGATTTACTTCTTGTGTTCATTATGTGCAAATGCAAACGTTGGTGGGAGAGATTGAATCCACACAAAAATCAAATATATGTCCTACAATCACATGTGTAGTGGTGAGTCACAGCTAACAATATGTCTTTCTTGAACGCGAGATGCGAGCCCTGGAATGCAATACTCCTTTAAGATAAACGCCTTACTGCCTACAGCTTTATAGACCATCCCTTGTATACAAACAAGACGTTAATTATATTTGTTATAAAAAAAAACAGACACAAATTCAACAGCAACAAAAAATATAATGTAGGTACGACACATACATTAAAGTAACAAAATTCCATTGGTAAAAATTATAAATGAATTAACAGTAAGGATGAGAGGTATCAAAATTTCAAGCATTATCTTGATCAAAGGAATCAAGTCACAGGAATACTGAAAGACTAATTTTTTCTAACTTCCTGAATGTGAGACCCACTCACACCACAGGGTTTAATTGAAATCAATTTCCATGGGTTCATGGTGTTGTCAAATACATTTTATTTGAAGAAATAATTTTACCAAAAAATGTAATGCAATACATTGTCATTTAAAAAATGTCAAACTTGTAAAAGATATCGTGGTAGACCACAGGGAAAAAAGGTGTTGGTCCCCTATTTCCTGTGTGAGCTGCCTTGTTTTGGGGGTGTAGGGTAACTTGTAGGAGAATGATCGCGACTCAAAAAACCCAAAGAATACTTGAAACACTTTATTGCACAACTAGACTGACTACAGCTCAGCGTGACTACCAGAAACGACTTCAAAAGGTATTTTGCCTTAGGGTACAGGATGTTCAAATCGCCAAAAAAGGCCTTGAAAAAATACTCATATCCGAACCTCCTAATCCAGTTATGCAAACCATCAGTTTCTTCCTCTTAACTACAGAAACGCCTCTTAACGCCGTCAACCGTAACCAAAAAAAACTCCTAACGAGATGCTCTTTAGTATCGCCCTCGCACAATGCTAACACAACTTATCCCCAGTACAACTTATCAGCTGCTAATAAAAGCCGAGGTGGGTCCTCAGTTTTAATCAAGGAAAACATAAGACACAATCTGATAAAAATAATAGAAACTCCTGCATTTCAAAGTGCTGTGATTAGAATTGAGGCCAAACTGGTGCTCGAACCTAACTCTTGCAATGTTATTGAGACAGAGAGGTACAAATGTATGTGGCACAGTAAAGTCAAATACAATAGGTATGCAGTCATTTCCTAAGTTAGCTAGAGGAGAAATGACAGGAAAATTTTGTGATGGAATAATGGTTATGAAATATGCGGATAAAAGAGATGGTGTAGCGCGGTAGAATCTCACCAGGCAGGGATTTCAAAATTGGCGGGCCTGACCCCTCCAGCGCCCTAACTGGTTTTGGGCAGAGGCCACTGGGGGATGCAGGACTCAACAAGTTCAGTTCCGGTTTAAGCGTCCGATAAGCGACACCCGAAATTTAAGTAATTCCTTTGAAAGCCAAGTCCTTAGGGACTTGGTAATGTTAAATTAGTGTGTTTTCTTCTTAGTTGTGCGCGTATTCTCCAACCTGATCATCAACCGAAATTCACAGTGTCCTTCTCTAATTTCTCCACCCTTTCTTTTAACTGTTTGAGGCATGTGCGTCGGGTCGCGTCTCAAGGGAATAAAGCTTTCCACTATTGACAAGTTTGGAATGGCAAATATTCCAAAAAGGAACAGAAGAAAATGTCTCTCTTGGAGAAGTTTCTTCAACTGAAAATGGAAAATGGTGAGAAAATATTAACATATATTACTAGAGAGGAGAATCTTGTGAAGGAGATTAAAGACACAGGTTAAGATGTAAGTGACACTTCCGTTATAGCTAAAATTATCAGTGCTTTGCCCAATGAAGTATCGATATTTTCGTCAGGCATGGCTTTCTGTGGAGCCAGATCGAAGGACTTTGAAAAATCTGTCGACAAGATTATAAGATGAGGAAGTCAATTTGTCTTTGAGCGAGGATTGAGACTCAGCTCTAACAGTCGAGCAGAAACTCGTCGGTCCAATCGTCAGACAGTTCAATATTATAACTGCAAAAAATTTGGTCATATTGCCACTGTGTTGTAATTCTTAATTATAATAAAAATATGGGAGGAATAGATCTTACAGACATGCTATTAAGTAGTACTGAGAGTGTTTGAAAAACTATAAAATGGTACAAGAAGGTGTTTTTTCATCTATTAGATTTGTCAGTTTTGAATTCGCATATTTTATTCAAACAAGTTACGGGTAAGAAATTACCTCTAAAAAATTTTATGGAAAACTTAATTGAGCAACTCATTAAAGAGAACTCAACAGGTGTTAGGAGAACCAAGGGAGGAAAACCATCTAAAAATGAGCTTTCAACTAGATTAACTGGTCATCATTTTCCCTCTCTAATCCAAGAAAATGAGAAGAAAAAAAATGTTACGCGTCAGTGTCATGTACGTGCGCATACTAAAATGAAGGCAACTAAAAGGGAAGAGACTAGGTGTGAGTGTCTTCAATGCCAAAAATCCCGGTGTGTTGTGCCCTGCTTTGAAATTTACTACACAAACGAAAAGTTCTAGCATAGTCGGACGCATCAGTCGGTCATAATAGTTCTTCAACCTACACTGAATTGTAAAGCCTCAAGTTTTATTCTGTCCTTCCTTTTTGTTAATATTTATACATTAGAATGTGTCAGTGACAATTACTTAAATTGTGTGTTTGCACTCTTAATTGCTTCCCGCCTCCATCTAAAATGAGGAAGCTTCCAAACCTCTTCGGCATGCCGTTCGATGGAAGGCGAGGGTGACTTTTGGAGTGCGAAATTCGGGAGTGAATATATGAATATACGAAACTGAATATGTGAAGTGATCACTTTTTGTGTAGAGATTTACCTTAAAGTTGATCGGTTTGAATATCTTTCTTCTGATTTCCAGGATGAGGGGATCGTCGAGAGATACAAAGGGCGGATCGTCGAAGCAGGGGTCCCGGATGAGCGATAATCAGCCGGACCACCCTCTGACAAACGCTCTCTGCCTCCAAATCGAAGCACACAAGGCGGGGGAGATATCCCTAGGCGACGAAATGCAGGGGACAATCAATTTGCTCCTGGAGGCTGAAAAGGAGCGGCTTCATGCGACACCACGCCTGAGGAGACAGGAGTTGCAGCGTCACAATCGAACATCGGATTGCGAGAAAGAAGGACTGGCCATTTTGGGATTATTCTACATTTAATTAAGATTTTCTTACAGTTAAAATCAGCTTAAAAAGACAAGTAAAATGTCTATTAGTGTTAATGTGAAAAATTTTGAATTGTGCTAATAATGATGATAATAATAATAATAATAATAATAATAATAATAATAATAATAA